ATTTTACAATTTGACTTGTGAAATAATCACTCAGACGCCAGGTACATCCAGATAAAACTAATGCAGTCTACTGTCATTGCTATGTGGTAAATGGGAGGAGAAAATAATAGAAACACTTCTCAGTTTAACACAATGCAACTCAACACCCAGCAATAAATACGAATCGGCTCCTCTTGAAAACTGAACATTATACCCTTCATGAAGGGAGGATTTACTGCACGTCAGCTGTATTAGACTGCATTTAGTTTTAGCTAGGTGTACCTAATAAACTGGCAACTGCATATATAGTTATGCAGTGCTTCATGTATATTTTACTGCTAATCTTTTTTTCTCAGACACACCTTTTGAATGTAGAACATAGACATGTTTTACATTGTACTGTTACTTATATTTATGGATTGTTTGTTTGCTTATTGTTTACTGTGCAGGATCTCAATGAAAAGTCTGAGAAAAACCCAGATGAAGACGAGGCCTTTCATGATACTGAATGGGTTGATTTCACAGATGGATACAGTACAAGACAACAGAAAAAGGTGAATATGACACTCGGCCCCTGTTAAGAACTTTTGATAATGAACAAAAAATATCAACAAAAACATATTATTAGCTAGTTTGAGTAATTGATAAATAAGAGTGACCTGTTAGGAACCACATACCTTTCTTGTAGATTCCAATGCCCTATTAAAAAGAAGAGTCATTCATTGTTTAAGATGAGTAGTTTGGTGGGGATGTTATATTCTCTGTATAAACCATGTACAAATGTTAATTTGATTGACTGAAATAACTGACTTTTTTTTCTTTTTCCTCTTTCTATCCAGTGGCCTTATCGGTCTCGATCTCTGTGTTGTAACCTGTGCAAATACTCTTCACACAACATCTACAACTTCAGGAGTCACGTCTCTCGCTGCCATGGATATGTTCAGTCATTCTGTGCGCTGGCGCCCTGCTCTCAATGCCTCTTTGTCAGCCACCCCAAGATTGTCAAGAAGCACATGCTGTTCTTCCATGCCAAACTTGCCTTGCCAAGCACCCATATACAGTCACAGAGGGAAGCGTCTTTACCCACCCATCGCGGAAATGAGAGGTACCAGTGTCGAAGATGTGGATTTCCAACCTCTTCTATCTTTGCGATGAAGAAGCACATTATTCTGAAACACCTGGACAGTTTGGCAGAACAGTATATAGGTTACAGATTACATCTTCAAGGGACTACATCTGTAAAGATCTACTGCTGCAAAGTATGCAAGGTGAACGCTGGAAATCTAGACCAAATGTTGCATCACATGCTGGTTGAGCCATCTCACTATTCAGTCAGCACACAAGTGCAGAGCATGATTCATGAAAACAAAAACTACACCATTAAACCAACACCCAATGGGAATGGCGTGTTTGTGACCTTCCCAAGTATCGCTCCTAAACCACAGCAACCTCAAATGTTCAACAGTAAGTCCTTGGTTTTACCAAGTAATGGCCAACCTCCTGGAACTGTGGTGACATTACAGCAGCTACAAGGAACTACAAACAGTACTACTCTAATATGTGCCCCGGGAACCAACCAAGCTTTTCTGCCCCCTCAAGCATCAGCGCTAGTGCAGCTAGCTAGTGCTGAGGCTAAAGGTTTGCTTCAGCCTGGTGCCACGATAGCCCTTCGAAGTACTTTGCCCCAAGGGCCGTCTATGGTCCAGCTACCGACTGTGTCTAATGTGTCTTTGAAAAAGGCACCAGTGGCTCTAGCCCCTGCCCCACCACAGCAGACTCCACAAACGCAGCAGATCCTTGTTCCATCAGGACTACAGGCCAATATGACAGCTGGAACTGGGGCTGTACCTAAGCCTGCTGTGGTTACACAAAATGCATCAACAAACCAAATCACCCTACAAGGTACCATGCTGACTTCACAGTCTCTGCTGAGTCACCTGATCCCAACTGGCAACAGGGTGAATGGCATGCCCACATACACTTTTGCTCCACTGCAAGTAGCAATGCCTGTCTCTCAAAGCACAAGTACCCCTCTCAAGACTGTTGAGCAAACAAGTAACTCCTTACCACAAACTAAGAAATGGATTACCTGTCCCCTCTGCAATGAACTTTTCCCTTCCAATGTCTTTGACATGCATACAGAGGTTGCCCACCAGACAAAATCTGCTACATCCAAGTCAGAAAGTGTGGCTGCACGAGCAGCCTTCCTAAAGAAAATGCCAGACAAAACTGTCAAATGCCTAACGTGCAAAATTCTTCTGTCAGAAAAGAGTGTCTTCCAACACCTGCTGCATGGGCTGAATTGCTTATACTGCTCTGCTTTGTTTTTTTCAATCAAACAGCTTGCTGAGCATGTAAAGCAGCACAATCCCACAAGCAAAGCATACTGTGATTTCCTAAGGCAGAAGTACAGGGTCTACTCAAAAGGTGTTGGCGGAATCCTGTTCCCTTACTTTGACGTCAACACCACTGCACCAAAAGAGGTCCTCGGAGACACAGAGGTCAATCTTGCTCTGGTCACAAATTCCCTCGACCTGATCTTCTTTAAGTTGCAGCCCAGCAGCCAGCCAGAAATCTGTCCAGCACCTGTGAAAGTCAACAGTGCGTACTGCCCCTTCTGTGATGAAAAGTTTCAGAATGAATCCAAACACCTACAGCACCTGAAACAGAAACACTTTGTAGCACCTACCATTCATGCCATCCTCAAGACAGAGGCATTCAAGTGCATATACTGCAATGGAGTGTACACAGGAAAGGTTACCCAGCAGGCTGTGATGCTTCACATTCAGCGATGCCGTTGTTCACCAAAACAACCACCGCCAACCAAACCTACAGCACTGCCACCACCACCGCCACCGCCACCACAGCCACCACCACAGCCACCGCCACCACCACAACCACAACCACAACCACAACCACAACATCAACCACAACATCAACCACAACATCAACCACAACCACAGCAGCCTCCAAAACCGGCTCAGCAGCTCATTCAGCCATCCGGACTCTACTTTCTTCAAGTGCCACAAGGGCTGACTATGAAACCGACTTTAGCTCCAGCGCGTGTGATTCCAGCTCCACCCAGGGCAGAGCCTCTAGAAACAGAAGCAGAGCTGCAGTCCAAGAAGAGACTTGAGGCTGCATTGAGGCAGGTCATTGAGGCCAACAAACGAGAACGAGAACAAAGGGCAGCCATACGCAAGAAGCGAGAGCAGGAGAAGTTGCCCCCGCCGGAGCCTGAGATTCAGAGCGAACCCCCAGTGAAGCTGGTTTTGGAGCCTACCCCGGTTGAGCGCCGCTGCAACGAGGAGCGCAGAGACTTCATATCTAAATACTTCAACCTGAACCCCTACGCGACCAAAGCCGAGACTGACGAGCTGTGCAGGAGGCTGTCACTCACCAAGGCAGAGCTGGCAGCCCTCTTCAGCAAGAAGCGCAGCAAGTGCATGAAGAGTCTCAAGAGGAACACGACTGCCATTCTCCTCGGCTTCAACATGACTGAACTGAGCAAACTTAAGCACAACCTTGCCGTCCCAGAACAGCAGCCTGCCGATCCCACAGAGCAGCCGCCCGCCGATACAACAGAGCAGATGGGAAACAGTGAGGATGGACCAGAACCTATGGATCACAGTGGAAATGACAAAGTTACAGAGGAAGTGGAGCAGATGGAATGAGTTCAGAAATATTTGAAAATGTAATAATCTGAAAACAGCAAATAATTAAAATGCAGGTGTCCCTGATTAAAAACAGAACAAAACCCAGATACTGTAATGATGGCCTTTTGTGTTAACAGTCACTGGAGAAGTTTATCATGTAGTGGATACAGTGTATTACCAACATACACCTGTACCTGAGGGCAATTTCTTAATGTAGCCTTCATTAATAGTGCTTCATTTGACTTCAGTATGTTGTCAGTGGCTCTTGTCCTAATTTCCACATAAATGCAGAGCCATCTTGTGATGCTCCCTAATATATATAATATATAATACATAATAATTAAGATTATGGTGTAGACTGTTGAGCTGCAACAGCATTTAGCTGGTTACAATCTCTCATTCTCCCGTGGCTACTGACTTCAACATAAGCACTCGTTTGTGCCCAGTAGCTCCTCTTTTGCACCCTTTATTTAAGCCCTTTTGTACAAAATTGTTTTTTTCATTTCTTGTCTGCAAATATCAAGACTTTGGTGCACACCTCAATATGGAGTTGAGTTATTATATTATGCTTTCCTTCACAAACAAATTTTTTTTTTTTTTTTTTTACATATTTGGACCTATTTCTGTCATGTGCACGGCTTCATTATTTTGTTTTCTCACTCTTGTTTTTTGTTTTGTTTTTCTCTGTATTGAAACAGTTAAAGGGGAAATGTCTCCTGCTCACCAGCTACCAAAAATCGTTTAGGTGGATGTTCATCTTGCAGTTTTGAAGCCAAATTCTTAAGAATGTATAAATGTTTGAGCTATGAAGTTGCTGGAATCCCAGAATTCATGAGCACTTGGTTATTATAAAGCTCCAACCATGTTGCTTGCATGAGCCTTTGTTTTGTTGTCAGATAAAATTTTAATTTGTGCCATCGTGAAGTCTACATATTTGCATAGACTTGTGGAAATTAGACCTATAAACCTAGAGATTCAGCAAAACATAAAATGTGTTATTGGGTGTTGATTCTGTCACCATACATCTTCTGTTCTCCTGACTGCTGTTTTTTGTACTATACTTACATTTTCTATAATTCCTAGAGGATCAAAAATGTTGGGAGAGGTAAAAATTCTGTCTAAGACCACTGTGTTGTTAATAATAAAGTGGTTTCCTTTTACGTAAATGATTCATTCAGTTTTATTTTCATCTCTTAATAAACTAAATAGAATTTTTAATCAAGCTGTGTTAAAGCACTCCAAGGTATGTTTCTTTAATATGTAACTGACCTTGAAAATCGTTCAACACTTGAGTTGATGCGTAATTCCTTTATCAGCAGGAACAGAACAGTTAACGTCATAATAAAGGCAATGGAAGGCTAACAATGGTTTTTCATCTGTTTAATATTCCCCTGAGAAATGCTGGAGTTAAACACCACCACATACATTTTGGTCTTCCATTGTGATGGCTTTAAAATTAAATACGTTTGTCAAGATAGTTCAAAAATTAACTGCTCAAAAACATAAAATAGTGTTGGGGCTGGCCAAATGTCTCATTGCTAAGAGCATGCATTATTAATTTCCTGCCACATACTGGTTCTACTTTACCTAGGAAACAATAATTTGACAAAGAAAATCTTAAGGTCCACTTACTAGCTTTTTCCACCCTATGTTAACTGAGACTTACAGTCTTCATCATTAATATTTCATTATTATCATTTAATTACTCCACTATTAAATACTTTACTATTTCATATGACAGGATGAAGGTCATAATGAAGACAAAGAAATTCAGTTGAAAGCCCCACAAACTGTGAGGAAGTGGACATTGAGACCACAAGGTTCTCAGAACAGCTACTAAGTGGACCATGAGGTGAGGCTGTTTTTGGTCAACTGGTGTTTCAAACTTCAAGAATAAACTTTTATTGAACTCTATTTCATAGATGATCGGATTTGATCAAGGATTGAGGGCCCACTGTAGTTGTTGGTTTGAATGACCTCCAGTCTCTTCAGGTACTCCACTGGGAGGCCGTTCTGCTCTGCACCCAGACACACCACCTAATTCAAAACGCAGAGACACGTTGATGAACATCTAGATTAAGTCACAAAAATACTGGATTGGTCATTTATTGCATAGTATGGCTTTTAAGTACAGTGAATTGTCTCTGGACCAGTGTTTTGTGTGCACACACTTGTTTGTACTGAGGAGAGGGTGCACACGCGTGGAAATTGTTCATCTGATAAGTCCTGCAGAGAATCAGTCCTTTGTCAGTGTCCACTGGAACCTCCAGGGGTGAGTACATTCCCAGGTTCACCCCTTCCTGGCTGAGGACACATGGAGAAGAAACATGCAGCCTCAGTTAGCATGACCAATATTAACTTCTGAACTGAATTACAGCTGTGTTTTGATGTGTGTGTCTCACTTGTCAAGGCTTGTGAGGTTTTCATTGCTCAAAGTCCAGATTACCCCCCACACTTCTGCGCCTGGACAGAACTCAATGGTGGCCACCCCACCATGCCAAGCGTTTTCCACATGTTGCTCCCACAGGCCAAAGTTCAACTCATAGTCCTGTGTGCGCGCGCGCGCGCGCGCACACACACACACACACACACACACACACACACACACACACACACACACACACACACACACACACAGAAAGGCTTTTATTCCACTGATGTAAAGAGGGGTGCTATGTTTGTGTTTGCAGCAGTGTCTGTTAGCTATTGGTCGTCACAAGGTCGGGTCATAGACCCTGTTGTTGCAGCCGGTAAGCAACACTCGCGTCAGTGGAGTGGACCAATATCTAAAATTAATACTAATGATGATTTACATACTGGGACACAGTGAAGTGAATCATCAGGTCATTAACCGACAACACGAAGCGTTAAGTATATGTGTTGTTTCTATGGTTACCCGCCGTTGCGCACTGATTTAGAACAGCAGTTAAATTGTAACCCGGGTTATTTGAGTTCTCCCGAGTTAAATGGGCACCTGTCAACCAACTGAAATCATCTATGGTCATTATGTAACGACTATTAGCTGGGACGTAACCGGGCTATAGTTCACCAACAAAACATTGGTGAACTACGTTTAATATTCCCTCGGTGACATTTATGGTACATTTCCAGCCGTTAAGCTAATGAATGCGTGGTAGGCAATGCTGCGTTCAGGTCCCGTCGGTTTAATCTGTCGTCGGTTGTGATCTTAATTTACAAGCGTATACCGTCGGACAGGCGAGCGTAGGCTACTTAATACAATTAATGAATAGTTAATAAATAACGATTGGTGTCAGATTGCGTGTCAGGCATTGCACAAATTGGAGGTTTCAGAGTAGAAGATAACGTTACACAAAAGTCGTTCGTCACCACTTGGGTATGTGCTAATTTCCACACGACATGAACGCCATATCGATTAAAAGGGGAAACTACACAATAAAGCTGCTCTACTCTAGTTACCTTCAGTCGACCGGTGGTGCAAAATGATGCAGAGGGGTTTGTCAGTTGCAGTCTTTCCTTCAACAAGTTGCTCCCAAAAGCAAAATACATGAAGCGGCCACTGGCAACACCAGACATTTTTGAGATGGCCACGCTGGTTCCTGTCGACAGAACGAGACATAAGAGCAAAGCTAACACCAGCTATTTACAGGGGCGTCGGTAGACCGAAGCCTTTGTCCTGAGGTTACGTCTTCGTCTCGTCGCTACCGGAGCAGAGACTCGTCAATCGGTTAAAACAGTAAGTGAATGGTGTCTCTTACCGCCAGCCCTACCTTCGTTTGAAAGCAAAAAAGACCGGACATTCATCGGCACTGTTCCATAACCTGCCCACAATAACGGAGCCCTAACATCCGTATACACAGTATGAAGCAATATAGAGGTTATGACTCTGTGTTTAATGTTTATGTTGTATTTTTTTTTTTTTTTTTTTTAAATTTACTTAGGGTTCAAATGCTGCTCTTTAGCAGCCTCTTCTGGAAGTCTGGTGAGGGAACACCCCTTCTAACTCACGTCAATGAAAAACCGAAATGCCCCTATCTACCCTAGAGGCAGGCCAATTTAATTGACTGGTTCTATCCACAGGAACGTACAATCTGAGTGTTCACAAAAACTAATCTTGGTCACAAGTCTCTCAGGGCAACTGCGGGTACATTTGACTAGCTGCAGTTAGAGCAGAGGAATAAGCAGTTTAGATATTTTACGATGTTATAACATGTTTAAAATACAAACATCAGTGAATAAATGTCTGTTTCTATTAAGGTTCTACGATTCATTCCTATTAATTATAATACATATGCACATATCAAGTTCTAGGATTCTATCCATTTTGACCACTGTCACCAGTTACCTTTTTATGTTTTTACCATTTCATTGCACAGCTATGACTTCGCACAAATTTGTGATCATCCCTTTGGCAAACTATGGGACATTTCTAATTGCATTTCTCATGGGAACTTGAGAAAACATTTCCATGCAGACACTTGATTAAACCATGTAATGAAAACATAATGCAGGAAAAAGCATATTGACTGGAAAACAAATAACCCAGTCAACATTGATGCAATAACACACATAGTCAAGTTTATCCTCTTCAAAAGGAGCATTTTAATGTACAAAATAAGAAAAAAACAAAAATAAAGAAAACACTGAAATTCACAAAACCATTTCCTCTGAGAAAAAAAAAGAATCCTGTACAAACAGCTGGGTGGTGAGAAAAAACTGTACGGTCAGGTGATCATCTCCTTGGACCACCCCGACCTCGTCCCCGTCCTCTGCCACGCCCTCGTCCTCTGCCTCGTCCCCGGCCAGCCACTGCAAAGAGACACACAGTCAGCACGTTTATCACAAACATTTACCAGCAGATTGAGCAAAAAACTTTAGAGGTGTGGGCCATTCAACATTTAAACCACAACAACAAAGTAAAAAAATTCCCAATATCTTCTAACAACTGTGCAGAAAGATGCTAGAGACAGATCTGCACAACTTGTCCTAAATCTTTAATCTTGGTTAATTTCTTTACGCGATTAGTATCATTAGCTTCTACTTTGCAACACCACTGCTTCACAGAACTGATGGCATTAATGTTAGTCACTTTTCGGTATATGCAAACTCATATTGGCAATGAAAGTGAGAAAACAATTTGCACAAATCTAGCATTCAAAATATCAACATTTGTGCTCAGTTAAAAAAAAAAAGAAAAAAAAAAAAAAAAGAGGATTTTTCCTGTACAGTTGATATAAAAGTTCTAATTCTTGTTCAGGGTTTGTACCACCTTCACACTGACAACCAAAGTGTATATAACCTGCAGCCAGATCAGACTTGGCCCCTCCTAGAACATACATGTGCTAAAACAGGCACAACTACTAAATAAACCTCACTAAATGTAGGGGTTGTTAATGCATTAACAACCTATAAACTTGCTTAAACAAAAGGGTTTGAATTGATATTGAAAAGATATTTCCATGATAGCCCAGTGAAACTCAAGTAAGCATAGTTTACATTTTCCCTCTACAGCTTATTGCTGAAGTCTCAGTCCACCTAAAGGTTCCTTGATAAAAAAAGTGAATGCTACCTGTTACTGGAAGAGGTCACATTTCAATTTCGTTTTTGTTTCAAACTGATTGCACAGCGTGACACTATTACACCTATACAGCATAATCGTAGTGAAGCAACTCTGACACATCAGAAACATCACACCATAAATTAAGAGAAAAAAGGATTATGTATTGTTTGCCGGCACAATAGTCTCCACAACACAAAAAGACACAAGCCTGGTGTGCCCTGATCATCACAGTTTTATCAGCCTTTGTCAATTCTTCCACACTCACCGGCTTCCCTCTTCTTGGACTTGATCTTTGGTTCGATATCAACCAGCAAGGTGTCCAGTGGGAGGCTGTCCGGTAGGATGAAGTAGCGAATATTGTTGCCACGGATACTAAGTGACTCCAGCTGAGTGGGCTCCCTGTTTTTCAGGGTCATTTTCACCGCCTTCAGGTGAGTGTTCATGCTTACATCAACACCTAAACAGGAAATAACAGAGGGATGAAAAACATGAAAACAAACACAGATGACCCACCCAATCTACTTCACAAGGGAACAAACCGCGTGATGTCCAACTAATCTAGCTAAATTTGTAAACACTTATTGTGTTCACACTAAGCCACTGCTTTCAAAAACTCTCCAGCCTTGCGTTTTACTGTGAGCAGGTAAAACTGAACTTCTGGAAAGCAGTGACATCAGCCTGAACGGGGGCTGTGTGGCAGTAAACCCAAAAGACAAAAGGTTTGTCACATCAGACCCTTCCTATGGTCATTCATTTTAATTAAAATGATAAAAAATACAATAAAACAACTTCACAATTATAAAATAGTGATGATGATGATGTAGCAGCACCCAAGTCACCTGGTTACAAAATGGCAGCAATGATCACAGGAAGGGAATGACCAGTTTTAACCAGCAGAGACATGGCAGAGTAACTGGACTGTGTCTGTCTCACTCCTTCCCTAATGTTTGCCCTGATGCAGTTTTATTGTTCTGGTGCTTTAGTGTGGACAGAGGTCTTTACCAAACATAACCTGAAAACTCTAGTGAGAATGCACACAGAAAAATGATCTGGCAAATGCACGCTTTTACAACAACAGCACTGCAAACAATGGGCTCCAATAAGATCATTAATTTGAATCAACACCCCTCTTAGACAGTTTCAACAACTGAACATTACAACACTGAAGGGAAAAGGATTTGTAGCTCCAATGGGCTCTTACCTGTGATGGTGCCATGGACCTGGGTGCCATTCTTCAGTTCGATGGTAACCGTCTCATGGCTGAGCTTCATCAAAAACCTTAAAAGGTACCATTGAGCAAAATTACAGTGTGAACACAGTGATATCTGAACTCAACCGTATAAAGCATGGTGTAACTTGTAGTTAGCCTGGGTTAGCTATTCGCTGTGGAGCTTATAGCACCAAAACAAAAGCACTTGTGTAGCGCGGCCTACGCTTTACATGCACGAACAACTTTCTTGCTACGATTAGTTTTTTTTTTCTTTTTTAAAAAGGCATTTCTCGGTAAGGTTTTAAACGAACTAAACTTTAAATTAGGTTTGGAGTAGCTAAAGAGAGACGGGGCCTACGAGTAATTTAACGTCGGTGTGGATACGTTAATTCGAGCTAGTTAGCAATCAGTTCGGCTCTAATACCTGAACGGCTTTACAGCTAAATCCACTGCTCAAAAATTAATAAAAACCCCACGTGTGTGTATGAATGCTTATTTGTACATAATGCATGTGTGTAGAGTTGTTACAAAGCCTGGAGCTCGGTCATTGTATCGCCGACCAGCCTCCATTCATTTCGCTTCCCGCCTCATCACCGTCTCTCCGTAAATATCTTAATCCATCCGGCGGCGTCGCTTTGTTTTCATCATATATCATCACAGCACTCGACAAACAAAGTGATTTCACGTCCACATACCTGACTAGTTTCATGATGGTGACGGACTGCAGATACAAATCCTCCACCAGAGAGAAAAAATTACAGCGCTCAAGTGAAAACACAGGCCGCTGTCGTACGGTTCACGTCGCGGTGTCACGACGTCACGTAATCTGTGACACAGCGAAGAAGAGACGTTACATGCGACCACATCGCCAACTACCGGTGGAGGGAGGGACAGATCAAGGGAAGTTTCAACTTTTCTTTCTTGAACTAATATATTTTTAGTTTAGTGAAACACAGGAAGAATTTTTTTGTCCTACCAAACATTTTTCTTCACAGGTTTAAAATTACATCTGTGTAGTTATTCTGTTACAGCCATTTTGGCATTGTCTTCATGCAAAAAGTTTAAGGAAATATATTATCGGATTCATAAATGAGAAAATGTGCTTTCTGGTTTCGATGATCCTGACAAAAATAAGCAAAAAGAAATGTATCTTACTATTTCAGTCATTATATAGGCAAACTACCACATCCACAAATCTAAATATACAATATAATATTATCTTTATTTTCATTACTTATTAATCAAACCAACATTATCTTATATTTAAACAATAAAAAAAAGCCATGATTTGTTTTTAAATACATCCTCCTTGTCTGGAATTCAGCCATCATTCATTTTATTAAGGTCCAACAACATGCTCTTTGTTAGTTTAGGAATGAAATGCACTGATGAAACTTTGAATGCGGCACCACTACACCCAGGTCTGTTTGTACCTGCTGGAAATGTAGACATATTGTAGAGTAATATTCAGTAAAGCTGTGCTGCTACACCAACCACACTCTTACTGCATCTCTGGAGACCTGTATGATTTCAAGTTTGAAGTTTGTGATGGAAATCCCAATACAGAATTTGACAAAGTTAGAGATAGATGCATGTTGGCTGGGGTTGTTGTATTTTCCAGTGGCTGCCAGCAGAGGCTATTTAAGCCTGAGGATTGAGGATTTTCCCATTATGGTATTGACTGGTAGAGTACCCTTTTCACTAGCAGAGGTACTGTCCTGCAGCCACAGCACTAACACATTTTGAATGAATAACACTTCATTTGACTTGGCAGTATTAGCAATCAACAGCTCAATATTTAAATAATGATCAAGTTGTGTCTGACCCACAACGGGGTTTAATCCTGAATGTCATTGCCCCAGCAGTGTTTAAACAAGTTACTGCAGGATATTTAAATATTTAAAAAACATGACGTTTACTTGATAATTTCTGGCAAGTTGTTGAAAACTAGTGAGAAGTGGAAACTGACTGTCAACTGAACAAATCTTAAATGTAAAATATATGATGCTCTAGTGATCATAGGGATCAGGGGACAGGAAAAAGGGACGTGAAGCAGCCTGTTCTGCTTTTTCGGATTTTCATTGAAGGCACTTTTGAAATAACTGTCACAAAGCACTTACACAGAACTCATAGCGACACACTTTCAGTTCTTTTTATTGAGAGTAAACTTTGCACTGACACTTTCATTTACAGTTTTGGCCACACATCAAACCTCTCTTATGGACCGACTGGGAATGTATCAAGTATAATCTATGAGAGTGCAATTTCATTCTTTTGAATTGTGAAGTTGTTGGTTGAGGGATTGTTAAAATATAAACATTATATATGAAGTGCAAAATGGCACAGGGCCATTCCCTTGATGCCATAAATCCAATTCTTTTAATTGAGAAAACAAAAAAGAGAAAATAATAATAAAAGCGGCACTCACCAGTCCTCCACACCTTGCCTGACAGCACTGAATTAGTGCAACACATTAACAGCATGCTTGTGCAAATTAAAAGACCCCAGACTCAGTGCTTCCACTGTTGCACCATGCAACCCAAAAGAAGTGTGTGCAGTCCTGTGGATCAAGCCATTCCTCAGTGAACAGAGTCTGAAACTTTGTGGGGCGACACCAGCTGCCCTCACATCTCAGCAGGCTTTATGAAATGTCTTCGTCAGCACCTACAACCTGTCCAGCACCTTTGCAGTCTTATGTTCAATACGGAGAGGAAAGGGTGTAATTTCAGGGTTTTATCACTTCCTCTAAAGTCAAGGTCATTTCTGTGGAGTACTTCATCACTTCACTTTAAACAAGCTTCAAAACTCACACTATCAATTATAAGTGATGCATGTTTGATCGCATGTCACATTATAACTGGCTGCTTTCGTAAAGTCGAAGGAGGAATTTCATCAAAATCAGAATTTGTTCTTCGATGGGATTTCTTTTTCTTTTTTCTTTTTTTTACATTTGTTTGGCATGCTGTCAAAGTATGATTAAAACACTCCATCATTACCATTCCAGTCCCCAAAGCACCAAATCATATCTCAACACAAAAGGCAGTGTTTAATTCTGTTGTAAACATTATGGTTGGGCAATAAAGTTTAAAGATAAAGGCTGCACGACAACCCAGGAGTCAGAGTGCTACATCACATTTGAAAATGAAATTAAAGGCCGACTACACTTGAGCAACATTCAGATAAAGTGGTTGTTAATTATAATGGAAACTCAAAGTATGAATAATAGAAGAATCAATTCTTTCAGACAGCCTCAAAGCAACGTCTGATTGAGTAAATCGCTAAAACATGGGCGTGTATTCTCTGGGGATGAGGTCAAATAAGATAAAACAGGGCTGAAAGGACAAAAAATACAAATGTGCATCAAGAACCTCAGTGTATTATGGCAACAGCCAGAGTGGTGTGTTCTCCATTAACTTCCATTAGCAACTTGTTTAGCATGTTTAAAAAGTAATGACACTAATAAATACCGACAAATAAACAAGTACAATCGAAACAAAAGGCACACAGACCCAACAACTCTGGTCTTAACTGGAAGAGATTTCATCTCTATGATAAGGAATAAAGGAATTTAAAAAAAAAAGAAGGATAAATTACAGTAAAAACCCAACTCATCTCCCATCTATCAACAGCACACTGCACTAGCCATCAGTAGTGGAACAGATATGATAAAAACAGCAAACTTAAAAGTTGCAGAAGGATTTTAATTTACAGTATTTCACAACTGCTTTGGTTCAGATTCCATCTGCAAAACCGTTAATGAAGAGATACACTGACTTAATACATTCTTCCCCTGAACACATTGTGGTTTAATGTTATACTTTCCAAGATTACAGTAGTAGTGAGATATTTACATTTTAGTGAAAAAGTAAACTAATGCAGTGAAGTTCATTATAGTTCATAAAATGTTGTGGAGGTGGAAATGGTCTAGAATTAGTTAGTTTGACAGCATTGTCTGATAATGACAATTTTATTTTAACATGTAACACTGAATAAAATTCAGTGATGAACATATTCAAAATTGTGATGCCCTGATAAACATAATTACCTAATTTTATAGTGATGTTTTCATTGTATGTGTTAAGCATTTTGTGTTGAGTGTTTTGCAAATTGAAACCGTTACAAAAACTGGGCCAAAGCAACTGTAAAATACTGTATAAAAAATATTTGTATGAAAGTCATGGATGAAAGCTCATCTTTGATAAAGACAAAGAAGTACATGGAATGAGTCGCAGGACGGTGCAGTGCCCAGGAAAATTAGAGGGTTCAATCCCCCGTGAAAACAAGCACCCATGACACTGAATTCCTACTGCTGAGACTGACCTCTGACCTCTCTGTGCAGAGGGGACAAGACAATTTATCTTCTGTGATCATCTGAGTATTACAAAAGATTTGTTTCTGTCATAAAATCCAGATAAGCACATCATACGAGCGTGACGTTTACCGAGCAGGCAGGTGTATCGTGGTTCTTTGCAGCCTACTGACAGGAAAGATCAGTAGTGTGTTGGCTCTCTTAACAAAGCAGGCACAGTGTGCATGAAGGTCCAAAAATCTGAATTAGGCCCTCTGATTGTACAGTACGCTGACAAGCTCCAAGGTTAAAGTTATCATCATATTTGGCTCTCGGAGCTCTGAACAGGCTCATGGTTGGGTCGGTGTGTTAATAAAGTGTTGGTGTACGAGGCAAGTTTGGATTTCAGCAGCACCAAAACTTCACCCTGAACAAACTGAGACGACAAATACAGGAGGCAGGGAATAAATAAAATAAGACGTGCAGCATTTTATGTGTTATGATATCAGTAGCTTTCCATTGATGGACTCTGTTTTAAACACTCATTTGTTTTCAAAGAATAAGTTTGTCTGTTTTTACAGCAGACAAAAGCACTTAAAAAAAAAAAATAAAATAAAACTGCGTATGACATCATCTTTACTGGACAAAGTCTGCAGGGCTTTATGTCCTCTCTAGATACAGTATAATACATACAGCAACACTCAACCCCCAAAGACCTACATCTTTCATCGAGGCATCAACGTTATATCTTATATTTCTCCATCAGAGTTTCACTCTAGTTTTCCTGTCTTTGATTTTCTTTCCTCTTTCACTTTCATCACTCTCTCATCTCTCTCTTCCTGTACTTGGCTCAATTTTCTCTCTCTGCTCCATCACACCAGGTGTACTTGCTCCTCCCACTCCTCAGGTGATTGGTCCACCTCTAGCTGAAGAACCAGGTCTAAGTCTCTCTCCGTGGCCGGGGCAGTGTGTGCGGGACTGTTTCCACGTTGGGAGTGTGAGCACGGGTGTGTGTGCGCTTCGTCCAGCGACAGGTCTGCCACACACCCTGTGTCCACACCCTCCTCGCCAGCCTCTCTGTTTTCCAGCTCCAGAGTGCTGGGCCTCGAGGTCTTCAGGCCCTCCACGCCGGCAGCACCTAAACGGGGACTCGCCGACCCCCTGTCCGCTTCTGGCTCGCCCTCCAGGGGCTGCCAGAGCGGGGCGGGGGTCACGCCCCTGGAGGTTTGGCTCTCTGACTCAGTCTCAGTGTGTGTGTCAGGGGAGGAGTCGGTTTCTGTGGTGGGCGGGGAAGGGATGAGGGCCAGGCTCTGGGGGTTGTTCTGCGGGTTGATGTTGTTGTTAAACCAGGCCATGATGTTGTCCAGCAGCTGGGCACTGGCTGTGGGGTCCAGGGCCTCCAGACTCTGAGGGTCGCTGGGGGTGAAAGGGCCCCCTGGGGGGATCACTGGTGAAAGCAGCAGCTCCGGCTCGAGCTCTGGAGACGGGAGGCACAACTGGGCAGGGGGCTGGGGCTCTGTTTTGGGTGGGCGTTCAAGAGCGTAGGCAGGAGGACGCTCCTGAGTGTAAGAGCTACTGTGTTCTGGGCAAGGGTTGTAAGAGCTGTCTGGTTTTGGGGTGCTGTCATACGTGGCTGCGTGCTCCCGGTTATATGAACTAGGATGGGCGGGGTTTGAGGTGGGATTTTGGGTGCGTTCTGCCGTACAGGAGGCAGTGTGTTCAGCCTCAGCCAAATAAGCAGTGGCGTGGCAGTAACTCTGCTCTTTGCCGTCATAGCGAGGATCTGTGATGGTGATATGGTCGAGCACATATGGAGCTGTCAGTGCACTCTGTTCCTGTCTATGGCTGCAGTCGCTGTAAGCGGGTTCAATGGTGTAGGGAGCAGTGAGAGTACTGTGGTTGTATGTGTGGTGTGAGCAGAGCTGCTCCTGGGTGTGTGTGTCCAGGTCATAAGGAGTGGTTATGTTCCCCAGTTTCATAAGGCTGTCTCCCAGCTCCAGCAGCTCTGCACTGAGAGAGGGAGGTGGGGGAGGAAGGGGGAGAGGGTTAGATGTGGGAGGCTGGGAGGTGGAGTCTGTCCTGTTAGGGGGGCGAGGAGGATCCAGGAGAGAAGAGGGGAAAGATGAGCCTCTGGCTCCTGGAGGACCGTCCGTGTTGAGGGAGTGCAAAGCAACATCACCCAGGTCTCCTGTGGGACCCGGCCTCCTCTCCTGTCCTCTGTCCAGTCCACGCTCCAGCTCCGCTCTCCCCTCCATCCCTCTCTCCAGGCCTCCCTCCAGGCCTCGCTCTCTGCGGGAATCCTGGAGTGAAAGCTGGATGGCCAGGAGGATGTTCGGGTCATCCTCATCCAGCGAGCCCAGCACTCTCCTACGGCCCTCGCTCCTCTCTGGAACTTCTGGAACAGAAAATGTCATATTAAAACGAGGACTGCTTTGTGTGGCTTGACTGCCAATTGATCCAAGTGATCAATGCCCTTGTGTGCTTCGACAGACCTGATTCATAGAGCCATAAAGTAAAATCCCATTTGCTGGTTGTCTGGTGCAGTGACAAGTCAAAATTTATAAATGGAGGCAGGGAATAGAGTTGGACTGGGATATATAGTTTGTGCAAATGCATTGCTATAAAAAATCTGCTGTATATGGTACTATAAATGCCCCATAGAATACATACACCTTTCTTGCCTTTTGGATTATCCTTCTGTAATAAAGATCATTATATAAGGCTACGAAACATTCTGTTTTCTAGACCTGTGTTGTCACTCCTCCTGCTGGTCTCTGGTGTGTTGCTGCTGCTTCTGAGGTTGTGCAGACTCAGCATGTCTCCTCTGCGCCGTGGCCTGTGTCTACGACGGTACTGAATGTCAGCATAATCCTGCAAAGAGTGATTCAAGCTGGGTTACAAAACCAACTCTAAGCAGCTGTGACATTTAGTCTATAGTGTTGTAAGGAAACTGAATACAGCCCATGCATATGCAAAAAATGGCAAGAAACTATGGTACATTACCTGTGACTGCCTCTCTCTTTGATCTGCTCCCAGTACAGTGTGACGATTCCCCATCTTAACACATAAGAAAACTTAAGTCAGTTGCAGCCGTTGTCATGCATTAATATGACTTCATACAGAAGTAGGTCACCGAAATGCACCAGTGTGGTTTGAGAAAGCAGCATTAGCTTAGCAAGAACTAAAAAAAGTTGGCAGAATAAAAACGTTCATGTTTTGGTGTGTCTCTATTTACCTCTGGAGAGGCAAAGCCAAGATACTCCCAGTCCCATGATCCTCCAGGGTAGCTGAAACAAATACAAACACAAGAATGTTTTATCAAGGGTATTTATACCTGTACTTTGTCTCCTGAGTCTCTGCCAGTGTCTCTTCTGTGCAAAGAATTTGTTAACCCGAGCAAAGCGAAACTACATTTTGTTTATGTGTGAGTGTATTTGTCCTTACTTCCTGCGGGGAAGCTCAGGAGAGTCGTTGGGAGCCACGCCACGGGCCACTGATGCCAGGAACTCCTGCCTCTTCTGTTGGACCAGCCGGGCTGCACTGATTATCTTGTGACACGGCGTCCTCAGGTACGGCCGGTTCACCTTCTGTGCCAGATCCTCCACTACCATCTCCAGGTCGGTCTGGGACGAAACAAAGAAAACATGCCAACTCCCATCTACTCAAAGACTGGAAATTCAAATTTAAAAAGGGATTTGTAACATATATTTAACTCATACTGTAGATAAGATATGGGCTGATTATCTCACAGCAGACTTTATTCAATATTAATCCTTTTTTAAGTGTCTGAAAAGTAGATGAAATGGACCTCTAGTGGTTCAAATATTTTTGCAAGGATCTTCTGTGCTTAACTGTACTTAAATTCAATCACTACAATCTCAACACTCAGCATGACCAAAAAATCATTATCACAGCAATGCTGCAAACTAGATTAGTACCATGTTATGAGAATACAAAACACCAGCTAAAACAAAAGCAGTGTTTTAACTATTAGGAATGTCCAAGCATCAAAAATGCAAATTAGAAACTGCACTAACACTTTGGAATTCAGATTAAATCTTATCTTATTATCTTATAAAATGTGGTCATGCATAAAAGTGCTCTGCCCAGAAAGTGTGAAGAAAAATCATTTATATGCAGTATATGCATACAAAAGGGAAGGCATAGCTCAGGTATTAGAGCAGGTTGGCTGCTAGTCACTGTGTTGGCGGTTCATTCTCCAGCCCCTCAAACCCAGGGTTGTGTCAGGAAGGGCATCCTGTGTAAAAATCTATGCCAAATCAACTATGTGGCTGGTGTTCCCCTGTGGCGACCACTAATGGGAAAGTCAACTATGATGCGTATATGCATAAAAAAGTCATGTTGTGCAGGTCACTTGCCCAAGGATGCCTGTACAGTCTCTCAACAGCAACTAGCCAAATGTACATGAATTTTTCTTTGGATATTTATGGTCCTCAAATGGCAACCCGGCCCACATACCGATTTGTACATAAAAATACACAAACTAATGGTAACATTGCCATTTGAATCTAGGAACAATACTTTGTTCTAACCATTTAAACTCTGGGGGATCCAGTTAACAGCTGAGCTCTGAAGTTGTTAGTCTTGTTGTTCCAGTAGATGCATGCATGACAGATATGTATCATTTTACCTGCATGAGCTCAAATATCTCTTTCTGGGTGCTGCCTTGCTGCAGGAAGAAGCCGTATGGGTAAGAGCACTTCAGCACGCGCCGCGTCTTCAGCAGCTCACACACACCGTCCTCAATGAACCGTGTGTCTGGAGGAGTGCCTTCACCTGCACCAGAAAAGATACACTTATACAGGCACCATTATGGTCTCTGATTTCCTTGTAGCAATTAACCTAGCCAGTATTACAACGTGGTTTGGATTAATGTATTATGATAAAGCCAAAGCTTGGGTGTGAGGCTGACAGAACTATGCTCTAATCACGTATTAGCAATTTTGACAAACATTTTGACATTTGAAACTCTATTCTGATGCAGCTCGTGCCAACAGGTTGGGATCAGTATAAGAGAGACATACGGCTAATGAAGGCTCTGCTCAGCTGCTCCATCTTCTCTTTAGCTGTTTTCAGCAGCTTCTGCTCCAACTAATGGGCAGAGAGGAGAGAATACACATTTATTATGTAATGATCTTGAGATTCAGATGCATGCGTATGTGTGCGTGTGTGTGTGTGTGTGTGTGTGTGTGTGTGTGTGTGTGTGTGTGTGTTGAGAGAGAATTACCTTATAACTGTGTTCATGGTTCTTGAAGCGAGTGTAGTAGTGCATGAACCGGTCCAGCTCCTGAAAACTTTTGTGCTTCTTTTCTGCCTGTAACAAAATGATGATTGGCGTGTGTATCAGTTTGTGTGAGTATATTAAATGCTCTGGAGCATTTCAACATGTGCTTATCTGACAGGTGATTGTAGTTCTTGTATTGTGGAAATGTGAGCAGGTAAATGTACGTTTGTGTGGATATATTTTGGTTGCATGTATGTATCAGCGAGAACCTGTGTGTGATTAACTGAGTGTGTCTTCTGTATTTTAGTGTCTGAGTGTGTGTGTGTTTGTACCTCGACAGTCATCTCCTTGGACTGCTCCTCTAGCTGTTGGATGACCTCATAGCGAGTACAGCGATAGTACCCTCCTGTTGATGAGCTGTGCTTCTTCCACTCCTCCAGACAGATCCAACAGAAATCATACTTACACTACACAAAGAGAGAGAAGATGTTTTTAATAATTTAAACCTAAATATAGTACATAATGGAAGAAAAATATGCTGACATGCTGACAAAGAGATTAGTGAGTATACCTTGGCACACTGCATATGGTTGCAGCCCTCATTCTTCTGAATGGGTGACTTGCAGTTGGCACATGGTTTGGAGTTGGTCAACAGCCACAGGCAGTTAGCAGCATCCTCATAGGCCTCGCTCACACCTGCCACTGTGGAGAGTACACACAAACACACAGTTCAGCTACATCTCAATTGTCCAACACCTGCCTTACAGACACACACATGCATGCATTTGGCAAATATCAATGACCTGAACACCTGCCACTATGTTATAAAAGTAAATTAGACACATCCTGGTAGGCTGTGCCAACAGCTTTCGTTAACTGCCTTACTGTGGTGCCATCTTACTGAGGTGCAGCTGAAATGATCTCTGGCTATACCAGAAACACCCAGAAAATTCCAGGAAGCACAAACAATACAGGACAGACTTACACTCCTCAGGCTTCATCTCTGTGACTTTCTGGAGCCAGTTCCTCCACATCTGACAGTCACATGGCTCATGGGCCTCACCAAGGCACTCCCTGCAGACAGGGAGGGGCATAGTAAATTACAAGGCACTAAGACTTAAGGAGTCTGACAACTTGTCATTCTTTTCCAGAAAGATAAGAGAGGGAAAATGCACAGCAGAATGAAGTCATAGTTTGTGATAACATATAATTTGTTGGGCTGATCAAAAACAAAAAAGATAATAGCTGCCTCACGTAAGTTTTTAGGTCAGTTTTGTGAGCTGTGATAAAGAAAACTGCAATTTACAGTGCGGTTTTCAAAAACAAGACTAATGGTTAACGCTGTCACGCCCTGAGTGAACAGTAATGACCATGTTCAACAAAGTGGGCTCTTCTTCCAGCTGTGGAGAAAAGGGACAAAGAGGGTGGCTTAAACATTATATTGGCTTATACTTGAGCAAGGGAGACTTGTGTCTGGCTTTGCTAAATGGTATGTTAGTAACACCTTGTTTATATGTATGTTAAGATAACTATGTGTGCAGGATAATTGCATGTGTGTGTGTATAGCCAATGAACCATGAAGTGTACCAGCAGAAGAGGTGACCCTTGCCACAATCAACAGCTGGTGAGGGCAGAAGTGGGAAGCTGTGTGGGTCACTGTCCCCGGGGCCTGGTCGAGTGAGCCTCACCGCTCGCTCACAACGGGCTGCAGGACACCAGCGGATGGCGGGATTGTTCTCCACAAATGCCTGGGAAAAAAGGGTGACAAGAGAGGAGATAAGAGAGATGAGAGAGAAAGAAAGGACACAGCTAGAAACGAACGATAGATGTTAGGCGAGGGACGAAGACACACAAAAAAATAACAGGGAGAAAAGCAGAGTGTATGCATGTATGAGTGTTTCTACCTTGATGTCAAACTGTAGGTACCGCTGGTCCATCTCTCTGGAAACCACACTCTCTATCACATGCACTGGCACCAACTGATAACACTCATACGCTGGGCAGAAGATATTGTGTGCATCACCCTCCTGAATCTTTACGTTGAGGAACCTGAGAAAAACACGAACGTAAGAAAAATGTAGAAGACATCTAATACGTATGCAGGAACATTTACACACAAACACAGGTCCCTACCCCTCCCAACAGGCTCTGCAGAACTCATGGCCACAGGACATGTCCACTGGGTCCTCAAAGACTGAGATAGAGCAGAGACAGATTCCACACTGCAGAGGGACAAGAAGGACAAATCACATGATTTACACCGACTGATAGCATAATAGCACCTATAAAATTGTTGTATGTTCCATTTAATAAAGATTCTGTACTTTTTGCTGTGTCATCTCCATCATTTTACACAGAGGAAGGACAAAATAACAGACTGTGACTTTGCTAGAGGATTAAGTCAATTCCATTGTATGTTTTGAGAGAATATGATGTGGCATATTTTTCCAAGGTTCATGCTGTTTCATCATACCTTTAAAGTAATATTAAATCCCATCCATAGCCTAAGATACACCCAAATGTCCTTTATCTTGTTCATGTAAGTCTTCAGGTAGAAGCAGCCTAACAACTTGGGATCTGAACATTTTAAAAGCCTGAAAGTTAAACTGCAGCCAGGATTAGCAGGCAGACAAATGGTAAGGACTGGATGTGTAATTACGCCTGCCTCATCAGCAAAAGTGGACAACAGGCTGATGCTGATGTAAAACTACAAAGAGCAGAGAGAGGAATTGTCAGAAAGAGGCCTATGACCTTCTTTGCTCTAATAAGATGAGACATTAACCTACTGTAATCAAACAAGTGAGACACTTGGCATTCTATCAAAAGCTCAACTACAATAAAAGTTTTCTTTGATAAGAAAAGTTTGCAATATCTTAACACGTCAGTCCGTTCATTCATGTTATCTGTTAACACATGGCTGCCATTTAAATACAGGGAACATACAGGGCCTGTCTTAGATTCTGTACATTTAGATTAGACTGAAATCCAACAGGACAATGAAAACTGTGCTGTTCACTACAGTTGGCTCCCAAGGTTAATAGTTATGACTTTCAGTAATCCTGTCATCACAACCTACCTCACAATCCCAAAGCAATCAACAAAAAAATTCTATTCAGAAAAAAAAGCAAAAAACAGTCTTGTCATATTTAAGTCATCACTCTGTCTTACCGTAGCCAGGCCCTCCTCTCCAGGTGTGAGGCAGCTATCAGTGGGAGAGGTGAGGGTGAGCGTGAGGGGTGAGCGCGGGGTCCTAGGGGTGCGGGGTGAGGGTAACGTGTCCCAGGCATTGTAGCCACTGGGTGGTGGGGTGGGCATGGCCACGCCTGAGCGCTGACAGCAGCCCTCAGCGTCTGACATCCAGGCCTCCAGAAGCTTTTCTCTGTCCCAGTCTGAGAGAGGGAGGAGGTTAAATACATGTTTAGAGACAGGGAACAAATTCTATATTATTTATTTTTCATAAATATTGCAATCTCACTGCAGTGCTGTGAGGTTCAGTCAATGTATAAATGTGAACTAAAAGACAAACACACACCATGTGCTCGGAGCAGGGCCTCAGCAGTGAAAAGGGGGGCTTGCAGCATGTCTGCCGTCTCCACAATCAGCATGTCCTTCAGCCTGCGCAGGTCCTGAAGCTTCAGTCCCTCGTAAGGCTGAAAGGATAGAGTGGGTAAAATGTTAGGAAAATACACACAGAAATAAAGAAAGAGGAGGCTGAGATGAAAGACAGAAAAACGAGAAGCAGAGAAGAGGAAAACTATGTCAGAGAGAAGGTGAGGGCAAGAAATTATGAGAAGAGAAAAATATATTAAACAGAAACAAGAAAAGGATGAGATTGAGCTATGTTTAAGGAAGTGAAAATGATAATGTGAGAAAAAATGAAAAGGACTGGGATGTAAGGCAGTGAGCACAGGGGGTTGTGGTGGGAAAGAGAGATTAAGTATTAGCATGGATTTGAATGCTGGACGGAAGATCAAACCGCTATCAGTTGGCAGCAGCCACTGCTAGACGACTGTGCTAGTGCCCTCTGCTTAACTAAGACCCATGACGCAAGGTGTGTGCATTCTCATATTCCTATACTTGCAAGAACCAGTGCAAGTTTGTAGAAGATATTTTGTTGAGAAATTGGTGACATTTGAAGGTGAGTGGTAAGAATACCGTCACAGGCACTGCGGGCTTCAATGGTTACATAGAAGAATGAGGGGAGCCGTTCAATGCAGATAAGTGAGAAATTTAATCTGCTTAGTTTGTCCACAAATGCAGGCACTAAGAAACATACAGAACAAAAAAAGACTGAAATAGCAGCTACTCGCGTTAATTTACTGCTTGACATCACTTGGTTGACCTCAGCAAAAGCTGAGTGAATGAGAAAGATAATATAAAACTGTGAAATACTGATAGCACAAATGGTCTCCAATTTGCTTTCATGTAGATTTCCAACAGTCTATTCAGAGTAATAGTTATGATCCTGCATCATCTATAAATTTTTCTTTCAATTGACTAATTGTTGCAGCTCTTTAGGAAGAGCCACTGTGTACCTTTTTTATCTTCATATGTTTTTTCCTTGTGCTTCTCTGTATGAGTTTGTCTAAAAAAAAGCAGGTGTTAATTGTGTTATTGTTATGCCTGTATCACATTTCCTTCTGTAAAAGCAAGATGATTGCACACATGACTTTAAATGACTATTTAGGAACTTCCATTACTTGAAAGGTTTACAGTTAATTAAATTTAAATTTCTACATGAAACTGTAAGCACCTGGCATAGTTTTGAGTTAAGTTTGCTTGACAGTATGAGAGGTGAAAATAAACATTAAGCATTTCCCAGGCAAGATGCCACCACTGTAAGAACAATGTAAGAAGTGAATGCTTCAAAGTTTGACAATGACTTACCAACTAAGATCTGTGACTTTAAAAAGCATAAAAATAACACATTAATTATAAACGTCAGGGCAGCAGGAAACCCCCAGATCTCGTAACTGTGGTCTCACCTCCTTGTATTGCAGCAGGTTGGTTTCACCATGTGCGTCTGTGTTTGACTGCTGAGCTGAAGAGGAGGAAAAAACCATCTGTGACTCCAGGCTGAGGGCCAGCTCTGTGTGGTGATGCCGCTCAGCATGGTCACATGGCGTCAGCTTGTCCTCATCCTCCACAAAAAGGTCCGCCTCACTCTGGATTAGCAGCTAGAGGGAGGGACGAGGAGGGAGAGGAGAGAGAACAAAAGAAATGGGTGAAAAAAAAGAGAGAAATGGATAATGTGGAGGAAAAAGAAATTGAATGAACTTGCAACCAAAGACAACAAAGGAAGCCAGAGGCGAGAGCAAGGGGAGCAGACAAAGAAAAAACAGGAGGAAGGGGGAAAAGAGAAAGAGTAAAAAAATATGATGGTAGAAAACAGACAAGATATATGAGAAGGGGAAGACAGTGACATGTAAAGAAAGAGGGAGAAAAATGACAAGTAGAGGAAAGGTAAAAAATGAAAGGGAGCAATGAAGGAAGAAAAGGACATATAGTAAAATGGGTTAAAGGGGTTGAAAGGTGTACATCAAGAAAGAGGTGTAAACACAGTTTATGAAAGGTTGAATAAAAGATGAAAGAAGAGAATGTAGAGGTGAAAAGAAACTTTCAAACTTTTTATCTTAAAGGATAATATCTGGGTTATTTTTAGGCTGCCCATATCAGAGCTGAGCTCAATGTTCTTTTAATTCAAGGAGTGGACTTTCTTCCTGCTCCAAAAGCTGTACAATCTTTAAAAACAAGGGAGGAAGCGCTACTTGGATCTGACAGTAATGAAACACAAAGCAGATGCTCCCTATGAAAGGACAGGCATAATGTTCAGCCTACATATTTGACTGGCTATAAAACCTTTGCCAAATCCAATCTTAAAGAACTCAAACAGATCTGCCACACACAAATGATGGCTCATCCTAATGTTTGAATTTCAGAGCACTTTCTCTCACCTCCACACAGCTCTTCATGCCTGCAGCAGCAGCATAGTGCAGACAGGTGCTGTGGTGGTTGTCGGTGGCGTTAACGTTGGCCTTCTCGTACTGGCCTCCCTCCAGCCTGGCCCCAGTCCAGCTTAGGATCATCTGGCAGCGGGGAAACCCACAAATACATCGACACATTATTTGTATGTCAACTTTAATAAAAGCAATGACTTAATACATTACATCACGTTTTTTTTCCCCACATCAACATGTGAGTGTGTACACTAAACTATATATATCTCTGCACATGTGTTTGTACCTGTAGGCAGTCCGCACGGCGCTGCTCGTCCCTCTGTGGTCGGGCAAGTCGTGGTGACAGCGCTCCCTCTGGCAGCAGTAGGATCTGCGGGCCTTGGCACAGCACATGGAGGCACGTCTCATTGTGCACATTACGCTTGTTGGGGTTCCCCTCTTTGCTGAACAGGAAAGACCTACACAATGCAGGCAAGAAAAAGATTAAATAAAATAGGAGGACAAAAGGACAATTATAAGGAAAGAAGGCTTTAATCGGAGGGTGGAAGGGAAGGTGGAGAAGAAAAGTAAAACGCGCCTAAGAGAGATACAGAGATGTGGAGAGGGAGGAGTGGACGGAGGGATGAGTGGAGGACAAAGTATGGTAGTGAGATGGTCTGTGAGATGAGTGTTGGTGGGTAAGACGAAAGGTGGAGAGAAGGAAGAGAAGAAAGATGGCTGAATATTGACTATTTCTGTTTAGCATCTCTGAGATAATGGACATGCTGGCTGGCGGGTGCACACACACACACACACTCAGATGGTGATGGATGTGCCAGTTGCACCAGGAGCCCAGCTGTGGTTGCAGTTCTGTTTAGTAAATAGTTTTTCTCTGCTCTTTGTCTGTCAAAATCTCCATTTACTGATTAGCTTTCCGCTCTTTTATATGGCACCTCCTATTCCTTTCTTCCTCTTCAAGTTTCTTTCTGCTTTTTTTGAAAACTTCCATTTCTCTTTTTCTATCCTATACTTATTTTTTTCTCCTCCTCTACGGTGTCTATTTATATTCTATCTTTCTTCCATTTGACATCTTTTATTACATTGTCCCATGGCAGCTGTGTGTTAAACTGTAAAGAAAAACATGTTTCTTTTTGATCAGTGGTTATAACATGGGTATTTGAACCTTCTCAGTAATGCAAAAATTCAACAAAACAGAAGAAAATAATAAGATGTCAAAGGATTTCCACTGAAAAAATAAAACATCTCCCTCTCGGCTCTCTCCGCAATTTGGACACAGCAGTAGCCACTATTGAATTAGTGTCTGAATGCTTCCTTATTGTGCAGCCCTTCAGCCTATTCTTCCACTGCTCTCCTGCTCTTCCACTTTTGACCTTTTTATCCTGTCATCCACAAGCCCCCGAGCCTCCCCCTAATGACAGCGCACTGCCAATTCACCCGCACAGCAATAATCACTAATTATCCCCCTCTCAACTACAACCCACCACCCCCCACCTCCACACACACACACACACACGCACACGCACACGCACACGCACACGCACAGGATGGATCGCCCTAATATCAGTCTACTACAAACAACAGGCTAGGGGACGTCACGTTTTGCTGCAACTGTCAAGCGTCAAAGCTGTTCAGACAGTGCAGTAACTTGAGGAAACTAAACCTCAGAGAACACACACACACGCACATAACATTTTAGTGAAAAATAATGGGGAAGTTGCTGTATGTTGACAAATTTCTTAACACCGTTGCTTCTTCAAACAGCAGAAAAATCAATGGTTCATAAATGAGTAACCAAGTCAGAGTTGTTATTTACATGTTTCTAAGAGTGTGTACTCAGTTGTTGTGGAGGAAGGGTTACACTTCCTGAACTACACCCATTTTTCCAGTAATAGGTCTACTTGTGATTTCCCACTTTGCACATCTCATGGGATTACTAGCCAATACAACCCATGGAGATGACTACAGGAGAGCAAATAAACATTAAGCAGATACATGTTAAAAATAATCTGAAAAACAGACTCTGTATCTACCAGCCCACGCTTGTCCTCCATGAGTCTTTATTTTGTCTGAGATTTCTCGGTCGTCTATCTGCTCTGTCCAATCGAGCTGTTGGAACAAAGAAGCATTTCCTCTGATACTTATCAGGAGCCAAGCGCTGCGTTCAGCACGCCTCTCTGGCCCATTATAGGTTAGTGGGAAGGGACACAAATAGCACACCAATTGATTCACTGTGTTATATTCACAGACTCGGACACGTTAAGCAGTTGTGGAGTCACAGTTTCCCCCCTCAAAACACACAGGCACGTGTGCACACATGCAGATGCACAGATAATTGACTGGCCTTTTCAAACAGCTTCCTCTGACCCCCCCTGTAATCATGGAAAGAAAGGGCAAGAGAGAGGAAGAGTGTAAGGAGGAGGAGGAGGAGGTAAGGATGGCTATTGAGTCACTGAATCAGCTGTCTCGGTCATGGCCAGCAGCCTGATTATCCCTGCAGGGGGTACAAAGACACACTGGTGTCTTGTTCTCCATATGTTTTTTAGTTTGACCCCTTTCTTTTAGGTCATGTTAGACTCAGTCACTCTCCTTTATGGTTTCTCTTATGACATTATCCAAGGGAGAGTGTGCTGGTGTGTGTGTGTGTGTGTGTGTGTGTGTGTGTGTGTGTGTGTGTTGCATTCCCAGAATGCAACTCATTAGCCTCTCGTCAGAAACTCTGCTAGGTGCCCAGATCTTTTTCCACATAACAAGTTTGTAATGCAGGCTTTCTGCTAAAATGTTTAAGTCTAAAGCCCAGTTTGAGCTAACCCTGATGACATCATTAGTTATTTTTTCAGACTTAGAAAGCTCCCTCCAGAGCCATACAAGACCACTGCACAACTGTTTTCACAGGCTGACTACGACTAGCACTATGAACATCACCTGTAAAAACTCCTTTAATGTTTGTTTTTTGTTGAGATGTTTACAGGTGCTCAATGAAGTCATTGGTCATTTTAAAGGCTCTAGTTTGCGTTTTTTTCTACAAATATGTGTTGGTGATGGTCTAATTGCCAGTGCTCCTAATGGCTCATGCGCTTTTTCTAGTATAGTCTGTAGTCTGCAGTCTTTATAGTCTGTGTAGTAAGTTACTTTATTTGCCTTAAAAATACAATTATGAAAATGGTGACTCTCAGATATCTATTAAAGCTGACATACTGCTAATTGTTATTCAATTTAATATGACTCACTGCCTTTGTAACTGTATTAGATAACTGCTTAACTACATTATAAACCCCAGCCTCAAAAATGACGGTCAAATTCAATTGACTCCTCAAACAAATCCAAACCAAAATAGAAACAAAGCATGAGTTTTACCTGAGCAGACGGGTCATGGCATGGCGACAGACGTAGTGCAGGGCTGTGTTGTGCTGGTACTGCTCTCCGTATGATGCATTTGGGTCCAGGCCGTCCCTGAACTGAGGGTTACCCTCATACAGCTGCCAGGCCAGGGCCTCGTCGCCACTCACCAGGGCCTTGCGGAACTTGGTGGCTGTGTTGCCCATGGCTTCAAGCTTGCAAAAGGCCGCCTTAAGGGAGCTGTGGCAGATGCCCGTCTGCCCGTCTGCCTACGCCTCCCTCCTCCTCCTCCTCCTCCTCCTCCTCTTCCTCCTCCCCCGTTCACCACAGGTCACAACCTACAGCAACATGGTTCAGTGTTTTCCTGCCCTGTAAGTAGGAGAGAGACACTGATTAGAGGAAAAGGATGGTGGAAAGAGGGACATGAGAAAAGGAAAGAATTAGAATGGGTGGAGAAAAAAAAAAGGCTGGTGAAGGTAGGAAAAAGGAGAGAAAAATAACAAGACAGAAGACGGCAGCTAAGAGTAGGGAGAGATGGTAGAGAGATGAAGAGAAGATCAATCAATCAGTCCATCCATCGATCAGTTGATGTGCTACAGCGAGGACGTTATCTTACCGGAAATAGAGAGAAAACAGAGGGACAGAGGAAAGAAGCTCAGAAGACAGGGAGATAATTATAAAGAGGACAGGCCAGAGAGGAAAGTTAATGATATCCAAGCCATTGATTTGTTAGACAGTTGATGAAAGGCATGGTCAATATTACCTCAGCTGCCCACTGCGAGTCCGTTAGTTCGCGTTTGTGAAGAATTTGCATATATTAAGCTGTTTACATGCTTGTCTGCTACTGAAGATATGACAGTCTGAATGTGTGTTCAACCATGCAGCACTAATACACTGGGCCACAACCAGTTTTTACTTTGGCTCTCAGGGACTAAACCAAAGAATCACAAGAATCACAGCTATGGCTACTACAGCTGGGTTTACTCTCCCAGGCAACAGCTTGTAAACCTCCTGTTGATTCACAAGTTATCATGATCTTTTCATTATCTTTCTCATCCTCCTATGAATTTTAAACTCACTTAACTGGCATGACAAGCAGTTTTTATATCACAAAGGAATTATATGACATGCGACGCAAAGGTAATAACAGAGTGGTGAAAGGGAACAGATATGGGAAACAAACAAACACTCTCTCTTTTGTCACATATTGTTCATAATCACTATCTTTATCAATGTGTTCTGCTTCATTTCCTTCAAGTCTTCCCAACCTCTCCTTCTTTCTCTCTCTCACACACACACACACACACACACACAGACACATACAGTTTGTCCTGTCTTTAACACACACAAAGACACACCATTACATCCTGTAATGAGTGGAGTCTGTGCATGTGCCTGTGTGTATTGGGCCATTGAGATCATTACAGTCTTCATTCTATGGCCATCTGTCTGGCCCTCACAAAGAGCCTCTTTTAGCCCGGCTACAGTTGGCCACTGGCTGGCCAGGCTCTGGAACATTTGAATAACGCGGCTGGCTGCCTCCCCTCTTCTGCCTCCCATTTCTATGCAGTGACAGACAGGAAAAACACACACTGACAGACGGAGACATACGGGTCACACAGAAGCTGCTGCCACTGGCGAATAATAGCCAACATTTTGTAAGTTCTGCTCCTGTGATGCAAGCATTAGACTGGACCTTATCCATGTGTGTGTGTGTGTGTGCGTGTGTGTATCTGGAGGGATGATGGTGGTGGTGACGGGGGTTTACTATAGTTAATAGGTCAGTCTGTCTGCTTGGCTCTCTGTTTTGTGCACACTGGTTTACTTCCAGTTCACTTCACTTCACTGTGCATCTCTGCCAGTCTCTATCTGTTTCTCATACTAAATAAGGACAGGAAGTCTGGACATGGAGGAACTTTGGAATTCCAGGATCGCAAGTTCGGCTGTTTGCACTTGGCTGTGACAGTGCATTTATATACTATTATGAAAGCTCTTTGAGTCAATACGTCACTCAGTAGTCGGGTGGAGTGAGGCTCACGAAGTGGTTCCCTCCTTGTGGAATGGACACTTGTCCTATTAGCCTTAAACCACACCAGTAACACAAGTATGTTGAAATAAGTTTGAAAATCAACAATATGAAGTTACACTCATACCACCAGATCTACACAGAACCTCCTCTGGTACGTACGGTATTCCCCATTTCAAGAAATGCAATCATCGAGACTTAATGACTCATTAGCTCCAGAATCCCAAATGTTGTCTGGAAAACCTGTCTGATGATTCCTGCTTACAATAGCTCAAGTCACGGCATCCTTCGTTTCTCAAGAAACCCATCCAGTGATTCACACAATGACAAAGTCAAGCGTCACAATATTTTCAACCAATATCGCAATTCTTGATGCTACTGTGGGTGTGAGTGGGGTTCAAGCTAAAATGATCATCAGGAAATGAACCTGTCCTGGGACACAGTGTAGAGCCAACTTCACTGTTTTCTAAAAGAGAAGATGGATTTAGTCAGATTAAGGCTGCTACTAATAACTTTTCTCATTAGCAATAAATCTAACAATTATTTTCTCAAATAATCAATTAATTGTTTGGTCAATATAATGACAGGAAAATGGCGAAAAATGCCTATCACAACTTCCTAAAGCACAAAATGATGTGTTGAAATTTTTTTGCTATGCCTGACCAGCAGTCTAAAACCCAAACATGTTCAGTTTGCAATCACATACAAACAGAGAAAAACAGCAAATCAGCACTTATGAGAAGACGGAACTTGATTATCTGGCAGTTTTGCTTGATAAATGAATTAAACAACTGAATATTATTAAAAAAAGATATAGTTGAAAACAATTACTAGTTGCAGTCCTACCATGGACACTATCTGTCAAACCTTGATATTAATATCATACTGATGTGTATCTCAGCTCTGTGATAAGTGTTCACAGTCTAGCTATATTCAGCAAGTTATGATTGATTGAAGACTTTACAAACAAGAAAATAGCATTTCAGCCTTAACTGCTAACACCTTAAAAGTCAAATCTACAGTTACTACTTTGCTACTATCACCGTAACATGTCTTCAAAACAAAAACCACCCACTGCAGTGCAATTGCAGTTATCAAAACTTGCTGTCAGCTGATACACATTAACTCAAACAGCTCAACTAAAAGTATGAGTGGATCATGCCGCTGTATAAACAGCTGGGGGGCAAAGTCAGGTTGTCAAAAGACACATAAAACTTATACGAGAGAGTCAAAGTCAGGCAAAAGCTGTATATTGATGTACAGTGCAACTTAACTTCAAAATCACTTTGGCATTTACCATAATTAGCTAGGTCACCGCGTATCAGCTAAATATTCAGGTCAGACCTCGTGTGGTTATCCCCGAAGAAGTGTGTCAGCATGAAATGGAGCACAAAACAAACAGCAGCCGACTTCTCTCTGTATGTTTCTGTCCATGCGGCCCCTCGGTTAAAGCTCCTTTGTTCAACACACTGACAGTCTGTGTGAATAACTAACCCAACTAGAAAGCGACTGTTAGGTGTACACTGTCCGAAATGCTGCCGACAAAACGCTTTACCTTGAGTGTTAACGTTTCCCCATGGCTGTACCGGCGCCGTGGGAAAACGTTAACACCCAAAGCAGCCTACCTTCTTGCCGTTACCGAAGCTAGCAAACCGTTTCTCTCCCTCTCTCAGGTTTACGTTAGCGCGTTATGTTAGCCTCAATACCTTCCCTACAGCAGGACAACACCAAATCTCCGCCGTTCTACTTACACGGTGGTTTCACTTGGTCACTAGTCGCACATTCGGAAACATGCGAAAACCGAGGGCCATTATCTTATCACTGTCATTCGCACCCTTCGACTGCTTTTCCGCTGGACCATCCTCTCTGCCACCGGACCCAGCGGGGACGACGATGATGCTGCTGAGAGCGGAGGGGCGAGACTGACTGGATCTCTTCAGTATGTTGTTGTTGCTGCCAAAGAGAAAAGACCACTGCGCATGCTCGGCATCAACTGTCACAAGGAGGGCTCTCACCTGATTGGTCGGTTGTCTGGGTTCACTGGTTGGTTTTGGTGTATGGAATCTCAAAGTGTCAATATTAAGTACATTGAAGACATCGTGAAATAAATAAATCATGCAAATGGAAATATATAATAACAATTTTTGAAATAACTAAGGAAATATATCAAGACTCAACTCATTGTTTTGAAATGTTACTTCAGTATTCTTAGTTTAAAAATAATTAATTGGATATCAATTTATTTCATCATAGACATTTTTGTTTTAAAATACACTTTTAAATAACTGCTATTATCTTTAATTACGTTTTCAATGTCATATTTTATTTCATAATGTCACTAGCCCAGCTAGTTAACCAGCTATGTAATTAACTTGTTATTTAGCCTTAGCTAAATAAAAACAGAGTTTGTGTACTGTGTGTCTACAGCAGGGAGCTAAATGCTTGATACAGACTTATGGCAAAGTCAGACTGAAATTCGTTCCCATTTCTATGTGGAAAATGGCAAGACCATGGATATATTATACTACTATGGGAACTGGATACTGGATTCAAAGATGGCGCCCGGTCACTTGAATGAAATTGCTTGCCTGGTGCATGAGCCAAAAAGTTCAATAGCTTCTGGGTCTGTTTCCACTCCAAATGCATATTTGTGTTTCGCCCATTGGACCTGTCAAACATACTCCCACTTGGCCCATGGACTTTAGATAGGAATGATGTCACACTAATAAAACTCTCTTTCACAGTAATAAAACCTCCTTGGATTAAAAATTTGTATTGGAAAGCATAAAAACTGATCTTTATTGGAGTTGACGGTGTCCTGTCAACAATTTTACAAATACCTCTTATTGTGGTCTTTGAGGAAAATGCTTTTTGGGCCGCATGGGATTTTTCATTGCAATACCACAGATGGTTTCTGGGACAAATTGGCAGCAAGGCTGACTGACAATGCCATATACAGCTCTCTTAACATATTCATGGGCGAGAAACATTTGCTTCCAGTTGCCACAAAAGTAAATTTTGCAAACTGGTTTTCAATGTAACTACAGTATTATTTTGACATTGTTGTTACTCCAGCTAACAGTAGCTAACTGCATAAATGTGACATGTGGGGACATGTCAGCGTCTGAAAAACTATATGAAATTAAGAAAAGTGACATGAAATAAAATGTGACAAAACGGAAAACATTACAATCACACAGTTGTTGAAATTAAAATTTCTATAATGAAATAAAATGAACTGAACTGATATGAGAATACAAGTGATTATATTTGATAATAATGAATTGAATTTTCATTAATTATTTATTTAATATTGAACACATATTTGCGCAACTGTTTTCTTTTTTTAACTTTTTGTAAAATTGTATTTTAGCAAAATGAAAACATTCATATTAATTCATAATTGTAATAATTTGGGAAGTTAATGAGTAGCAGATAAAGAGTATTCAGTATTCTAAATGCACCCTAAAATACTCCATTACAACATTTTTACATTGATTTCCAACCTCCTTCAGTTGTGACCCCTGACCACTGTATTATATCACTGGATGTTAATACTGGTTTATAAATATATAATCAGCATTATAATTTTGTAGCTGCCCAAGGTGAGGATCATTTTATTTTGGTAAATTACTCAATATATTTTTTTTTAATGAGCTGACTATCTATTTTGCATGTGAAATCTTTATCTGTAAAGTAACTGTTATCTACAGCTACCAAATTAATGCCAAGTAAAGTACAAATGAAGTACAATAATATTTACCTCAGAACTGTTGAGGAGTAGTGGTATAAAGTGGTATAAAATAGAATAAGTTATAAGTACAAGTACAGTAGTTGAGTACTTGTTGTTACCACTTCTTCATCATACTCATACACAAAGCCACGAAATAATCATTACCCCAAAAACAAATGTGTGGTCACACTAACACTTTATTAATAACCACAAAGTACAAAAAATATGCAAATTCAAATATTTTCTTTAACATGCTTATCCTGACGGTGTAACATTGCCATTATAGACAATTAACTTCAAAATTAAATACCAAGAGAACTGAACAAAGTAAACAAAATATTAGCAATAAAGAATATGTGCATCTCAGCTAAGTTACCTGTCAGACTTCTAGCCTCTGCACCTCACACACACACTAAGCCACTTCCTCTCAATTTCTCTCTCTCACTCTCTCTCTCTCTCACACACACACATACACACACACACACACACACACACACACACAAAGACTTCTAGTCATTATCCTGAGTGCAAATGCCCATAATGCAGGCCTGACACAGGGTCTTCTCATGTGGTTTGGTCCACACTTTGTTAGAGGAGGCTGACGATCCACCATCATCGTCGTCATCCTCCCCATAGATATTCTTCCGGATCTTCGAAAAGAGCCTGACCAAGGCCTGTTCCACCTCTTTGTCTGAAAAACCAGGGAGCTCAAACATGTTGTTTTTGCAACTGCGGCAGGCCTGACCAAAGGGCCGCATGATCACCGTCCCCCGGTCACTCCGCAGCCGGTAACGGAACAACACCACCACCCGTGCTGAGGGCCAGGTCTTGGAGCAGGATGCACACTTGAAACTGTGGGGAAATGAGAAGACAGTTCATGAGAGGCATAGGCACAGAGGTATTCTCAGGTGTACAGCTACCCCTTTAACCTGTGAATGTTTCTGAAATTAAGTTTTTGAAAATTTTAAACTGCCATTTCAGTTTCAAACAATCCTGTGGTGACATCTGTGTAATAAAAAGTTTAACATGACACTTGCAAATGGGGCTGTTACAGTCCAAAAGTTTCAGACAGCAAGAGCCATCATCTTTCTCAAACACTTCAAACACTTACTTTATACAGAAATATTCTGTAATGTCCTTGAAGAAGTTACAATAAGAATTCACACTTGCAGCTGTGTCTTGTTACATTTGATGCATTAGGTAAACAGACTTACCTCTTTAAAAAGGTTAAAACCATAAGTGCTATTTTTTTCCACTACAATCCTCCCATAACTTTGTTGCTTTAAATATATCGTGCACTCTTTTGAGTCACTGTACAACTACAGTTGCTCTCTTTTACCAGGGTGCAGTTTTTCCACAGACTGGCATTGTTTTATCACTGCACATAACTTGCTCCCTTTCACATACACACAATTCATCATATGACCTGGCATGAAGTTGCAAAGAAAACAACAAAAAAGAAAAAAGAAAATAGGGTGGAGCCTGAGAAACCAAACAACACAATCAGTGTATCTAGTCACTGTTGTTATTGTTGGATTGCACGGTTTTTTTGGCTTCTTTGAACTGAATAAATACCACTGTGTATACTGTATCTTGCTACTTTAAGAATATAAAAAGATACATACTCTCCAAAGGCTCTGCAGCAGTAGACCTTCCAGCCTTTCTTCCTCTCCTCCTTGGTGACTTGGTCTGTCTGAGAGTAGTTAAAGTTGAGAGTCCACTGGTCTCCATAGTCCAGCTCATTGTCATCATACAGCAAATCATTAAAGGTGTCCAGCCATAGGCCAGGAATCCAGTCTGCACAAGAGTGAAACAAAAAATCTTGATGATCTCTGAGTTACTGAACTATGAACAACAAACAGACACTGCTCTTCCTGGACTGATAACCACACTCTAAGCATGTAGAAAGAAATGAAAGGAAGCTTCAAATACAAAAAGATAAAAAATAATGTCATTTTTCTGACAGGTCTGCCTTTTGGAAATGACTGCCACTCCCTTATTCCATCTTTCTAAATCAAAAATTCAAAATTAACATAACATGAAAATATAAGAAACTCATATATGTAGCCAATTATAAACACAGGGGAAATGAAGCAGCAAAGGCGTCAAATTGGCCAAAACAAATGTTGCATTGCACAAAAAAAAAACCAAAAAAACCCCCAAGAAACATAAATGCACTACGCAACAAGTATTACAAAGTATTATATGTTACCTGTAGATCTGCTCATGGTGCTCGGTGATCGGATAGTTGAAAAGCGCTTGGTCGATGAAGTGAAACGCTGAGATGAAGCGATGCTGCAGCTTGTGAATAGCGCTCTGGTCACAGCCGCTCTATTTATTATGTGACTACAGTTGATAGCCTGGAAAACGAAACTTAACACTACGGTTTCGCTTTCCATCTTTTTTTTCTTTTCTTTTCTTTTTTTTTTTGTTTTGTTTTGGTCCACCGTGTGCCGTCATGTGATGCAAAGCCAACGCAACATCACGTGTGTAACCTAGACGAGATGCTGCCCAAGTAATTAGAGATATATATTAGATAATTACTGTTTATCAATTACTTGTGGATAGCAATACGGAATTAGTTAAGTAGGTTTTGCTAAATCGACAAAAGGGGTTTAAATATCAGACAAGTCTTAAATATAACTGAATATATCAATGAATACAAGTGCGAAAATGAATAAGAAGTGTTGTTTTTCCTTCAACCTCGAATCAGTTGGTAAAAAAAGAGAAAAACTATGTATTCCTCTTTACCTGAAAGCTGATAAATAAATTATTGTATTCTGTTTTTAATCCCTAACACGATCATTTTATTTTTGTCTTAACCGATAGTAAAATATTTTCAACTGATGCAGTTTTTGTTTCATTTAAAGTAACATGCAACTGAGACGATGGCGGTGATATCAGGTTTCAGCTGAGAACACACTCCAGTCCAGTGTGGTTCAGTCCAGTAGGGGGCAGTATAAGACAACAATGCTGAAACGGAAATACTGTAATTGCAGTGCAGCTGAACAGGAGGGTGACATCTTTTGGTGCACAGTGGTATTTTAAGCAGTCTTGGGATTTCCAGCAAGGCACCGCCTATTTCTCAGCAGTAAACCAACTGGATTAGGTTTCCATTCCATCACAGTTAGTGAATAAACTTTTAATATCTGAGCGCTGGACACTGGAGAACCACTGCCAACTGTTAGGTCATCCTGATGACCCGATGAACTCCGTCAGGCTCACACATCTGCCAGAACACATGGGTTTTTCCAAATACATTCACAATAACTATTCACAAAACATACGTCCTTTCCCCAAACCAGGGCTCAATTGCACACAAGTAAAAAAATCTGATCTTTAATTTATTCCTATAGCCAAGATGACCAGTTTTGTCATGCCAGAAAGAAAAAACTATAAATAATATGTAGGTCATTGATGATAAAGTACGTGCGGCTCAACCAGTCACACAGCTGAAAAGAAAATTAATTACAGTAGGCATTTCACGATTACCTAAATAGTTTGTGGTGCTGTTGAACTGTATTGTGTTTTACAGAGATGTGTGTCCAATAATTAGTCTACCCTTACTGATATAAAAGGGACAGGCAAAATAATCCTAGATCTAAAATGACTTTTAAGTTGAATCGTCACCTTAACATTATGATTATGAGGATTTGCGATGTTGGATTATACTGTATTCATTTTAGCGAGGTGTACAGGCACCTGGGTGTATACAAACAGAGTTTATTTAGAAAGAATAAAGATGTGAAACATGCTCTTCTTGACCAGGCAGGAATTGTCTAGAACATTTGCACCCATCAAGTTGAGTTTTAACTGCTTTGTCAGCGTGTTCTGTTTGGTCACTGATATCCATCAGTACATGGCTGCACATTTATGCCTCTATCAGTCTTGTCTGCCTTTTTCATCGACAGCTCTTCCTGCAGCCTGTATTTGGTATTCATGGAAAATCAAATCCCAAGTGTTGGTGGTGCAATCTCAAACTAATCTGGGTCACATTTCTACTTTGAAAGAGGGTAAAGTTGTTTTTTTAATTTCCTGCTTTCTTCTCTGTCTGTACCTCTGAAGTGCTTTTCACACCTAGACCTGTTTTAGGACAGCATTAATTACCCAAGACGCCTGTGTGGTTTCAACCTCAATGACATTACTGACATTTGAACTTCCTGTAAGAGCCAGGAGTGCTTGCTGAGCTCTTCGAGCACAGCCGTCCTGTCTGGTGATGTTTAAGATAAAGTCCAAAGGTAAAGACCAGGCCTTCACAAGGGCCTCTCTAATGTGTGACAACCTGTAATTCTGAAATGAGCATTTCTTATATATATATATATTTTTTAAAAATGAACAGTCTTCAGATGTGCCCTTGAAGTATTTGTTGTTTGCTTTATCAAGCATCAATTATTATTAATAAGAGGTAGTAACAGGTTTAACAAAAAATCATGCCAACTATGATGGTGTCAAGCTGGTTAGATAATAAGACCCCTTGTTTCCTCTGACTTGTATCCTGTCTGTGAAGTTATGCATCATGTTTCTGGAATAATCATTACCGTCATTTTGTGGGTGGCAATAATGGATTGAAAACAACAACACCTGTCACAGGTATGTAGTGACGTTGTGAATGAAAAAAAAACTTCCACTCACTGGTGGGGCTTTCCTTCTACCTGAGCTGTTTATGGTTCATAATAATGCTCCACCCAGTACTGAAAACTGATTGTAATGCTTGTCACAGTCTCCTGACAAGATGTTGAGCTCAGGTCAAAGCGCACGCACACACACATACACACACACACACACACACACGATAACACACACATGATAACACACACGCAGGTTTGTCAGGTTTCTAAGACAAATCTCATTTAAAAGTACTTGACAGTGATTGAAGTGTTATCTATAATGACATAATGACAATTATATAATCAGGTCTCTTAGTCTCACACACACAAACACACACACACACACACACACACACACACACACACACACACACACACACACACACACACACACACACACACACATACACACACACACATAATCATTCTCATACATATTAAGGATCATATTTTACTCTGTTCTGCAGACAGAAGAAACATGAGGTGAAATGAAACATCATTATATGGTGGGTGGTAATCAGAATGTATTGTCTTCTCATTGGCACGAGACCCTGTGTACACATGTACTCAACAAAAACACAGAGTAACACACATATAGCCATTCAACTAGTGTATAGTGTTAAACATGTGTATGCACCTTTCCTCCCGGCACAGTGGTGTAAGGATGACCTCAAAGCCCCAGGCTCCAGAGAGTCACCTTATACTCAGGTGTGACATTACAGCGTGAGAAAAGCATGCTGGGTAAGCTCACAGGGCCACAGAGATGCAGGCTCAAGACAAACAGAGAGAGAGAAAGAGAGAAACAAGACAAGAGCACATTCACAGAGTAACGTCTTTGTATTACCTTTCTACAGCACTGAGGCACATTTCTATTCATCCAAGGAAACACTGATCAAATCTAACCAGGAACAAACGCCACATCATTTATGGACATGCACCAAATAAATTCAAGGGGAGGAAAAAAAAAATCAGCAAATAGCTTCAAATACAAATAAAAAACACACCCAGCATGGTCTGAAATTTAACTGAAATAAAAGTGCCCTGAACTGTTGGTGTTTTCTGATTCCTGATCCACCAAGCGACTCTCCATTTTTTATATAATACACAATTACCCTGCTTATATCTAATTTGCATGATCGCTCATCTCATCTTTTCTCTTTAAAAACACACAGAAGAATTTTTCAGTTTTTCTATGAAAAACCTTCCGAACAGGAAGAAGATATCATGTTTAACATCTATCATAATACACTCAGCTACCACTACTGTGATGTTATCCTGCCTTAACAAAGGTTAAACAGTTTCAGTTCAAGTGTTGATTCAATTGTATGATCATTTTGGCTGCTGTTGAATTGTATTGTTATATTGACAGGTGTTTCAACTGTTCTCTCACCCCTCATTGATATAAATGGGGCAAAATAGAAACTGTTTTCTAACATAAACTCCACCATACTCCTAGTTGCTGCAGCCTACTCCGTATCCATCACCACGTTTGCTATATACATATACTATATATATATATATATACATTGCAAAAATACAGAGAGATTTACCTGGCACTGATAGGCTTAATCAGCATTGTCTCGTTTGGCAAGGGCTTGAATGTAACAGATAAAGCCAAGCTAGCTGTTTCCCCATTTCCAGTCTTTCCAAAATGTCAAACTAAATCTTTAATAATGCATGTTACTACATTGGATTTCCTCATATGACTCCATATAGTGTATCCATACATGAGAGGTCACTGAATGTTCTGATGAGTATGAAAATTACCTTTACAATCTCAGCACTGAACCTAGATAAACACTTATTGGAGAAAAATCTGGACCTCAGTAATAGACAGAACTGTCCACCACCATCATCACAACACCAAATGAGGAAATAGACTAAATATTCTATGAAAATAGTGTTTGTTCCTCCAGTAGAGTCCAGAGACTTGGAGAATCTGAAATGGAGAACTGAGGCTTTTCTGAAGGCCCAACAACTTGGTGCACTTTATGTTTTCTACATATCTGTGCAGTTTGTACTTGTCGATAAAGCTCGTTTGAATTCAAATAGACCCAGATAAGACAGACTCCTCAGCCAGGCATGCTAAGGTGCAGGCCAGGATTTAGCTGGCGCCTAGACTCTTCCTGGACCTGTATACCTGTTCAATGGCTGCCAGGTACGTCAGAAAAGGGAGGATGATGGGGAGAGAGAGAGAGGGAGAGAGAGAGAGGCTAAACCAGGAAGACAGAGAAATAGAGAGGGGGTGGGGGTAGAGGGAGCGGGAGGGAGATGGCGTTTGGGTGCGGTAAGATGCCTTGAGCACATTCCTCTGAGCAACCGCACCCTGCGTTTCAGCGTCTATATACCTGTTAGTGTTTGTTATCAGAACTTGTTCATGTAAGCAGACGTTCTCTGTCAGCACTCATAATTCTGTCACAGGATGGTATTTCACACCCAAAACATTCAGGTTTTTTTTTCTTTTTTTTTTTATTGTGCTGTGATAGTCCACTAGTGACTCTCACAGTTGTATGCAAACATTCAACTCTCATTTCATATCTCTGTCACGCTGAGAGTTACACATTTTCATGATAGGAAGAGTATACAGGCATAGAGAGACCTCAGAAATGCGGCTGCTAAAGTGTGTGTGTGTCTAACAACTCAGTATGAAATGGGTGCTCAGGCAGACATTCAAACAGGAGGCACACCCTCAGGAGCAGGACTGAACACACAGTCATAAGTGTGTATGTTGCTATCAGAGGGCCATGAAACAAGGTGTGTTCTGTGTGATAGACACGTTTGAGGACAAAGGACGGCCCAAATAAAACTCACGCTCACACACTACTGCGTACTTAAACCTGTATTACACCTTGTGTCCAGGTTATGATTGCTGGCATATTTGCATGGAAGTGAATGACACAGAGAAAGAACTAAAGAATGAAAAAGAGAAGTTGTTATAAGTAGCCTAAATGAAGACAACAAGAAAGAGAGTGGAACACAAAAAGGACTGAGACTGGAGTTGGCATCTTTATATTACAAAATCAATAAGTGTTGGAATTAACTCAGTCAAGCAGAAAATGTATTAACATATTAAATAACCATTAATCTTTTGGCAAAAGGTGTGATTTGTTGTTAATGACAAATGAAGTATCGTCAATAAAGTATCACCTACAAATAATGGTTTATATACATGCATGGGGATATCCCAGACAAATAGTGACCCCGTATCTACCTCTCCTGCACTATGCCTGCATCGCCATTAGCAATGTGCTTCCCAAATCCAGCCCATGTTCAGAGAGGAGGAACCGAGCGGCGCAGCCTGGAGCAGGGAGGCTGGCTTTACAGAGGATTCACATACAGCAGAAACGGGAACTACTGGAGTCTGCAGACTCAGCACAAGGGTTCTGACATGGAGAAAAGAAACAGATGACTCATTTACTCAATGTTTCAGAGAGGAACATGATCTCCAAGGAAACCAACTTGCCTTATGCAACTTTTGATAAACACGAGCCACTGTAGGCAAAAATGATGTTAATGGGGTAATGGGAAATGGTGAGATGTAGGATAATGTAAGTAAGTAAGAAAGTAAGCAAGTAAGTAAGTAAGTAAGTTAGTAAGAGTAGAGAAGAGTCAAAAATTCAGCAAACTGACTCAGTAATGTCAATTACATTGCAATATATGTCTAAAGTTAACTAAATTAGCTCATTTTAGCTACCATAATCTAGTGGTCACACCAGACCAATTACAACTGTAGCAGCAACACTTCTGAGTCTGCTGAATTGAGAAATAGTGCGTTTTATTCATTGTGTAATTAAGTTTGCATTCACAAGTGAAAGAATGTGTTATTTCTTCTTTCATAACTTATGTAGTGCAGCTTTAAACTCGTGACACTGCTTGTCCTCCAGTAACTCAAGACTCAAGTGGACTTTCTTATCAACCAATCCATACACAAATGCAAAGTAGTGACATTTTGTTTCTCAGGGAACACTGAGAGGTTTAACATTTAAACAGTGTAAACACAACAGGTACTCGGTGCAAAAAGATAATGTTAAGTTGCCAAGACAAAACAAAACAAGTGCAAAACAGTGCACAGAAAAGACCAAACCAGTGCAAAGAGAAGATAAAACTGGTTCAGAAATAACACAAAACCAGTGCAAAGACAAAACAAAAAAGTGCAAGGCCAAAACAGAACATTAAAGAGTCAGTGCAAGCAGGATGACATGAACTGACTTATTTGAAGAAAGCTGGAAGAAACTGACACATCCAAGAGAAAGAGTTTTGGGTAAAAGTTTGGAGAAACTTCCCCCTTTGTTCCACAAAGACTAGATAAAACACCAATTAGCAGCCATGACATAAAAGCCAGCACTTTTGAAATATGCCACTGGGAGTGAACTTCCAATGGTTTTATGTTCCCAGTGATCAACGGGTTTGGGAGGAGTCTCACCGGTGGGAAAGCCCTGCCCAACAGGAGTCGCCCCGCTTCTTCCTCATTCACCGCGGTCCTCTGTGCCATAGTGGCGGTGGAGGTTCACATACCGCCGAGTGAAGCGCTCAGCCCGGGCCTGGAGTAGGAGCTGCCTCGTTTCGCCTGTGTTCGCTCGGCTGGCAGTGGAGGCTGCGCACCGGGGGTTTGGGTGGAGTTCGTACCCGGTCCGAGGAATGTGACGCACGGACGGAAGGAGACGCACATCGGCGGTTTCACCGGAGAAAGCAATACCTGTTGGGAAAAAAACAAACAAGCAACAACAAGACGAGACGAGACAAGTTCTGCAGCAGAGTTAGGAGGTACGAAGTGGAAATAAAGACCAACTGTGGAAATGCAACCTGGGACGAAGAGATGTTCAGAGATAATAGCATATTACTATCCATTCTTTGCTAATGAATCCCGCCCTCTTTTATTCTATTCTAGCTGTGTCCTGCTTTATTCTATTCTGTGTATTTTCCTTCCCTGACTTATTCTAACAACCACTAACTCTATCATGTGCTATTCTATTCTATTCCATTCTATTGTTTCCTGTCTTGTTTTATTCAGTGCTAACTTTATCCTGCTGTATAATATTCTACTGTACTACTGTATTGTTTCCTGTCTTGTCAGTTTTCTAATGATGTCTGCTCTATTATTTTCTATTTATTGCTCCATTAATGTCAATGGAATTAAAAAAAAAAGTGAAATGCGGGTTACTCTCCTCATTAGCCGCTTGCAGTTTATACAGGATGAAGTCATCCAGGTAGCTGCTGTGCATTGCAAAACCTGAACAGTATTGTTATTACAGTCTGAGTACACAGTTCAGGGCTCGGCGTTGGCTGGCTCTAACTAACTGTGCTGCTCTCTTTCCAGTCCTTTGAAGACATTCAAGAGAGAGAAAAAAACACTACTTGGAAAAATAACAAGGTTTCAGACTGTGTGGAGCTTTGTCTTGTCCTGCAGGGAGCCATGGGTGTTAAATGGTGCTTCAAAAGGCAGGGACACTTTTACAAGCCTGGTCAATGGCTTGGTTGCACAATGGCATGTATGTCATTGTTATTAGGCCAACTTGAGATCCCTCTAATTTGAGGATAATTGGTGAGATAATACACATTCCTTGCCTTCTAAATAATACAGTTTGTCTGTTGAACAAGGAAAGCACCCACCACATGTCCTCTCCTATAGATGCTGGTCTCCTATAGGCTCTGATAATATCTTTATGTTTGCGGCTTTGATTCAAACAAGCAATGTATTGATTTAAACTTACAGGCTTTCCCTCAATTCAGTGAGTGAGTCACTGCACTGGAATAGTTCAGCATGTGGTTATAATTTGAGGGAAAAAGTCTGTGGTGCCAGCTTTTTCTGTGGTGCGTCAGTGCAATGTGTGCCCCTTATTATAGATTCCATCTTGTCACACCAGCCATATGGTGAAGGCTTCATCCCATTCATTAGTCTGTTTGCATTGTATATGTCACAAGGGGTCAGTATCTGTTCGTATAGGTGGGGTCATTCATGTGTGAGCACTATTGTGCTTTCAGAGGGAGAGGAAGTGATGTAGAGACATTTTCATGCTTTTACTGTTGTGTTTTTCACTCAAGACGACCGCAGACATTAAAGCATTTGGAACACATGACGAGGACCTCATTGGACCTGTTTTTCTCGCAGTGCTGCTGTGTTAAAAACAGCTAGAGAAAGGGGAGGATTCATGCTGCTGTGTGCACATGCAGTATACATTCACCTGACCTTGAGCTGTCTTTTGTGCGGCATTCAACGGCCTTGCTGAGGTGTGATGATGTACAGAGAGACAAGATGTGCTCTGTGTTTGCTCTTATCTACGCTTGCGTGTGTTAATCAGACTAAAGGTGGCCCTGAAAGGTTCTGACAGGAGCATCAGGAGATGACTGGCTCATCCGTTCAAACCTGTTTTCAGGTATTTTGTTCTCGCTCCATTCACCATTCACAAATCATTATCACACAAAATGAATCGACTGAAGAGGTATGTCAGATCAATCAGTGTTTGTTTAGGGAGGTGTGTTCAGATGTGTGTGTGTGTGAGAGTGTGTGAGAGTGAGAGAGAGACAAAGAGAAACAGAAAGAGTGAAGAAAATACTTTTTGGAGTTTGTGCTTGATAGTTTGTGTCTCGTCTGACTTTATTCTCTTAATTCAGACAGCGAGACATTAAAATGTTCTCTCCTTCAGCTCTTCTCTTGCCGGTTCTCTCCTTCTTCTCGTTTCAGTGTTGCTGCAGGAATGCTGAGAATGAGCCATTTACACGCTTAGTGAGCAAACATTGGGCCCATCTGAATATTGGGTTTATCAGCCTGGAGTAGCTGCAGTCGGTTGCCGCCTGCCTGTCCTGTGGTGGTTTAGTCTTTCAAAGTGGCTTTGTTTATGGTGCATTTAGAGCAGACTCGTCCCTGTGCGGGCGGCAGAATGTTTTAAGGATGAACAGAGAGAGAAAGATCATTGTCATGTGTCACTTTCTACAGCTTGATGTTTACAGTGGTTGCTATAACAACAAACAAAGCAGCAGTTTTTGTTTGCATATGCTACCAGTCAGTCAGGTGAGGTGGGGAAAGTCTGTCATGCCTCTTACATTGTGCTATTCTTCTGCTGCTTCATTCTGCTCAGACTCAGAGGTCAGGAGGGTGAATAAGGCACCCCTGGGCTCTGTTTAGTGCAACTATGCTCTTGGGTCACCCACTTAGCTCATATTCACCTCAGGGTTGATTTGCACTGATCGCTGTCTTCTTCTAAGGTTTTTCGTAACTGAAAAACTGTAACAGCATGACTAACTATTTCATAATTTGATAGGCACTCGCAGTGTTTTTTGGCTGCTGTTGAGGTTTACACTTTATGACGAGCACAGACAGGTGCACATCTCTCACTTTATGACTGTAAAGTACTCAGGTATGCACTTGACTGCTGCATCAGCAAATTTACTTGCATATAGATCTTGCCTCAGGCTGCTAGATCTCTATAAAATAAGGAACAAAATGGCTCAAAGTACTTGCGATTCTTCCACATTAGAAACTTGCTGTGAGTAAAATTATTCCATGCAACCACCATTTATTCCATGCAACCAGTATGTGCGCCCAGTATGCCTCCCTGCCCACCGCGAAACTGTGGAAGGGGAACAGAACACCGCAAAGGCCTAATTTCTATGGCTAGAAATGAGAAAGGAAACAGGATGTCAGCCATTTTGCCAACAGATGAATCACCACAGAGACACGTGGTGGAAGTTATCCCCAGGCTAGGCCAGGCCAGGCTACCCTGTGACTCACCAGGCCTCTGACTAAACTGGGTTTTCACAGTAATTGCGGGTTAGGACTTGGACGCTTTTGTTATCACCACCGATCACCAAAGTGTGTGGAAGTTTACAGAAAACACATCACACGCACTTTTTTAAGTGGGTACACCTTGCAAAACACCTACTCACCATTCAATCCCCAGGTTACACACACATACACCCTGATCATGTACTCAGACTGTCAGTCAACCAGTTCCTAAGACTGCATTTCCATGGTGATGCATCCACACAGTCAAAAACACATCCTGTTTTGACAACATGCTACAATGTGCAGAAGAGATTTACCAAACGTTAAACAGCCAACCGTATGAATCAATACCTCCAGTTTTAATAACTCAGGTCTTGATAACCCATCAGATGACCCATCCAGCATGCAGCTGTCAGGACCACATTAAATATCAATGAGGGGGGTGTCCGGGTTGGCTCAGTTTATGGTGCATAACACAAAACTATGTTGTGGGTTGGAATTGAGCCTTGGCCCTTTCTACATGTTGCATTCTTTCTCCTTCCTTTATCTAATGCCAAACAAAATATTAGAAGGCATCAGATGGCACTGATGAACTAATTCCTCTTTTGGAAGCAGATATACCACACAATAGTTAACAAATGCCAAATATTTTTTGCCTAAACATACACTTAACACAGCAGATTGAACCAGCTATTGTTATTAGAGCTTAGGCAAAAGCCAAGTTCCAGTTTCTCATTGTGAAGGTTTGCTGCTTTTATGTTTCTTGAAATGTTGGTTGGACAAAACAAGCTACTAGGAGGCAATGCCTCAGGCCCCCCTAGGGAAACTGATGGGCATTTTTCACTATTTTAACATTTATAAACCAAACAATTACACTTGTTACTTGTTACAACATCCCCTCTTGTTGTGTTTTATGTTCATAAAGTTTCTGCTTGTGTGGGATGGTTGTCCTTGCTTTCCCCCTGCCATCTGCCTTTCAATCGCGTTCTCTGACTGTGGCTTTGTGTCTCTTTTGGGCTGGGAGTAGAGATGGTCGGTGTAGCGTCTCATCATCGTGTGTGCAGGATTGGAGAAGTTGTCCGTAAGCCCTACAGGTCTTCAGCGCTCTCTCTTTCTCATGCAAACAATCACACATTCACAAATTGTTATGTGACAATGTTCCTTTCAAAACGTTGAATTAAGTCAGTTCAAGTCATGACATAACTAATACCACACTCATTGTGCTCTCCTGAATAAATTTGCTCGCTATGACTGACACAGATTTTTCAGGATGAGGTCTGAGTAGCAACTTGAAGCATGACGCACCAGCATGACAAGTTTGCTTAGCAGAGATATGAGAGAACCTGTCCATACACCTCTTCGTGCCTTTCCCACCTCTCCCTTACACGTTCCTTTTCTCTCACTTGACTTTCTCCTTTCTCTTCCCCCCCATTGTGCTTTCTCTATCCTGCTGTTTTTCTTTGTTCTTACCTTTGTGAACAGTTTGCTCACAAGCCCGATTGAATTTCAGTTAATCACTGGTACTACCACAAGCAGGATATTTCATTGATGAATACAGCTCTAATGTTACATCAAACAGGCCGTTAAGCTAAGTGTGTGATGCCATAAATGAGAACTAAGTCAAGTTAACTTTTAATCACAGTCTAACTTTAAGAATATTTACATTGAACTAAATGACGAATCAGCCTGTGCATATTCTCATTTGTCCAGGTCATAGTATCCTAAAGGAGTTTAAATCGAAAAAACAACTGGACTTGATTATTTGTCTGGGAAGACGTTTCACCTCTCATCCAAGAGGCTTCATCAGTTCATGTACGCATCTGACCAGGCTGGGACTGGTCCTTTAGGATAAATGACGAATAAAGCATGATATGATGCCCCAGATGATGCATTACACAATGAGTAATGAAAAAGTTTAGATATCTTTTCTTATTTAGTTGGAAATTATTTATTTGTATTGCCCTTTATTTTTTCTCAATGTCATCAAGTCAAATATGCAACACGCTAGTTTTAGTTTAGTGAAAGTGCCAGATGTATTTTCTATTTGTATAATATTAATGACAACAAAAACTAGTAGAATACATGAAACACAGCTCAATAATTATTGATTCGAAACTCTCCATCTGTCTCTGTCAGGTAATCTGCCTGCTTTTGCACCCTGACAGAGCTTTCTTCCCTCTCATCACCCTAGGGAATATTTAGTTTAAATATGACTATTGTATATCATGGAAGGAGCAGTGGTGTGTTATCTGCAGTATATGCAACTACAACAGCACTGTGACTTGAACACATGAAAATATTTGATTGTTTTTGTACTTGGAAGATATTCTTTTAGCTCTGAGATTCTTAGAAACCTACAATATGCTGTTTGTGTAAGCCTCCAAAACAGGCTGTACAGACGTGCAGAAGGCTTAAATTCTCTGTGCACTGACCTTTTCTTTCTTCTGACGTTTCTGTACAGGTTCAAATTCCTCCTCCCTCACCTCTCTTCACCCCTGAGCCCTAGCCTTTGATCCCACTCTTCTCTTCAACCATGGCGCACAGATCTCAGAGTTCATCGATTGGTGATAACCCTCTTGACCCAAACTACCTGCCCCCACACTATCGTGAGGAGTACCGTCTAGCTATTGATGCTCTGATAGAAAACGACATACAGGTAACACTTCAATTTTCTAATTGTATGTTTTGGGTGTAAAATACTTCAAAATTACATGTACAGTACATAGATTTTATGATGTAATGAATTACTCTCCTGTCTCACCAGGGCTACTATGAGTTCCTCCAGATGGCAGATGTGGTCAGTTTCCTGGCACAGCCAGAAATTGAACTCATCAAATCCACAATCCAGGTACCCAATCGAACCTCCGGTGTGCCAGAGCTGACGTACCAGGAGGGAGGTTATGAGGCTGATGGCTCCTCCGACACCTACTGGCCGGTGCAGTCCGACCTGGCTGCCCCAGGGCTGGACCTTGGCTGGCCGCTGCCACAGCACAGCTTTGTTGGGCCCACAGAGGTCACTACTCTGGTCAATCCCTCCGACCCAGACATGCCTAGCATCAAGGAGCAAGCTAGGAGACTTATCAAGAATGCACGTCAAGTGAGTAAGAGGGAGGGATATGAAACAGAAAGAATTTAAACTTGCAGATCTGGATTGCTTTCAGAGGTATTTCTGAGAAAAAATTTAAATGTGAAAATGAGATCAAAGCATTCCATGTTTATACATGTACATTTATTCAATGTGTACAAATACAAATATGCTACGCTTTAGTGTTTAGGTGTGTACATTGTCATGTCTGATCTACACTCCATATAGTAAATTAACACACTATTTCTTATTTATGAGTATCCTCTTTCTGTCTTATCAGTATGTACAGTACAAATCAAGTGTTATCTCTTAGAAAAAAAAAGAAGAAAAAAAAGAGTTGAGATAAAAGGCTGCCAGTGACTAGTGCATATGTGGCTTATGCTATCTCATTATTAGTTTAATATTACTTTTTATCTGCCACTCTCAGATTTGCTACCACTCCCTTTCAGATGAATGTCTAACTGGTTGGCCTTTAGCTAAATCAAAAATAAAATTAACGCACAGTCTACATGCCAAATGTCAAGAGCAGTCAAACCTGTTGGTGTAGTGGTTCATGTTGCTATCTGTCCTCCATTTCTGTCTGTGTGTTTGGAGAGTATGTCTGTGTCTTTTAAAATTTACGAGTGTGTCTATTTCATGAATTAAGTTAAGTGTTTCAACATGCACACGGAGGACACAAAGGTTCTAAAAGACAGGAGTCATTAATCTTACTATGCCATGCTTGTTACGTATGTATTTTACGTAATTCACCCACGCTGTACTGCTGATAAACTGGGTGTAGTTAAATACATGTGTTGTCTCAGTCTTATTTTGTTGAGAGGTGATATTCATTCAAATGCAATAAACTGAGGGATATGACTTAACGTCTCTTCACCTGTGTGAAGAAAGGTTAACTTCATTGCAGTGTGGAGCAGTGTTAATGATGTTACTGAACAAATTATAGTCCTATTCAATGTTCACAATTTCATGACAAACCTTTACGCAATTCCATCAAAGGTGTCATACACTTGTACATAGTGTATTTATTATGTAGCCCTTTTTAAGATGATAATGTTCTATGCTTTATCTTCTTCTGCTGATTAACACAGTGAACAGCTGCCACTGCCAAAGTTCCTTCAAATTATGTAAATGTCCAGGGTTGCAATTTTAAATCACCAATTTTTTAACCAACAGACTTTAGACTACAAAATAATTTCAAAGCCAGACTACCAAAGACCACATTATACTGAACAAACCTTGACTAGTTTTCTCGTTTGCTCTTCTGCTCCAGGTTATTGCTGTGGTGATGGATATGTTCACAGATGTTGACATTTTTGCTGACCTCTTGGATGCAGCAACACGCCACGTCCCTGTTTACATTCTACTCGATGAACACGAAGCCCATCACTTTGTGTCTATGGTCATCAACTGCAAAGTCAACTTGGACTTAATTCCTGTGAGTTTGGCTTTTCATTACAAATCTTCTCAAAAGATTGGGCTAACACTTGGCTATTATTTATTATTTTATTTATTCATTTATATCACATCATTTTCAGGAAGGCTTATATATGTATCCATAACATGGTTGAATTTTTGGTTTTACAGATGATGCGTGTCAGGACTGTGGCAGGAATACCCTATTATTCCCGGACGGGAAAGTCATTCAAGGGACAGGTGAAAGATCGTTTCCTACTCTCTGACTGCAGGGCTGTACTCAGTGGGAACTATAGGTTAGTCATTTAATTATATTAATTATGAGTGAGTTTATTTAATTCCCAAGACTCCTATGCCATTCATTCTCTAAATTTCTTATAGTTTCATGTGGTCCTACGAGAAGATCCACCGCTGCATCGCCCACCTCTTCCTTGGGGAGTTGGTTGCCACCTTTGATGAAGAGTTTCGCATTCTCTTTGCTCAGTCAGAGCCTCTAGTCGTTGACCCCTCAGATGGAGCACTTGCTATCTCTGACACCAGCAGCACCAGCAGTTACGTAAGCAGCCAGTTTGGGTTGAAGAGGACCCAGTCTTTGCGTAACCCCATAGGATACCGCAGGCAACCTGAGATTCCCTCTGCCTTCCCCTATGGAGACTCTGATCGTAACCTTGCACTTCCTTTCCGGAGGAATGACCCATATCGTCACACCATTGAACCTGGGGCAGGAATTACAATTGGAAAATTTTCCCAGCAACAGTTTCGTCTGCAGCAATCCTTCCTGGAGCAGGGAAGATCCATAGTATCCAGGCAGATGGAGATCAGTGGCAGTGCGTTCAAGAGGCACAGCTATGCAGAGGGAACCCAGGAAAACTACACATCATCAAGGCAATACATGAAGCACAGAGTCATGAATAATCTGGAAGAGACAGACTTCCAAAGGTAGTTAACCTTTTAATACCTATAACTGTTTGGAGTCTTAATTAAATCAGGCATCACATCTTGTGTGAGTCTTTGCACATAATTATTAATTTATAACGAAACAAATAAGAACCACTGTATTTTCTTTACAGGGAGCAGATCCAAAGTAGCCATTTCTACAGTGAAGGGCCTGGGCCAGGTTCTGGCCATGGACACTATGACAGACTTCGAGGTCATCCTCCACACCTCTCCATTGACCAGTATTCAGACTCAAGCTTTCGCTCAGAACTGGAGCCTCCTCCTGGTCGAGATTACCTTTCATCTGAGGATTTGATAGGACCTGAGGGGCACCAAGCACCTCCATTACCTGGGAGATATGGAGGAGGATCCTCCCATAAGAGGCCAACCATAGGTCAGGCATATGCCTGCCAGAGCTCACCCACACAGCCCCATCCACCAGAGAAGAAACAGTTTCTCAAACAATCTGATCAAGAGTATGATCAAGATGCAAGTGTTAAGCAAGGCCTGAGGAGTTGGAGAATCAACTCCTATCTTAGCACATATGAGGACGGTGGAGAAGAAGGTCTGACGCAGCCTATGGGGACTGATGCATTTGAAGATCCTCCACCATCTCAGCAGCTTAGTGCTGCTGAAACTTCAGCTACTCGCTTTGGAAAACCTAATGTTCCACCAAAGCCCAGACCAGATTTCACAAGACCACGCTTTGGAAAGCCCAAATTGCCTGAGAGCAGCAATAAAGACTCTGCTCCAACAACTAAGGATCTGCTGTCCTCAGGCAGTGGCTTGAAGTCATTTTTACTGGACAAAAAAGAGGGGGAAGTGGAGAAGGAATGGGAGAGAGAACTAGAGAGGGGCAAAGCAAAGGAGACGGATGTGGAGGTGAAAGAGGGTCCAGATTACTTGCTGTCAAAACATGAATCATTCCGTAGTCGCATTAACCCACTTCTTCAACGTAGCTCTCGTCTACGTTCCTCACTTATATTCTCATCTTCCAAGGCAGAGATACACAGTGGTAGTGTTGGATTAAAAGCAGCCACAGAGGAAGATGAGGAGTTAGACACAGTTCGCACTTCCTCAATTGTGGCCCAGATCCTAGAAAAGAGGAGGTCATTGACTCGTGAGCCTTTTGAGTGGAGAAAGAAGACTGAAGACAAAGATAAGGAGAAAGAAAAGGACAAGGAGAAAGACAAAGAAGAAAAAGAGAAGGAGAAAGAGTGTCAGCAAAAGGAAAAGGAGATGGGATTGAAAGATGACATTAAAGTAAAGGATGAATCTCAGAAAACTAACACGGAGGTAAAGACAACAACTGTTGAAAAATGTGAAGGCACAACATCATCATCTCTGAACATGAATGACCCAGCCAGTCGACTGCAGTATTTCAAAGATCTTGCTGCCAAGAGAAAAGCCTCAAAAATGGACATAGAGTCATCGTTAAAAATCCCAGAGCCTGCTGAAAAAAAACCAGACCTCTCTGATAAACCTCTCAAAACTACAACGAATCCAAAGAACTCAACTGTCTCTGTCGGTTTAACAGAACCTGAACCAAAGAAGACAGACATCTCTGCAAAACTGGCAGAGCTGACTCGCAGACCTTCATTTAGTTCCTCAAAACCACCAATAAACTATGCCAAGCCTTCTGTGAGTAACCTGAAACCTTCAGAGACATCTCAACCTCATAAAGAGGAGAATGCCTCAGAGGGTCTAAAGAAGGATATATTCAAGTCTCTAAAGCCTATTCCTTCACCTAAGCTCTTCAAGAGGGATCAGCTTAAGCTCAAAGGACTGAATCCTCGTCGCATCTCCTGTGATGATGAAATTCTGACCACAGATGCTACAGATGCAGAGAAGAGTGAACTGAAAAAGAGCCGCTCTCACAGTTCTTCAACTCTGTCACGTGATGAATCTAAGGCAGGACAGAAAATGATGGGATCTAATACATCCATCAACACACTCGGTGAGGGAAAGGGTGAGGGTAAGGCACTCGACTTCTTAAAGAAGCAGACTCAGAAGCTAAAGGGAATCCTTGGGCCTAAGGATAAAGAAAAGAAATCTTCTGGAGATGATAGGGGCATGAGCATGGTCAAAGAGATCACTGAAGATTCAATCAAAAAGCAGAGTTCATCAGCTAAAGATACCAGCGCTAGCACTACCGACCAAACTACAGCCAATCATAAGTCAGCGACCGGGACGTCAGGCCCGTCTCGATACCAGCCCCCGGGCAGCTCTGTTTTGTTCAGTAGCAACCTACGAGATGACACCAAAGTCATTCTGGAGCAGATCTCGGCCAACAGCCAGAAAAACCGACTGGAGAGGGATGAAACAGGGGGAGACAGAGATAGTGACACCGGGGAGAAGGGGCTTGAGAGACAGAACTCCATAAAAAAGAATCGATTTCTGCGACCACAGGGCAACATCCAGGAGCGTGAGGGATTGCTGAAGAGGATAGAGAGCATGAGGAAGGAGAAGAAGGTCTACAGCCGCTTTGAGGTACTCTCTCAATGCAAGGATGATGTTTGCAGCGTAGATGGATAGTGTAGAAAGAAATATAAACAAAAGTACTACATGTACTAGTCAGATCTCAGGTTTAGATTAAGTCATGTTAGAAAAAAGGCAGCTGTTCAAAATTCAAAGACCAAATTGTGTTTGGTCTGACTTAATCAATTACAGCAGTATACACTTGTGTGTGTAGCATACAGTCCAATTAAAATAGTAAAACGTGAGAATTATCTCTGCAACTATCTGAGCCATATAAATAATCAGATGTTTAAAATTTTTAAAAGTTTTTAATGATAATTTTTATATATGGCCTACAAAATTATAGATTAGATAATTTTGTTTGTATAATTGAAAATAGTTTGCCCAAATAACGGCAGACTAATATTTAACCTAAGGTCTCCTTATAAGCTGTGGAAGCTTTGTTGCCTTATACATTAGAAATCTAGTCAAACTACAGTATGTCATTGTTATAATTATTACCATTTTAAATAGAATTTGATTTTACCTTGCTTGTATATCGGTTAGTGTCATTGAGCTAAGCAGAATACTGTACTTAGGACGGTCCCCTGAGGCCTGAGGAATAATGTCGTATCAAGGAGGAAGAGGGAAAGGACAGACAAAAATGGGTGGGAGTTTGTACTCTGTTGCATTCACTCTTCTCCCTGTTGTTCTGTTAACAGATGGGGAATAGCCTGGGTTAACGAAAGACGGAGGAGCGGCCTTTTAAATGGAAACTATTTATGCAAGATGATCAAAAAGACCCATTGTCCACATGTGCCAGCGACACTATCCAAGTACCTCTGGGTACTGCAACACTGCAGCCTTTCCTGGATTTTCACATTGAGTAATAAAACTTGAAAAGACTATATATATAATTATATATATATAAATGCAAACTAACAAACTTAAGTCATTGAGTTTGGAATGTGCCCATTTGCCAAGACCTGCTACTACTTTTTCCTTATATGGTGAGAGAGAAGAGTGACTCTACTTGCATACTGGCTGCATTGGCTGATGTTTCACCAACCAGAAAAAGGGAGGGCAGTTTACCTATAACTGAGCTTGTATGAACGTGACTGAGGGAGTTAGAAGATAAGAGAAAGACAGTACATGTTACACCTAGGGGAAAGAAAATAAGATACACGCCAGTCAAAAAAACATGGCAGTAAATGACTGCACATGTCTAGTACCAGTGTTGTCTGTTTCTGCAAGTGAGTGGGTAACTAGGACTTGTTTAAAGTTAAACACAAGACAGTGTCCTTGGGGATTCACTGTGTGCCAATTGCCCACTGGGGGCATTACCAAAGCTAGAGGGACTATTATTAACCCAGCCCAGAAAGCAAAGATGAGGATATGAAGATAAAGAGAATGAGTGTTGATGACAGGTGAATATTTAAGGGCAAGTCTGTGAAATTATAGGAAGAGATACAAAATAGAATCAGCAGATGAAAAAATGTGTTTCCTAATGTGTAATTCTGATGTTAAGGCAGCACCAGTAGAGTTTTGGTTGAAAGTAGAGCCTCTAGTGAACTTTACCCTCTCAAAGGAGTGTTATGTACCTTTTTATTAAGGCGTGGATCCACTTCTCAGGGTTGACAATGTCAAGTAACCATTCAGAGAGGGGGACTAATGTTGGGACTATGTTCAGAGGAGTGGAGTTAAAAACAATTATATGTACAACTGTTTGTCTTATGCAATGTTGACCTGAATCACTGTAAAAAAGAAAAAAGAAAAAGAAAAAAAAAAAAAGGACAATTTTTACGTGACTAAGAATTGTGCCCCTGTTTCTCTCTCCTTCCTGGACTTTTGAATTAGTCATCACCTCGTAAGAAAAGGAATAGTAAAACGATAGGTACATTTTGCATACTGGAGCAGGGCCATGCCTCCTTACATAAGGCATTTAACTTCTGAGAACTACGCCCTACACAGGACTTCTATCTCCTTTGTTAGCCTGTAAATACCATGGAACCAAAGATTTTATTATATGATAGAGTTCCCAGGCTGCTTGACAGCTCAACTGAACATCAAACCATTTAATGTTTAGTGTTTTTTCGTACAGTACATCAAAAGAACACTTCAGGGGTTACACTGTTTTCTATACAAGGTTATATGTATATATTTATGTAAAAAAGGTCTTGTTGACAATATAAGTAACAAATTTGATTATGATCACCCTCACTGTACTATCAACGTGCCTTATCTCCATTTTTATAAGTATGTGGTCTTGGCTGTAAAAAGTAATTGGCATTAATTAAGGGGGAATCAGTTCCACAGGGTAAATGTCTTATTTTTAAAAACCTAAAATAGTATTACATTGTATTTGAACTACTGCAACAAGTGTTTTATTAAATCTCTTAAAACCGAAGTTGAATGTGGCTGTGTGCACATGTATGCTGTAGGTCTGTATATTTTCCTGAATGGCTCTTCATTTATAGGTTCTCTAAGATTAAAATAATAAAATCCTTCCTAGAAACCATATATTTTTTTAAATATATGAACACCTTTCAATCAATCAATCAATCAATCAATACACAATATTAAAGTAAAATGACAATTGTATCATACAGGATACTACTACTATCATCTACATATCTCAAAAACAGCATTCACTGGTCACAGAATGTAAAATATTTCAGGTTTCATAAACACATCTCATTTGCAGATATTCCAACAATAAACTGGATCACAAAAACAAACCCATGCCTCACAGAACAGTTAATAGTATAAAAGCAGTAACTACTCAGATAATAATAGCCAAGGTCACTGGAATAAATGAAGTTTGGTCTGCAAATATTTTTACTTGTATCTCACTGGTACAAATCAACAAGTTGTGACTAAAATTCTGGTTATTTTCATTTAATTTTGAGGTCAACTCAAGTAGTTTTTTTACTGTACAGGTTTGGCAGGATTTTACAACCCTTGGGCCAATGAAACCCAGAAGCTGACGTTTGGGAGATTTGTGGTTTTAACCTGACAAAATAGATGAGTGTTCAAAGTGCCTATATCTGGTAATAAAACAAGGAAGTTTACCTCTAAAACCACTGAACATGTAGTTTTACTGCTCCTGAGTCTCTGCAGCTTTTGTTTCCAACTGCTTCTGTTTCCTCACGTCTTGTAGCTCCTCATCAAGACAGCACAGCTGAGCCAACTTCAGCTGTTCTACAAGAATCACAGAACAAGACTATGTCAAAGGGGTTTGAAATGGAAAACACTGTTCCTGCATGTAGAAAAGGAAACGTTTGACTGCAAGTGTGCTTACAAATGAATGTGCATAAATTCTGAGTGGGTACTTACCAGCTGATAGCAGCTGACATTTTGTATTCTCAGCTCTCTCTATTTCATCCGGGAGCCTTTCTGGAGTCTAAATAACAATTTAGAGGACTTCAGTAATTAACAATACTAACAACAAGTCAAATTTTCATCATTATATTTTAAAGATCTGAGGAAAATATATAAAGAGGGAAAAAAGCACCACTCATTTTAATATTAAATAAACAAACTTACAAACATGGAGTGCAGATTCTTATGCTGCTCTATCAGCTGATGAAGTTGGTTTTCAAACTTCATCCTGCAGAAAAAAAGGTAATTAATATGGCTGTTTGATGGTGTTTTTTTAAAATACAATAAATCATTAATTGATACCGCTGCTTCCGCTGTTTAAGCTTGAATTCCTGAATTTCACATCTGTACTGTTCCAGCAGTTCCTCACTTTGCTCGTTCTGCTTTAGCTGCCTGCAAAACATACACAATTCATCATCCAGTGCAATATATAAATAATTTAAAAATATAACACTTCCCATAGAACCATTAATTCGCCTAGCCTTTCGTATGCATAGGCCATAGTAGACTTGGCACAGGTATTGCATGCAGTACAAGAATGTGCTTGTTACATGGCTGATGTCCAAGATGCTAAAGATGTGATGCAATCATTAACCTTCATAGTGTAACAGCAAAGTCCTTACAGGCTCTCAGGTAACAGTAACTGGAAATTCAATAGATAGATAGATAGATAGACAGATAGATACTTAAATTATCCCCTAGGGGAAATGTATGTGTCCATTAGCTCATTGATGATGATAATAATAATAATAATAGCAGTTGATAATAAATAAACAATAATAATTAGATGAGTCCACTTCCTTTGGCTGAGGTGTTGTATAGCCTGATGGCAGTGGGAAAAAAGGATCTCCTGAACATCTCATATACAGTAAGACACACAGGTACATATCTTAATTTTAGTATCTTAAATCCATCTTGGTGAAGGTGACTATGCCACTAATTACTAGTTACTATATGCCACTGAAGATAAAAGGTCCACAATTTCTGATTATTTTAAAAGTTTTGACATTATATGAGTATCTAAATAGGAAATCAGGCAAGAGATTAAAAAAGGTTGAAATATATATTACAAACAGTAAAAGACTAAATATTTAAAAACTGGCACAGCTAATAACAGGACTGAAACAAAAACTAATTCAAAATCTCATGATATATAAAATTATCATACTATATCTAAGAATACAGGCAAGGTTTAACACAGACAATATATCAAAGAAAAAAAAATCCAGGATGCTGCAATGATACTTACTGCCATCTAGTGTTACACATCATAAACACACAATTGAGGTTTACAACATGAGGGGGAAAGATTTCGGGTCATGTTCAGACTTCAGGAAAACACTGAACTACACTCCTCATAGCTGAAGACATTCAATGATCATATTTATCTGGTTGAGGTGGTGCTCACCTGGCAGAGTCTTGCTCAGACTCCTCACATTGGATCTGCTGATTCATACACAGCTCTGAAGAAAACATCAGTAATAAATATGCTCATCAGGTTATTTATATTTATTGTTTCTGTATTTATAAAAGATGACAAACTTTTTCCAGACATAGTTGACCAAAACCTTATTTGTACATGGCATCAACACAAACAAAATCTTCATACTTACTGTACTGTAATTAATATACATGTACAATTGTTTGTCCCCAAGTACCTTCTTTTTCTTTATGGATTTCCTCCAGTCGGTAAGCTTCAGTTTGTACTGTAAAACATTGACAAAATGCCTTGTAATAATATTTAATAATAAAATAAACATATATGGTACATAACACGTGGCATACGCTGTAAATGGTTGCCTAAAGTTACTGTCTACTTTAGCAGGGGTTTGACAACATCTCATCAACAGGTACATGTAGTAAGTGTAATACGTCTGTGTAATAAGTTGGAGAAAGATTAATGATTTTGTGACTTACAAGTTTCCAGCTCTTTCTGCAAAGAGTCACTGACAGATTTGATGTCTTTAAGTTCTTCTTCTAGGGCTTTTTTACCTTGAATAAAACAAAGTGCAACTTAAACATGGTAATTGTTATGCCTGTTGTATTGTGACTGCTTTAAAACTATCTTAAGCAGTCATTTAATATTCTGTGAAACATCATATGACAAGGCATTGATTAATATTGCTACCCAAATTTCCATGTTGTGTTTGTGTTAATTACCTAATATCAGAGATACAAAAGTAGATAGTCCTACTACTTTAACAATCTGATTATAATACTAACCCATTTATTATTTCTTTTAACAGCGTAGATCAGAATGGGTCTTGTAGGGTGTTGCTGTTCCCTACAAGACGGAGATATTAATCATATCTCATACATCTCCATTCATCATGATCTGATACTCCTTGTAGGAGTAACAGGTAAGGATGTACCTCACTGACGATAACGTTCAAATGCTACATGTTACACTTATGATCTGTAGGTACAGCTGTCTCACTCACGGTTTTAACTTCCGTATTAGTGCTTAAACTTTTACGTATTACATGTAGTTAATTGTGTTTTGCTTAGATTCGGATTACCATTAGGTTAGTTTATAACGGTTTTGGCTGTATAAGCTACTCTTTCTGTTAAACCTAAAGGAAAATGCGTGTTCATTAGCATATCGGCAGCACAGCCAGCCTTCCTATTGGTGCACATTACAAAAGCTTGAAATCAAACTACGTGCTCCGTGTTGAAGTGTTTTCATAACGTACGGGCAGTTTAGCTTTTAAGGATGTCCGACGCGCGGTTCACATGGTGGTTTTTAACTACTTTTGATATAATTAAAGAAAAAGTCAGCGCGACTTACTAGCGGAAGTGGAAGTGTAGCTTCACGAAGACTAACTAACGTGTCAAGATAAATGTCTCACATTCCGATCTGGCTGAGCGACGAGCTGAAATGCACACATGCTTGAACATAATATGCGATATATCATTAGAGCTGGGGGATTCATATTGATCAGATAAACATTTTCTCAATAGTACAACTACATAATGCACTAACCGTTCATGTATCCAAGCACCATACCACAACTACGACACAAGCGCAATTCAACACGAAGAAGGACGTACGTGACAGAGATATCTCAGGCTTCATCGGTACTCTTGGGGATACGATATAAATACAAAACCGAGTAAACAAGCTAATCTTAAAAAGATATATTTATAATAGTAACATAACAGTAATTACCCTATAATGGGCAATCTTTTACATGAAATCCCAGATCCACGACTTTCGAAATTAAATAGTAAAACTGTTGGTAAATACCATTAACCCTTGTTGTATGTGAAGCCCCGCTGCCATTTTTAAAAAACCTTTTGTTCTTAATAAATATAAAGCGAATTTGGCGAACTTAAGACAGTTTGGCTTGATTTAATTAATTTATCAATCTAAATGTTAAATGGAAGAAAAACTGAAAAACTGAAAAAATAAATCCAGTGCCACAATAGATCTTTCAACTGAAGTGTGTAGATGAATAAAACTCATCTCCTGTTTGTCCAAAACATGTAATATCTGATTTTCTAGCAATTTAAAACGTAGCTAATGAGTCCATGTCAGTTGTAACTACCTTGTTGGAGCCTACTTAGTTTGCTCATCAGCTGTTCAACTTTGGGCTCCGGTGTTTCTCCACCTGAGGGAGCAGGGCATGAAAACATATCAGCCTTATTTTGAACGTGTTAAAGATTGGTTTCATGTGCACTTTGTGCAACTTTGACTAGTTTACCTCCTTTCAGTGGTGTAACATTAACCATGTCCTCAACGTTGAATCCTGTTATGGAGACGAAAGAGATGTCAGATGAGCAGCAACTTGCGTTTCTACCATGTTGGCAAATGGTATCACGCTAAGACATAATGTAACTTATCTTTAGGTTGCCCTTTTTAGCCACATGGTCAAAAGTTGGGTGGGTTGAAGAAAATTTACGAGCTGTCTGTACAACTCAGGTTTTGTCTTGGCTACTACTGAGCTGGTACAAATTCACACCAGTGCTAACATTAGCCAAACGGAAAGGAGATGCAGCTAACGCTACCTTAGTTTTAAGCTAACAATGTCACGTTTACCGTTTAGTCCAAAGAAATGGCTTCCAAAATTAAATGACTACAGAAGTTAAACTTAATTAACGGTAATATTTTAGTCACTATTTTCCTTGCGGCTATCTACTCTGCATTATTTTTACCGTTGTTTTATCATTACTTGGCCATAGCAGGCAATGTTACGCTGTTTGATGCTACAGTTTATAGTTATCTAAAAGATTTCTTGTCGCATTAAGTATTCTTAAGTCGATGTTAGTTAGCCAATATATTCTACTTATTCTATTATATTATTATATTCTATTCGACTTCTAGTTCAACTTTAATTTATGGCATCTAACCTGTCAACTTGCTCATACTTATCCAGCCAGAGGAGTATTTTCCTGACCCGTCCGTAAGACTGCTAAGCACTTTTTCCCTGTGACTCCTGATTACACGGACATGCGCACGAGGGCGAAACGTTTGGCGCCATAGACTTAAAAAGTGCACAGAATTTATGGAATTGGAAACTCAATTTACAGCACATGCAATGTTGGCTTTGCTTTGATAATATTTTTAAGCGCCATTAAATCTTATGAGTTAAAATTTGTTCTGATGTGTACCAAGGCACAATTTACAAGTCTTAAACCTGCCCAGTACTGGATTTGTGATTTTTTTTCTATCAATATTTAAGAGTAAATACAAACAACAGAATTGCTGATATCCAATTTGTAACACAAACATACAACAAGCCAATAAATTGGTCAGGCTCTAGTAATTACAATCAAAAATAGAACTGCAGTCAGAGGGGCTTGGGATGCATCTGATGTGCAATTTCCTGTTGACCAGATGACATATACAAGACACAAAAACAACACACAGTTAATCTTTCCATTGTATCAGTTTTAATGAAAAGCCAACAGCTGTGTAGAGGAATGTGGTTCCACTTTAATGCAAATATACAATGCAAATAGACCTACAAAGCCCAAAACTTACTTTATCTATACATGTCAAACCACTAAGGAGTTCTATATACACGTACACGTTAGATACAAACACAAGAGTTTTAAAAAAAAGTCTAACAGGGCTGCCAAACAACACTGTGTCTCTTCAAAACAGGAGTAGCTGTACAGTGTGCATTATCAGCACATGCAAATGGGAGAAAGAGTCATGCAAAAGGTGAAAAATCAAAACAGAAGTTACAGAATAAAAAATGTTCACGTTAAATATATCATTCAAGTTCTGTGTGTTTGAGTGTAGAAGTATTTTGGCTTCCAGTGCATATTGAATCTTACTGCCTGTTTCACTTTGTATTTTATGCATCCAGCATGTTATGGATACCCAATCACATCTTTGCAACCCTGCTATCTACATCAAGCTTAATAAATAGAAAAGTCATGAGTACCACTTCCTTCAAGTTTGGTGTCCATCTACTTCATTAGCGGTTTTAGAATTCAGAAGTTCTGAAACCTGGATTAGCTTGATTAAAAAGTTGTCAGAAATCCCAATACTTCATTATTTCACATTGTTTGCAACAAGAAAAAATAAATACAGCAATAAAATGTCACTTCACGTTGATGACCACACAAGAGGAGATTAATGAAGACTGTAAAGAAAAAAAAATTCAAAGAAGGTAAGGGAACATCTCTGCTTTGGAATCCTACAAGTGATTTCAGAACTAAAATGTTCTTCCTTTTGAAAAGATATTACATAAGAATATATAGTTTATAAATATTAATTTATGTTCATATTTGTTATACACATCCAACGCTGATCTTCATTCTTATGCCACTGAAGTATTTGAGTTAATTAACTGGGTCAGCAAAGTTCTGATATCAGAGCACATTTTTCCCACAAAGCCACACATCCATATGAATCATCCCAGAATCCCTGTCAGTGGCAGGGGGAGATTAGCATCATATACATTAATACACTTAACTATTTACAGCAGTGACAAGCAAGCTAGAGGTATTCCTCTGGTAGTTGTAGAGAATTGTAACACATATTTAGTTGTGTTTCCAATGCTGCCATGCAGAGTTACTTTACACCAGCAGTTTGAAAAGGGAGAGATAAGTTTGGGAAAACAGACAGGTTGAAGGAGGGGATATTTCTAGCACTAACTTCTTCTCTTCAGGCAAAGCTGGTTTGCATCAATATTAAGCGCCACAGATATCTTCCCCGCTCTTTTCCCATTTAATCTCTGCAGCAAGGCAAGGCCGAGTGCCAAGCACTCACAGGATAACAGGTTTTATACTGTATGTGCCATGCCAAACTGGAAGTTGGGAGATGGGTAATGTAGATATAATGTAGCCATCTGTGTTAGTAGAAGCAGAGGACAGTTAGAGCAAGCAGAACAGTCAAAATGAGGAAAAGACAGATCATTGCATTCTGTCATTAATGGCAAGATTTGTATTTGAGTATTAGTATTTGTATTTAAGTGTCCCTCTCAGCTGCATTTTACAACCAGCTGCATCTCCTCCGCAGTCATACCACCTGTTTAAAAAAAGAACTGTGTGTATGATTGGAGAGGAAATAAAGAGTAAAATGGGGGAAAAAGTAAAAGGAGTCAGAGATCAAAGGGCATGTTAGAGACATTTCACGATAATGGGAGGCATTCTCTGGCTACCAGCTGTTTCCTTTAAAGTGCTCATTCGCGGGAGCGGCCCACAATAGCCAGGATGTAGAGGAAGATATTGATGATGTCAGTGTACAGGTTGAGGGCGGCAAAAATGTACTCCTCTGGACTCAGGGCCAGCTTCTTGTTGCCCAGGAGAAGCTGAGTGTCCACAGCCAAAAACTGCAGGGGAGAACAAGGCTGGCATTAGTCATTTCAAAAAGGTTATACAATTGGTATCTAAAATGATTGATATAAAAATTATTTTTATCAGCTATCATTTCAGATGCTATGGTATCATCCACCAAATATATCCATATACTGTCATGAAATAAGGCCATAATAGACAGTCAACAACGTCATGTCAAAAATACCTTCATTATGCACATTACAGCTGCTCATATTCATATATGGTGTACGGGATATCAATTTCCAGTCTTACTTGAGATAATATTGTCACACATATCTAAAGCTCCTCTCATGTTTCCCATGTATTTTAACACTACTGCATGAAAAAACGCAGGCTCCCTCCCATCCATTTTAATGGGACCACCCTTTTAGCACTAGTAATAATAAAGGCCAATAGACTCCTAGTTCTGCAAGTCTTCAGTTATTCTTCATTCATCAAATGCTTCCTATCACACCTTCTCTTCCCTTGTTCATCTGAGTGAATTCTATTCTTCATGGAGTTATTTACTTCTGTTGACCTAAATGTTCAGTGGTGGAATGTGACCGATCACATTTACTCAAGTACTGCACTTAGGTATTTGAGGTATTTGTATTCTGAGTATTTCAATTTTACTCTTTATACTTTATAGTTCTACTTCACTACATAGCTAGCATATCTGACAGCTGTAAATATACTTTTTTGTCATGTTTTCAAGTGTCTGAGTTGTCTCAGATGATTTTATATGAATAACTGTTTAAGGTCAGAAGAGGAAAAAGGATTCAGAAAGATTTGAGAAACATCCAAAAACTGAAATCCCATTTGTGTATCAAAACTCTGAGCAGCTACAACAGTAAAATGCTGCTTACACATTGATGCATCAATATCAACAATCTAATCATGTCTGTTAGATATTAGTCACAGGAGATATCTCACTGCAGCACTACTACTTGTACATCTTGCTGATAATACTAATGTACTTCTACTCAAGGAAGATTTTGAATGCAGTACTTTGACTTGCAATGGAATATCTTACAATGTGCTATTGGTAATTTTACCTAAGTAAAAGATCTGAGTACTTCTTCCAACACTGAATGTTGATAGTGTTTTAACAGATGTTTTAGTTGAGTTTGGCTCTCACAATCCATGATCATATATTCAGATCTTAATACCAAAGTTTGTGTGCCACTTTCCTCTTGCTAAGCATTTATCTTTGTCCAACCCAGTTTCTGCTTTCCTCTTCTAACATTCTGCAGATGTAATTATCCCTTACTGAGCAGAGTAAACTAAACTTCACTAGAAGGTGGAAAATCATCATTATGGCAATGATGACTGTCTACTAACTGTATTTAGACGACTGGACGCCATGACCACACAAATATCAAGTTACCCAACTGGAGAATCAACTTACAGGTTAGACTTTTGATGAAATCATCTGACCTTGCTCAAGTAATGACATTTAAGTGATCATTATTATAGTGCTAAATTTGAAATTTGCAACGTAATAGAAAGAAATTAAAGACATACAGGAACCACTTAAGTTATTAATGGGAAATGGCTGTCATTTTTTTAAGGACACACTATGAGTGTGAAACTTACGCAGGTGAAGAGCAGGGCCCCCAGTGAGGCATAGACGATGTGCAGGATCCTGTGGCGGATGAAGATGCAGAGGATGGAGAAGAGCAACAGCACGATCAGGCAGACGAACAGCACGCCCCGACAGGAGGTGAAGTCATATTTGCTCTGTAGTAAAAAACAAGAGAAAAAGATAGAGACTCAGAGGAAAGCAAGATGTTGGAAAATATGAGCTGTGATAAGACATGAGACACACCACTTTACATGACTAATGGGAATATTCAAATGCAGCCTTGATTATTCATGACACTCAAAGCTAGTGGTTTGAATATTTTAATGTTTTACACCATTAACAAGCAGCTTTAATTCTAAGATAAAGATTTGGTGTAAGAGTGGCCCTGCCTGATCTGGCATTAACATACGTTTCAGGTGATCCGATTACAAGTGGACAGCTCTAAGTACGTCAGTTCCACATGTGTCTCGAGTGACAACTTGTGATCAGATCTCACTTCCTCGCTCTAAATGCAAATAAACACATATGCGTTTTTGTTTTTCTACTATAACAGACGGGTCCCTCGTCAGTGTGTTTGTGTGTCATCAGTGGACAGTGTGTGTGATTGACTAGGTTGAGCATCTCCTTTACAACTCAAATAACAAATAACCAGAGGGTGATGTTTGTGTTTGTGTGTTTGTGTGTGTGTGTAGACATGTGAATACATGTGTACTGACCTGTAGCGAGAAGAGGACGACAGTGAAGCAGACCACTGCAGTGATGCCCACGGCCATGATGACGGTCTCTGTGTCGTAGAAGCTGGCGATCATACCCACCATGTAGGAGAGGCTCAGGGTCAGGATGGACTGCAAGACACAGAAAACACAAATTAACATGAGCCATGACACACTTTACGTGTTTGTGATTCTGGTGACAATTTTAAATCACCCCATTTAAGGGCCAACGTATACTCCGTCAGGACTAGGTCTTACCACATGTTGTCCGACCACATCAAAAAAAATCAAACAGGTTTATGGCTGAGCAAAATGGCCACACTGGAAGGCGGAGTGAAAAGCCGGGCATCATAGAGGGGGGTGATGCAACATCATTCAAATAAGGGGAAAATAGTGCTCTATTTCAGACAGTCCCTCCAAGAACACATTCTCAGACTTGCACTCAGTTTTTTTACATGAAAAGTACCACTAACTGTTGTGTAACATGAAAAGATAGAGCTGAGACGGACGTTCAAACCTGGATTCCTTTCTCACTTGTATATTGTTAATTACAGCAGTTGCTGAATTACAACTTGATGTAGTGGGAATACAGGTTAGGAACTAAGGAGTTACTAACTTCTATCTAACAACAAGTTGATAAACTGAACAGTTAAAGCCACACTAATGTAAAAATAACTTTAAACTCACTCAAGGGCTCATAACAAGCTACTTACTTTGTGGTTGTTTATTTGATATATCATTAATTAATGCAGCACCTATTAGATATCATATGTCCATCCTCTGAACTCTTCCATTTGTCTACTGCATGAGACTACTTCCTGCAGTGTTTCAGGTCTACCTGCTGGCTTCAGCGTCAGATGTCACTGCATTACGGGTGTGTGATGTGCAGTGTCACGTAAATGCTAAGGAAGAGCTGAATGCCATTTCAGAATTTGAGGTGAGGTTAGTAATCAGTGTTTATGGGCATTTAATCTTCACTACACTCCTCCCTTACATATGTTTGACTCTCAGAGGCATCTCTCCCTTATCATTGTACATTGACCCTGATATGCAAAATGTGTACGTGCCATAAGACATGAATCTGTTTATGTATTATGGAAATTGACTTTTACAACAGGTACCTTTTAATCATTTGGTTTTAGGGCAATTTCTTACCAGTGCAATCAAATTCCAGGGGTGCTTGCGGCGGAAGTCTCCACAGCAACTGAGGACGATTAGTGACACAAAGAAGACTGCGTAGGACACGTAGTATGTCCATGGATTGCGTCGCACAAAGTACTTGGCATCATCGACAAAGGTGAAGACGGCAACGAAGGAAAAAGTGACCAGCAGCTGCACCGTGAGAACCATGAAGACCTGGTGGGAAAGAGGAATGAAGTGATTTTTAGAGATGAAAAATTATACAGTATTTTGGTGGTATTTTGTATTAATGTTAGTCATGCTCTTTATTAGATCCATTTAATCTATTGCACACAGTAAAGGACTTACTTTTCTGATGAAGGCTTGTCGGATGGTCTTATCTTCAAAGCCAGAGTTGGTGAACTCCTCATTGTCGTAGTAAGATGGAGGCACGTCACCATGATAACCAGGGCTGCCTGCAGGTGCTGGTGAACGTGAACAACAACAACAACAACAACAACAACAACAATAACAACATATTAGCTGTTAAAAAACAATCAACTGGCAAAAACCTAGGCTAGACAAATGGCTGCATGTCTGAGGCGCAATCTGTGTGTGGTATTGATCACCTAATTGATTACCCATTCATCTGTGTAAAGTGGAGTCAGCGATGTGTTTTCATGTTGATTTGGAAAAAATTGTGCCAAAATAGTTCTTCCAGCATTCACATGCCTTTAATATATAAATCCATTTACAGAGAAAATTTCCATCCAAACCAGCCACTTTCAGACTGAAAACTGAGACAGCTTTAAGGAGCAAAGAGGAAAAGTCTTGGAAAAGTAATAAATGAACACAACTTTAGCTGAGCACATCGGTTTTTTTTATAAGTAGTAACTGAAAATGGAGCACAAGCGAAGTCAAATGACACTATTTGGCCATTTCACACTTTGCTTAAGTGACACATTCAGGTATCTAACAAAAAAAATATTGCGACATAGAAAGATACAAGTTTACTTTTTAATGCCTCAAACCTTTAGCTTAACTACTCACCAATGGGGTCTCCGGGAAAGCCTGGCTGTGGGGTTCCTTGCTGATATGGCCCCTGAGCATAGGGCCCCTGTGGATAGGGCATCTGAGGGTAAGGCATCTGAGGGTAAGGACCAGGGGCGAAACCTGGGGCTGCCTGAGGGAAGCCTGGTTGCCCGTAGCCAGCTGCTGGTGGGTATGGTCCCCCTGGCGCCTGGCTGTAGTTGGGAGGGGGCATGCCGAAACCCGGCTGAGGGGGGCCATAGACGTTGTTATGAAGTGGGTTGGTCTCACCCATACCAGGGTATCCACTCTTGTCTTGAGACATGGTGTGAGGGAAGGCTCACTCTGCTGCAAGAACAATCTGTGAAGAGAAGAGAACTATAATTATAACTAGTTTTCTTAAAAAGCAACATCCACAACAAACAAGTGTTTTACAGGAAAGGAGATTTGTATTCTTATACATACAATTTCAATGTCTTTATTGAATCTCAAAAGTAACAGAAGGAAGCAGGGCAAAAGCAATGACAGTACAACATTTAAGCCAAACTGGCAAAGAAACAAACACTGCATCTGCCTGATTAAAAAGGTGACAGGCAATCAAATAATGCAGCAGGAAGAGAGGACACAGAGATGAAGTAGCACTACATCACGTTGCCTTTCTGTTCGACAAGCTAAATTCCAGCTATATCATAATTTTATGCTCTTTTACATTCCTGTTTTGGATTTTCATTCTGCCAAAATATGCCTTTTAACGCCAAAAAAATGGAGAAGGCAGTCTTGAAAAAACTAGGCTGTAGGGGATCATGAGGAAGAAAGAGGAGCCACCACAGGCCTCCCTTTATGTCAAAGATTGTTGTAACACGAGTTATAGAGAGCACACAGGCCAGGAGAGAGACCAGGACTATCGGAGAGCATAATACATGTGAGGACATCAGTACGAAGGGGAAAGGATTTCATTTAAGCAATGATTAAAACCTAATGGAAAGATTATTAGTAGTTAATACTCATGGAAGTATGACAAAGGAATTATTCAGAGATTTGAATGTGTTTGATGAAGAGTAATGGCAATTTGGTTGACTATTGTGAAGTAATGATTGTGAAATAATGAAATACGTTGATAAAATGAATGACTGTGAAACCGCTGATTGATCTGCATCACAAAGCTGAGTATCAACTGAACGTGCTCATGGGAAAGAGAAAATCTTATTTTTATCTAATTATAAGCAACCTCATCAGAACCACGAATGGAGTACTAAATGGAGATAGTTACGGGGATTTTTTTGTTGTTGTGGAAGAAGAACCTGGAGAAAATAATATCAATATCCGAAAAGCAAGGTTAAGTCTAGTAATAAATGGTTCATATGTCTTTTTAAATTGTTTGGTATATCTTTGAGTATTTTTACTTTTTTGTCTCATGATGAACAAACTATTATAAATATGTGATAGATGAAAAGTTAAAAGTAATGTAAAGCTACTTCTGCTGTCAAAGTGGAGAGGAGATGAAGGGGGAGAAGAAAGGACTCAGCTAATCTATTAATCGCTTGCTCTGTATAGATAATAAACTGTATGATGATGATGATGCTTAAACTGTGACTTAAACAACACAACTGTTGATTAATTGATGAGTGAATCAGGCAATGAATCAGGCCCCTGAATAGGGATGGGAATTGAGAACCAATTTGTTAAACTCATGTGTCTACGCTGCTGGAAACTTGCATCAAGGAGTCATGGTGGACAAGGAAGAGACGATCCATAGTGTAGCTTTATTTCACAAAGAAAAATGATATAGTGGTAGTTGTAATGTCTGTAAAATGGTAAATTCAAATAACCAATATGCTGAAACATGGGTTTTAATTCCAGGAATGCATAAATATCCTATGTTATAACAACATCGACGCCACACAGGCAGACGTAGCTGATTTCTTCTTTGATGAAGAATGAAATGAAAAATGAAAACAACGTTTAAAAAGTGGGGCGTTTGAGCACCTGAGTCACATGCATCTTTTTTTCCTTGAAATTACCTTGTCATTCTGAAACTCTCCTAGTATTAAGGTTGAACTACAGGCCTCCAGGAAATATACTGCAGTAAGAACTGCGGATTCTTGTGAATTAACCTGATGTAAGAGGAAACCTACACAAGAAATCACAGCCTACATTCACACCGACATAAAACCGTCAATCCCACACACTGGCTGTATGGACTTAGCCAGCAGAAAACACGAAGCTGGGATGGATAGTGTGTGAGAAACGAGGAGACGGCAAACACTGTCCACCTCAGTGCTGACAGTGTTACCATGGACGCAGGTGGTGCCTTGGTAACCAAATGTATTATTAATCTGCTTTGCTTCAGGAAGAGATCTGACATACTGGCCATTTACTGCAGTGCCCCTCCCCCACCAGGCCCCTGCAGAACCCTGGTCAACAGGTTTCTGTGTCATTTTCATCGCAATCTATAATGCTAATGAGGCAGCTACATGCAAGACACAAGAACTGCACACAAGAAAACACAAATCTCTCTGCAAGTGACTGCAAGCGATCACTGTTTTCAAAAGTACTGTTTAGGTTTCAAAAAAAGCCTCAAGTCCCCAGAGGAAGACTTTTGCTGAGCAGGACGGGAGCCAAAAGCCATTCCTCTAATTGCTGACTTCAAAAGAAGAGCTGGAGTGGGCATCAGACTGGCTTTATAGTGGTGCATAGACCTTAGCTATTTAAACCACTGATAACATACAAACACAGGCAAACACACTCTCACTCCTCAATGTTTCTCCCACAAACACCACCAATTAGAAAACACAGATCACTAAAAATCATGTTTACACTTGCTACATCCTTCTCCTCGCCTCTTTCCAGGCCATACCGAATTAACGGTGAACGTTATGCAACACTGCTTTATTTCTCCCTGGCAAACACATCCAGGTTCCAGCATGCGTCCTCATGATCCCTGTCTATCCATCACTAGGTCAGTGTAGGGAGAGACTGCAGACAAACATGGAGAGTGCTGGCTCTGCTTCATACTGACAGTCTCCATTAAGATCATAACAGATTACAATCATTATCTGAGGAGCCAAATCCCTCCCAGCTTTCCGGATAACAATGGTTGTGTAAGGCGGGTATACAGTGCCCTTTGTAAAGCAGTTTTGCTGAATTACTTCAACTATCTGTCAGTTAACCGTTTGCACTGTAGACATTATTGGTTTACCTTAATAAAAACCAATCACTCATTTGATCTGAACAGACAGACAACACTTTCCTCCATAACTCAAGGTTTTGTCTGCTTGTGTCGCACAAGACAAGACATTTGTCAACTGAATGATTAACTCAAGACCCCATAACTAATCATGTGTCATATAGTCAAAGCATGTGATCCAACCCCTGTCCAATGTCCATGTTAAGCATTGAAGATTGGAACTCCAGATTTGAAAGAATTTGCCATCCATGTTAGGACCCGGCGATAGGTCTGAAATCACATATAAAATGTAAGAAAAAATGAACTGCTCTAGGTCAGCGACTAACAATGATTTTCATTCTTGATTTATCTGCCAGTTACTTTTTCCATTAACTGACTGATTGTTTGGTCCATAAAATGTCTGAACAAAAGTGAAAAAAGTCTGAGGTGATCTCATCAAATAGTTTTTTGTCTGACCTACAGTCCAGATCTCAACTATACTCAGTTTAAGATTAGAAAGGACAAAGAAAAGAAGCAAATTCTCACATTTGAGAAGTTGTGGTAAGTATACTATGTATTTGGGATTTTGCTTAAAAGAAATTAGTTAAAAAATGATCAGAACAGTAGCAGATTATTTTTCTGTCAATCAGTCATTTCAGCTCTACTGTGCTCCTCTGTTATGTATTACATGAGCGCAAACTCTTCAAATGTGTGAAACAAAAACTTCAATAACTAATTTTGTTAATTTATAATTCAGCCTGCTCTTTATCACTAGTTTGGACAGGAGAAATTTGTAGAAAGATTCCATGGTAAGATCATACCAGGAAAGTATGATTTTGCAGAAATGTATTACACAATAAGTGAATTATCCCTCAGCGATAATTTGTTTTAATATTTCAAAATTGCAGTAAAAGATTAAGATGATCTTGAAGTCATGTTTAACAAGTGACTTCACATCGTTCAAATTCAATGTTTGTAACTTTTTATCTGTGTTTAATGGATTACCAGATATAGTCCAAAGTAACAACATCAACAGGATGCGACACTAATGTCAGAAATATGCATAAAGTCAAACAACAACAGTTCAGTTCAGTTCAGTTCAGTTCAACGGTTCAATAGTTACGTCAGAGATTTATTTTTCTGATATCTCTGAAGACACTGATACATGTAGCTGTAAGCACTACAAAGTAGTTGATTTGTCAGAAAGAGTTTTACACAAAGAAACAAAAGAAAAAAGACTAAGACATTTGAGAAGAGGACATTGAAAATTAGTGGCCTCTTTGTCAACTTCTCATTTAGCAAAGTGCCCAAGTCAATTCAAAAACCACAACAGTTTCACTTCCATGTCTGAGAAGTGGTGAAAGAGAATTCAGAGAAAACTTTTTTTTGCTTTTTGCCTTTTTTTGTGAGTGAGGAGTCAGTTAGAAGCACTTTTTGCACAGCTTTACAAGCATTATGTGGGAGATTTCAAATCCTCTTAGGAGAGACGCCCCAACGCTGTGGATAAAGACAGACAATCAGCAGAAGCCAGGGATAGTGGCCTGGCTTCTGCTGATAGCTATCACTAGGGGAATTAGGTTAAAGGGAGGGATTCAGTGGGCTAGCCAGAGAGCCATGTTAACACAATTAGGCTAGCACAATACCTCAACAAACCCATGTACAACATGCTACGTGCATGCCTGAGCAACACCAGGAAACACAGTGACAAAACAGAAACAGCCACACAAAGCAGTGGGGCCTATATAGAGGTAAGCCTTTTACAATATGTGGCACCAAAACAAAAGTGAGAAATTGTGGTCTTAGACGGAGGATGAAATAAAAATCCCACTTCTTTTAAAGATACAACTTTTACTAAAAATAAACCAACATCTAGGACTTCACTGAGTGATATCATTAAAAATAAAAGGCTGTTTCACAGTCACATGATGAGTGGATAACTCTGTGGGGTGAAAAGTTTTGTATGGTGGTTTCACACAACCTGCACCAACCACAGAACCAGCTTAATTTAACCAAACTCCTTAAAGCATTGAGTGCACCATGATAACATCTCGAGTCCTATTATGAAATTGTCACTTGGACCACCTGCCAGATAAAATCCTACATTGTGTTGCTGTCAGCCTTCTGCCAGCCAATGCAGCAGTCTGGCACAATATTGTCATCATGCCACGCCACGTGAGCAGCAGCTCTGGCTATGTCATGTCAAACCTGCAAACACCTTACCTCATGACAGATGGCCGCACTTTGTGTAGGTTAGCATAGTACGACAACATACTGATACTCAAAAACAGGACTCATTTTAAAAAAAAAATACATATACATTACCATAATTTTTGTGTTTTCTTGTGCTGTGTCTTTAGAGTTATATCAATATAAAAGATTGTAGCTTTTATACCAGCTTACATAGTTGTTTTTCAATTCTCTCAACAGAAGAACAAAATTTCATAATTTATTATTATTAATATAATAATAAATAATTTGTCATCGCTGTAGCAAAGCCATAACTCTAACAAAGCTTTTTGATCACTACCTTAGAGATGAAATGGACTAATCACGCCTTACACTGCGTAAGCAGTTGGCAATTTAAGGAGGCAGTGTTGGCAAGATAGCTCAGCTTTATTGCTCTTGTCTGGATAGTACAAGCCTACTGATCCTTGAAAATCCAAATTTCCCAAACAGAACTGGTGTCAGCTAAACAGACTTATCCAAAATGTTAAATATCCCCAATCTCCATATTCCATCAATGTCTTCTGCAGGATGAGGCAGTTATTTCCATGGTGGCAGTCAAGATTCAGTAATTCTGGACTTTGATCAAGTCTGATTCGCAGCTGGATGGTGACACAACAGTAGAAACATCCACTAACCTTGCTTATTAGAATCGCCTCTCCTTGTTCCTCCATTAATTGATCATCCCTAAACAATAGTTTTACTATAACCCTCAACATTAATAAAAGATTGTTCATTCAAAAGCCCTCGCTCAACAAATCAATAAGCTGCAACCACTAAATGTACCGGTAAGGAAGTCAACGTAAAAGGATATTATATGGAGAGCAAACTAATTTTCTCCGGCTGGCAGCTGTCAGAGAGGAACACATAGGCTGCATGTTTCACCTTATGAACGACATGCCCAGGTATATTCCTTTAGCTTCATTCAACACAAACTGTAAACACAGAACCTATAACACTGTCAACCTGTGAATAAAACCATTTATGGGAGAGCTAATAAGGACGATAGGAGATCTAGACTATTAATAGCAAAGGACAGTTTTGGGCTAATGGAGACAGTGTATATTTGGAGTGTGTGTGGATTATTCATGGAGATGGCCTCATGTGGAGATATCAACAACACATACAAACATACAAACAGGGCATGGGTAATATAGCGGTATTAATATTGTTTTAATATTATGATATCAGTTTAGCATGGTGATGTATTTAAATATCTTGCTGTGTCTGGCCAACAGCCCAAAAGATATATTTTACAGTGAAATCAAACAGAAAAGCAGCAAATATCTATACTGGAGGAGCTGGAACAAGGTTAAAGTCATTATGTACTCTAAAAAAATTATTTAACAATAAATCAATTGTCAAAGTAGTTGCAATTTAACAAGTTAATCAAATAATTGTTCAAGCTCTGATATATATGAATATCATGGTATAAGTTACATAGACCACGATATAGGATTCCACCTATTTCACCCACTGCTAATTCTGAAAGTTAAAGTGAAAGCAACTAAAGTCCCTACCTACTAGACCACCATATACATATTACTAATTTATTTATTTATTTATTTTTTAAATAGCACCCTTTGTTAGAATACTTTTACAACTGAAAAGCATCACGTGCATTAATTATAAGTATATCAATCTGGGCCAAAAAGAATAATGAGACATATATTTATAGGTTACGTACGAAGGGAAACCTAAACAGAAACATGACTCCAACATAAGCACTGAGCCTCGTTTTCAAGCTCTACCTGCAGCGGGCGCACCTCCATCTAGGCCTCACCAGCGCAGATAAATGCGACACTGCGATCATCTGTTACTTCAAACTGACAGTATATCGCCCCCAAGTCTCAAGCAACCAAGACCGTTATTACAGAAGCATTTGGATAAAGCGACAGTAAATCGGCCTGGATATTCAAAATAGCTAGCTAGCTCGCCATGATGGAGCCACTAACTGAGTTTTTTTTTTTTTCAGGACGGAGACCATCACGCCGCGCCCCCACGTTTACAGTGCTGAGCTGTCAGCGCCTTTCAAAGGCAAACTACTTTTCTTTGTGACTCACTGTGTCTAGATATGTGCGATATGTGCAGATCTGCAAATTCCGTCTGTTTTGTTAATTTACCGCTTTCTGTCTCGCTAACGCTAAGTGACAGCTGGGGACAGGCAGGTGCTGGACGCTGCTAGCCAAGCGGTGCTCGTTGACCGTACCACCAGCAAATTTAAAGAAAAACAACAACAATAATTTCTATGAACAAAACACACACACATACACCCACGCCTAACATTCTCTAAACAAGCTATAACACCCTTACCTTTAATATATGTATTTGAGAGTAGCTGCCGAAATAAACTCTCCCTCCTCCTCCTCCGGGTGGTCTGAACTGAACAACTGGGTTGAGAGCCGTTGACGTCACCACACGGCGTGGTCACATGATATGTGGGAATCTCCGATTGTTATAAAATGACACAATTTATTGAAGTAATGACGCAGTGTTTTTTCATACGGGTCACATGAAGAAGAAAAGTGCAGTTAAAGGGGTGTAATTACTTTTGCAAAGGAATTACTGCATTGGAAAGATCCAGATACATCAGGAGAGTTCTGCGTGATGCGTAACAGTTACAGTCATGTGGTTTATTATCAGTGGTGTAAAGTACATTTAGCTACCCCAGTGCTGTGCTTAAGAGATACGCCTACTTCCAACAAAAAGAGTTAAGTTTAATTTATTCTTTAATTTAGATAAGTGTTTGAGGCTCAGAGAGAATATTTCTTGTAAAAAGCAAAGATTGAAAGTTTGAAAAATGAATACACAATAGTGTAGCAGAATTTTGTCTCTTCTTTAGTCCAACCCTAATCATCTCTCACACCTCTCAGATTTACTGAACTGTATCTGAAGATTAACCAACTCCACCATGCCTAACAACTGCTTACACAATCTAAAAATGTATGTTAATAATACATCAACTCATTTTTCTGCAGAGGGAGTCCCAGTGGTATAGTACTACTTGAACAGAACATGTGTACTTCAAATTTTGACTGCAAGGATTTTGACTTCTAATAGAAGTTCTCATATTGTTGTACTAGTACTTTTAGATGGGTAAACAACCTGAGAACTTCAACCTCTATTTATTATTCAACTTTATGGTAGTTTGTTGCTACAGTTATCTGGTAGACATAAACTGAGTACAAGAAACACTCATCTTTTTATTTCTGTACACATTAGAAGAACAAGTAGGCTTATTGCTGCTGTACTGAAAGATACTTGTTGCATATAATCAATTCAAACAACTATTTGTATATTTTACAGTCATTCTGTGTCCACCTGAAACCCACTGACTTAATGTACATAAATCATTAAGCTCATAGGTTAGCTACATAGATTGATGTATGGCTGGTTTTACCCTGCACTGGGCCCCTCCTGACCCCCTGTTTGTGATGATTGACACATTCCCAAAGAAATTTGTATCAATCAAATTATCACAAACCAACTGACACTCAAAGAAAATGGGGCCTTCAGGGCCCTTGAAAGTCTTGGGCTCCAGGGTAGCTGCCAGCTGTGGGTGGCTGGTGATCCAGCCTTGTAAGAAGTGAAGATAAGTAAAACTTCTTGAAAAATGAGATATGCATAGCCTCATGACTTGCTGGTACAGTTTGATAAATGTAATATGAAGTCACACTGGATTTTACAATTATGTATTCACTGTCACAGACAGCGGTTATATTCTACACAGTACACAATGATGTTTGCACTAACAGTCTTAACAGTTTCTTTGACCTCTTTCAGTTTGCCATGTGCATATGATTGTATCACAAGGCAAACCTTGTTGTATGTTTAAAGACAGTTGACACCGAGCCCCTATGCAACCACTGACATGACAGCAGTTACTGGTTGTAAGGACGACTTCGAAGCAGATTGTCCAGTTCAGTCTTGTTGATAGTACCATAGGCCTGGGAATAACTGCCGAGTTTGGCTCGAGGGTCACCTGCAGCTGCCACATTACAATTACTCTGAAATACTTTTTTGCTGAACCGTGGCAGGGGACGAGCCTCACAGACCTGAGGGTTGGATCGTTGGTTCTGCATGGGAAAAAAAAAGAAAGTTAGACATGTATTGACAACCACACCATCTATAGTTTAGTAAAGCCACCAAGCTTTAAAATATCCATGTTTTTATTAATTCTACGTATAAAAAAATCAATATTTCATCATGCATGTAGATTGCCTGAAATTGCATATTGATATTGTGTCATATTTTACATGTCATGAGGTGCAGTGGACTGACCAGGCGTGCAGATGCGACATGTAGCCCTGAAGACAAAGACGGCTCATCCTTGCGAACTAGCGGGTTGTTGGTCGTTTGGTTTAGGGTCAAGGAGAAGGAACGGTTATGGGCCACAGGGGCTGAGCGACCACGCTGGAGAATCTGGTCCATGGACTAATGAAAGGAGGGAGAAAAGATAGAAAAATGTTCAAAGTGAGCTACAGAGTGAGAGCCTGAGTGGGAAAGTATGCGAGCAGCCAAAAATAAAAAGGATGTAAAAATAAAAAATAAAAAAACCCCCAAAAAATCATTACATCACAGCAAAAGAAAACAAAAGTGAATAGTAAGCGAACTGAGGTCTGGTGCTTACTGTATTAGCATTAGTGCCCTCTGTTGGTGATGTAGTTGCATTTCCATTACTAGTCTGTCCCACTGGTTTCCTATTGCCTGCAGTTGAATGATAGTAATGTGGAGGACCAGCTGGGCTCCGAGCAAAACTGTCTGAATGAAGAGAAGAAGAGTTTGTGTTTTCTACCTGAGAGACTATGTATTTATACTGTCTGTGAGAATTATGTAAAACTCATGCAGCTGCATTGGTTAGATTTCATTGTGAAGGCATGGACCTAGGGCTGGGTATTGTTTTGTAATATTTTATGGTTATTGTTTCTGCACTGGTACCAAAGCAATACTTTTTCACAACATTTGAGAAATATAATGTTCATAATATTTTTCACCAAATTCTTCCCTTTTTTTTTCATTTAACAGCATCAAGGTTCTCAAATGTTAAATGTTGTCTCAATAAAAAAGCCATAGTGGAACTTTCCCCTACATAAAAAAAGGGTCTAAAGTTGACAAAATTTTGATTTAAATTGGAACTATCTCATAAAAACACATGTTAACAAGATTAGAAACATGAAACATGTACAAACAATGAATGCAAGCTTTCAGAATTTCCAGCTTTTGATATATTACAGTCAAAACCAAAAAAGGTTTGACACCCAGCCCTGTGAGGAACCTGTAGAAATACATTTAAACATACTTGGGGCATGTGTGATGGGATTATATGTGAGTTTCCCCAAGCCAGGGCTAGTTAATGGACTCGTCTTCTCCACAACAGGCTGGGTGGATACATTCACAGGCTCAGGTTTGGTGACGCCCGTATGTGAAGGCACGTGGTTTTTCTCATCAGTCTTTTCATGTTGTGGTTTCTCCTCATGGTCGACATTACCATCACCATTCACTGCCGCTGGGCCTTTCTCTCCATTATCCTTAACACTGGGCTTCTCCCTGCTACCGACACAGCCCATATCCTTCGGCTGGATCAGTCTTAGCATCCCTTGGTTAGTTCTCCTCTCCAGTATCATCTGCAGGTAAAGAAGAGGAGAATGTACAAGGTTTAATTAGTGTGATCAGATCAACTTCAACAATAAGTACTGACTAATGGGTTTTACTGCATTGCACCTTATGTAATATGGTTAAATATTACATAATATACTGAACATTTATGACTCATTCTGTACCTCATAAAGTTTGTTGCGGTACTGAACCACAGATAATTGCACATCATCATCCACTGGCAGCACGACATCATAGTTTAGAGCTGGCTCCTTGGCTGGATTATGGAACCTCAAGGGACAGAAAACAATAATGGATAAATGATAGCACTTTATGATAATAACAGTAACATAATGATACTAATTACTGATCTCTCTAAGCTTGAAACAGCACAGGCAGCATAGCATACAGAACAAACATATTGGCTCTAACTGCTCAACTGAGCAAACAAAATTAATAAATAAAAATAAATAAAGACATCTTCACAGTACCAGAAAATCTGACCACAGTCACTAATCCCTGAATCAATCTGAACACATGCTCCTTAATACCTGGCTACATATGGGTGTTGGAGGGCTTGCTCGGCAGTCAGCCGCTTGTCTGGGTTGAAAACGAGCAAACCCCTCAGCAGGTCCAGAGCATCAGGAGGCACAGATGGTTGGAGAAGATCCTCCAGAGGCACCTGTGGTCTGGTGAAGGAGCGAGAGGTGAGATTTAAAAACAGAAAAAGCAGGGGGAGGAAGAGAGTCAGAGGAGTGTGGAGGTTTGAAAGAAAATATCAAGCCAAATTTGGGGTTTCAATACTTAACTAGATAGAGTAAAGGGAAGATAACTAATAAAACTGCTTTAAAGTACAGATACATATTTGCAGTTTACAAACTTATTGTTCTATGCAAAGATCAGAAATATAGCAAAGCCTGCAAGCAATTTGACTCTCCTTGCTGACTCAAATATTTCCATTTTTGCAACACATATCAAATGCAGCCCTTGCAACAAGGTGGTCTATTTAAGCTATTGCTTGGTTTATGATTTTGCTTTGTCACTGCTACGTCATTGCATCTCCGCATTCATCACTGTTCTTGTTCCCTGAGCATGTAATGAGCCCCACCTCCACCTGCAGGCTATGATAATAATCTTCCCAGTGGAGGGGAAGAAATTTGTTATCATCACTCCCTTAACTCCCCTTGTGCCAGGAGCGACAGGGTCAAAAATAGGCCAAGGATGAACTGTATTCCCCTTTGCATTCACATATAAATGAAGTAATCCATATGAGTTAACTGAATGAAACGCAACATATGCATTGTTGGTTACTTAGATGACCAGATTTACATGTCTTGTGTACGATAGGATTTTTACAACATAAATAAAAAATAAAATAAAAATTTTTTTCTTACTTCAGTAGCATTCTCTGAATGACAGAGGAGCCATATTCAGATTTGATTGCGAGAATATCTGAAAATTAAAATATATTTAATTATTTCAAAGTAAAAGCAAAGTGTTAAGCATTTGAATGAATTCAACCTGGAGTTACCTTCTGGGCTTGGGTGTGGTATGGCACTCATGATCTTCTCTATTTGGTTGATAGTGGATGTCCCAGGGAACAGGGCTTTTCCCAGCAGCATCTCTCCCAGGATACAGCCAAGGCTCCACATGTCTACTCCTTTAGTGTACCTTTGGACAAGATGTACTCCTTTTACAGTCTGCTATGCTCAAAACAGCTACATCATTTTCCAAGTAAGTATTCTGTCCCTTGAATTAAAACGCAATGTTACCGTCTTCATCATTGTCAAATCAACTGTTGTGAGGGACAAACAGAAGATGGGGTTTACTGTCAACAGATGCTCATCACAGTTGATACCTTGCAGACCCCAGCAGGATCTCAGGAGCTCGATACCACCGCGTCGCCACATACTCCGTCAGTGCAGGATTCCCACTGTCCTCTTGGATCTGGTTGAGTGATCTGGCCAAGCCGAAATCACACAGCTTGACTACACAGTCTGTGTCCAGGAGCACGTTGGATGGCTGTTGGAAACACAGACAGCAGAAACATTCTTCACGAGGACAATAATAGTTTGATTTTCCATCATCTGTACAAAGATCATTTTGAGCAGGTATTATAGAAGCAGTGCCCAGTTTGAACAAGATGTGAGAAAAGAAATTATGCAAGGAGTGAAAAGAAGATGTTTAATATGAAAAAAGGTTGGAACAAAAATCTAGTTCCCAGGGAGAAGGACCTAGAGAAGAGCATATTTGCTGCAGAAATGCACATGGGCTACTGAATTGAATTACATAAACAGTATTTTGAATATAAATAGGTTACATTTTTATACAAAAATAAAATGTTTTATTCCAAACATTATTAAATATTTTACATTATATTATGCACATAGATTGATCAAAACAAAAAAGATCATATAAGTTATAATAGTATGCATGATGAAGCTATCAACTTCCATGAATCTGAATAAAAGCACTTTTGAGTAGTGTGATATGTTTCATATTCTTCATACATTCACTGCTATTCCTAAATACTGATACCTGATAAAGTCATTGACATACCTTTTGGTCCCTATGGATAACATTTCCTGAATGCAGGTATTTGATGGCTTTGAAGAGCTGGTACATCACATAACGTTTATGGATGTCCTTCAGTAGGGTGCCTTTCTTAATCACTGCATGCAGGTCAGTATCTGGGTCAAAGCAGAGAGCAAGTGTTGTTGATAATATGACTGTCACAGTAATATCAACCAGTGATTACACTGGTAATCATCCTCAATAAACCACGATTTTGGCACATGCCGCCCTAGAATCACATACACAATGATTTGAAACCAAGACCCATCCCGAATACGAGATTCCAGAGATAAACAGTGGAAGTCTGTGCTGTGATGCTGGTGCACAGTCATGGATTAGACTGCAGAGAGGCGGTGGGGCAATATGTGGACTCAGCAGTAAGACAAAGCAGGCAGCCAAGGGAAGCAGAAGCCCTTCCACACACAACTACACACACACCTCACACCTTTTTCAGTGCCAAGTTAAACTGCAAAGAACCACTGCAGCCTTCCCTGTGAATGATTATTATTTGTTGTTCACTTTTTTTTTTTCTGTGACACAGCTGAGCAGCTCTGCATGTTGAGCAACACTCACCCATATATTCAAAAATGAGGTAAATGTCTTTATCATTTTGCGCTCGGATGACATTTAGAAGTTTGACAATGTTGGGATGATCTCCAAACTCCTGCAAAGAGAAAGAATAAAGATTTTTTTCAGTAACAGAAACACAAACAACGCACACTAACACAGAGAGCACACTGTGGCTACTGTTTGACCTGTAATAACTGGGAGTTATTGTGTCAAGGTTGTGTAAACAACAGGGGCAGTTTCAACAGAGGTTACATAATGGTCACTAAACCCCATGACTACAGCACTGGAGTTTTACTGGAAGATGACAAACAGCTGATTGGGGAGCAGTGGCACCGCAGGAGGTCACATGTACAGTATGTGGGTCAGCACAAAAAGAGTGAGACAGGAATATGTAACACAAGGATATAAAGTACAGTGAGACAGCTACATTCTTCCTGGTTGCTCGTCATCAGTGTGTTTCTGTGACCTATGTTTAATACCTGCCTGCAAACCAAATTTCACTTTGGATAATAATAAAACTTGTTTGAATATTTAGGAAACTTACAGGCACTTCGGCAGACTGAGTACATCCTCATGTATCATTCTTTGTGTGTGCTTTACCTTATCGGACATAATTTATAGAGCTTTTACTTTATGGCAGAGGTTTTCAATTTATTGACTTTTGCCACTGTGAAAGACTTAACATGCTGCACCAACAGTGGTCCATATATGAGTAAAGGCAATGTCACTGCTCAAAAGTTGTTTTTTTTCAAACAGTAAACTGAGCAGCTGCTAAATCATTCTAAAAACCTTTCCACCATTTTTCTATTTATACAGCATTTAAATATGTGGAACCAGTCATGGAAGGATAGACTGCACTGTGCCATAACAGGAAGGGCATGGTATAACTGCTGTGGAGCTACAGACTGTTAATAGGTACAGCACTTTACCTGCAAAAACTGTGTACAAAGGATAAAGGGAATATAAAGGGATGTTGGTATGTTTCTGTAGATCATGAGGGGATTTTATTGCCAACTGGTGATGAAGCTCATTCACTGACTGTGGAGTAAGGAGCAGTATTCTCAAACACAACAATTACTGTATATCATGAAAAGATCAAGTTTCCGTAATACTTTTGTATATTTAACACATTCAGAAAGAAAGTGTAAAGAGTGGGACTGAGATTATTAATCTTTCAGTTTTAAATTAAGAAAATTATAGTCCAACAGTTAGTGGACCTTTATTTAACTCAAACATGATTCTTATCGTTACCTGAAGGAACATGATTTCTCTGAATGTCCGCTGCAAAAGAGAAAATTACAGTTAGAATATGAGCTTCACTAACAACATGCAGTAAAAAAAAAAAAAACTAGGCAGACAAAATCATCCTTGCCAAACTCATTTTTCTATTGAGACAGGTGAGGGAGCTGATTTATACAAGGTGGTGAGATAGTAAACGTGGTCAAAGTTAACAGGTTACAATAATTACTTCTTTTAACTGATTGTAGATCAAACAGTACACACCTGGGCATCTGTCCTGTTTCTGAAGGCATCAAAGATCTTTTTCACAGCCACAATCTCCCCAGTCTGTCTGTCAACTGCCTTCCATACGATGCCATAGGCCTGCGACAGATACAAAATACTGACAACATTACATCAGGTCACTTCTTCCGTAACAAATTTAACAAATTTCAACAAGGTAAAAAACAATAATGCAGAATAACATGTGGAAACACTGTGGGCAGGGTTGTAGTCAGGATTTTAGAAATACTGGGACCATAAGTATGAACAGCTCCTCTTTTTACCATGTTTTTTTTTTTTTTTTGCATGATTTTACATGATCATCTAAAAACTGGTCTCTACTCTGTCAGGAACGTTGGCCTAAAAAGTGTCAAATTTAAGGTCAGTGAGGCTTAAAAATATTGGTATGTGTCTTTTTAAAAGCCACCATGTGTAACTTTGTAATAGAAAGAGGTCAACTGTACTTCCGATCAACATATTCCAAGAAAAAAAAAACAGGTAAGGATATGACCTCTGAGTCCTCAATAGTAGCTACAGCTCTGACTATGGTGAAGGGAGGGTGCTGATATAGGAAGTGAAGTCAAGCATAACAGAGGCAGCAGTGAAGCAGAGCATCAGAGTGCACTGTTAGGCTGCGGAAAAAGAGAGATGAATTGGTTTATAAAAAAAACACAACACTATTCAGAACACTTTAAAGCACTTTTTCCTGCTGTAAAACCACTTTATGACTTTCTAAAGCCATTTACCGCTGTGCGGCTCACTGTTGTTCAGTTCCCTGAAGCATCACTGCACAGGATGCTACCATCTATCCCATTGGTCAACCGTAAACAGGTTGAACAGCTGTGTAACCTGAGCCACAGTCACCCTCAGGTATGCCTAGTTAGCCAATATGACGAGTCTATGTGGCAGTTACCACCTGACCATTTAAAGCAGAGCAGCAATTTGTGAGCCTCTGTGGACTTTCTATGGAAAGAAACCAGGCTGTTTTTAGTCCTGTGGCAACCGTACCAGGAGAGAGAAAAACAAAGGGGTTGGACTCACAAGTGTCCTCACACATCAGCTGATCTGCAAGGAAAGAGTTTGTCCTGCCAAAGTAAATAAACCCCTTGCTTACAATACTGGTATTCGCTTAGAACCTTAAGTCTGGAGAATTTCAGGAATTTCTTTTAAAGCTAAAGTACAGAAGAGCTTAAAGATGTTGTAAACATTAGTGCACAGGCAGAAAAGGGTTACTGTAAACATGGGTATTGCAACACTTTTGATGCCTGATAACTGAAATGGAAGTGAAACTTAAAAGACTTTTGTAGATGCATGAGATATTATATTATATTGAGAGTGGAGAGTTCTTCATTTTATGTTGCGTTATAAATTTTATGTTGAAAGTTGATTAATTAAATTCAATATCCATTACATTAAGAATTAAAAAAACACTCACTCACCCCCTTTCCAAGCCTCTTCTTGATTTCATATTTCAGAGAAATATGTTCCTCCACCTCAGACACGTTTGTGGATCCATATTTTTTGCTCATGATCATTTGTTCACTTCTGCTTGGCAGAAGTCCTCACCATGCTCTTTGATTATTCCTGAAAGAAATAAGTAGACTTTGAATGTCCGGGTAACAGGTGTTAAAAGGGTTGGAAGCTATGATTGAAGTCTGTCGACCATACTGAACAGTCAAGTCAGAGCTGCAGCATCCGATTCAACGATTATTTCCCCAACAACAACAACAACACACGGTACAAATTAATGACTGCAACAGTCGAGTCAACATGTATGCGACCCCTTGTCTCTACTTGTGGCCTTACGTGGCGTTACTTACCGTTCAATCAATCAATCGATCAATGTCGGCCGAGAAGCAGCAGGTTAGTTTTTCACCTCCATTTAGATGCTGTCAATTCAACACGTTTAACTTGCTCTATGAAGAATCTGTTGTTATTCCTCCAGGTGACAGTCAATTCTCGCTGTAAGTTTGGGTACTCCCACACTGCTGCTGCAAACAGACGAGCCGAGGAGTTTTGTCATTTTTCTGTCGTCTTGGTAACGAACACGCCGCTGCCCGGTTCTTAAAGGAGCCGCAGCACAAATGCAAACCCACTCACCCACTCACTCACTTATAGGACTGCCACAGGTGGACATTTGGTGTTGTCATGGAGATTACGGTGGTTGTAGGGCGAGGATTATAGGAGGACCCCCTCTATAATCCTGGAGAAGATACAGAAGGCTGCTTTGTTCAATCTGGCCTCAGTTAAAATTGTCAAAGTGAAACAAAGTTCCCTGTAGACTCTACAGGGAACTTTGTTTCACTTTGACTCTACAGTGTAGAGTCATGAGGCTGTTTCTATTGGTTTTATGTAATTAACTTATCAATTAATTTGCAAAGCTAAAATTCAGTGCATTATCATCTGGTTTTGTGGCTACATCTCAAGCAGAGCCCTATTTCAAAATCTAGTTTTAGAAGCTTATTATTATTTTAGTTCATACTATGTTCATATGGTGCATGTTCCTATGTTAAGTTGTGTTTGATCAAATTATGAAATCACAAATACAAAACGTGGGGACAGTTAGTATTAGTTTAGCTAATACAAATTTTTTTTTCCACACACAACAGACACAAAGGTGGAGATAGATTTTTAAACTTTATTTCTAAAAAGATGTTACATGCTTTTATTTAAAAATCAAACTATTATTTACAATGATAATTCTCAATAAATATGTTCTCCCTAATGCTGTTTGAGGGTTGAAACATATTTAGTAAGCAAAACAAGGAGGGGGTGTGACCACCTCTCTTTTGCCCACTTAATGTGGCCAAACCCTCACTTCTAAAGGAAATATGGATTAAGCATGTTAACAGAAGACCAAACGTATACAAATAGACAAAATGATGAACATAAACCATTTCCTTCTACCATAGCTTCAATATAAAGATTAATTTGAAGTGCAGTCTAACCATCTTCAGAGTCCAAATATTTCAGCTTCATTTTATCAGTTAATTGACAGACAAAGCAGATGTTACGTATGTCAGCTTCATTCACTCTATTGACAAAGTCTATTGTAGGCTTCTACAGTAAAAACTTGTGTAATAGAAAACAATCACGGTACACAGAACAAAACATGTCTCCAGGCGGCAGATAGTTTTAGGGTACCAAAAAGAAAAAATATATATATTCATCTTTCCAATAATACAAAGGCTTTGGCTGTTGCAACCTTTTCTTCATGTGCAGAATTTGCCCAATATAATTGATTCATGCTTCTCTGTTGGTGCTCTGCAAAACTTAAGTATAAAATTAGACATTTTTTGAAATTACAGTACAAAGTTAGAAGTAAATTGCTTTGTCAAGATCAGAATAAAGAGCCAGTGTTAAAGGATTCATCACACAGGTTTGGCTAGAAAACAGGCCAATGGAGCATCTCACAGCACAGGAAGAGCCCGGCGGGCAAGGCTGCAAGCAGCACGATGTACCACAAACAGTGGAGTATACGCTACAAGGTGGTGAGCTTTGAATTGTACACAACATGGATAAAGACACAGGGAACAAATGCAGAGACAGAAAGGAGAAGCAGGAAAGAGAGACCCTGTCCCCAGACTTAAATCCACTTCCTACCAATAAACATGAGGAGAAAGTGGAGCTTTTTTTTTTTTTTTTTTTTTTAACTTAACAGGTATTAGAGTCAGAATTTCAGACACATGGATTTATAATGGAGGGATGCTTTAGGAGGAGTGAAGGAAGCGGTTGAAGGCGTTGTAGGCCGACTCAAGGTCAAACAGCATCTGGCGCACCTGATTATCATCCAATTCGTCTGAGGCCGACATGCTGCTGAGGGTGGTCAACCTGATGGGAAAAGGTCAAGAAAGATGACAATTAAGACAAAACGTATCCTATGTTTACATTAACTGTTGAAAGTAATGGAGCTGAGCTGAGATTTATAATGGCGTGGTGTAAATGCAATGCTATTAGGGATCAGTGCAGCCATTTTAACCACTACAGAAATAGTCCTACTTATATGCAAAAATCAAGGAAAGGTCAAGTTCCACGCCTCTTTGTAATACTTTTCAAAGGAAAGGTATTATAATGATAATATACCTGATACAGTACATTGTGAAATTTGCATTGCGAATTGAATGCTGTGCTCCCTCACACTTACAAATGAACACGTGGAGTCTCTGAAGTTGAATTTCAGAGACTCTCAGAACAAAGGAGTGACCAGAGAAAAACTCCAAGTTTGTGATGCTTCAACACGAGCTGTCAGATTGAGCTCCACTCCATTGAGCTACACTGCTCAGCTGTGCCATCAAAGGGCGATCTCAGACTATTTGATGAGGTACACCTGTAAAATCTGATCGAATGCCATACAACAGCTCTGCCATAAAATCTACATTAAAAAAGATAACAATGTGCAGTTTTGATTGACGCTGTCAGACAGGTTTAACTGCATGTTTATTATTGAGGTTGCAGTTAGCAGTGGTCTAATGTGACAAGAGGCGGGAAGAAATTTAGAAACACATTTCAGCATATAGTACAAAAGCACCACTAACTATGACCTCAGTAATAAATATATAGCAGAAATTACACTTCTTGGAAAGTTTTAAGAAAAACTTCAGATGATAAGCTTCATTAAGGTAGAATATGTGTCAGAGCTGATATGCATTAGACTGAGCAGGTGTACTTAATCAACATGCCAGGGAGTGCAGCTACTGTATGTTTACGATTAATTTATCTATATTAACCCTACTATTGTATGTACTGTTGGACACTTGCAGCCTTTTGCCCCATGCTTGAACATTATCTAGATTACAAGATAGATTACTTAATCAGCAGTTGCTATGTGACCCACTCATGAAAAAATGTTGTGTTCCCCCTAATACACACACAATTATATAGAAATAAGTAAGGCAAGTTGAATAAGATGGCTATTGCCCCAGGTTTGGTCTGATGTATTATACAGCATTTACACATAACCAACACTCTGCTGCAAATGTTTATTAGTGAAAGTTGTGTTAGTTTACTTCTTTTTTTTTTTTTTACCTCTCTGCACAACCATTCTCACCTGAAGCAAGTATGTGTGTGACACTGTGACTAAAGTTGCATACAGCAAATAGCATCCTGCACTGAACTGGCATAAGGCTTAAATATATAAACAGAGAGTGGCCCAGGGTAACTAACCAGAGGCTGACTTTGTCCTTAGCCTCTGAGTCTGGAGGCATGTTGCTCATTCTGTTCATGGTTTCCATCAGCTCCCTCAGGTCTGGCTGGATCTGGACCAAAGGAAAACAAGAGTCAGGTATCCACTTAAGCAAATAGTATGATGAGTCTGCCAACAGTCTGCACTTTTCCCATTTACCTCGTCCATTGCCCTGATCTCCAGTCTCAGCTTGTCCATCACAGTGATGAAGAGCTGAAGGTTGGAAAAGATGAGAGAACACACGATGAGACAATATTCAACAGATTTTCAAACTTCCAGCCAGAAACAAGAAATATAAGTTTTTTTTTAGGATCACAAACAGGGCACATAGTCTTTGCTAATCACACTACGTGTCTGCTGATTTTGTTAGTTCGTCTGATTTTATTAGTTGAGTTAAAAGTTGGCTGTGGATACAGCTGGTAATCACCCACTCACATTCTTCAATGACTGACCAGAGGATGAGCCAAATGAAGTGAAACAGCTTCAGCCACTTAGTGCTCCAACTGAACACACTAAATCATTTAATCAAAAATAGGACTACAACAATTCTTATTCTGGCACCCGTCCAAAATAAGCCTCCGGTTTGAACTGAGTGTTTAGTATGAAGGAGGGGAGAGAGGACGTACAGAAACAATATCTGCAATGCAGCGGTTCAGATTGCCCTTGTCATCCTTGATGGTGATTGGCCGATCCTCCTTAATCCTTTCCATGGCTAGTGGGCAATCAAGCTAGGGGACAAAACGACAAGAGCAAGATCCTTACTAAGGCAGCACCACAGAAATAAAATCTAATAACTTGGTCACATGGGTCAAAATATGATTTGCACTCCAACTCAGAACTCACTCTGTACTTCCTGCAGAAGTCGTCGATGGAGCCCACGTCAGAGCCCTGTACCTGTTTGAAAGCAGCCTTATACTGAACCAAGAGTCTGGAACAGGAAGCAGTGTACCTGAAACAGACAAATCCTCCACATTAATAAAAACATACTATCAAAGTTATAGGTGGTATTTTTGTCTGTCTTTTCAACACAACATATAAACTCATGTATAACTCACTCATTAGGTGTTACACAGTCTTTGATGTAAGCCTTCTCCAGGGCTTGCAGGGTCTTGACAACAGCAAACAACTCTGCCATGTTATCATACCTTTAGAAACATGGTTAAAAATGAAGCATTACAGCACTGGCAAGATTATGAATCCCTTGGTTAAAGCACATTCATATTAGGTTGGTAATTGGAAATGTATCTGACACTTACTTCTCTCGTTCCCTTGCATTTTTGTATAATTTCACTTCCTGAAAAAATATGATTTGTGGTGAAAGACTTACTCTGGCTAACAAGTAAAATGTCAAATGTCAAATGTCAAATTTCAACGACAAAAAGATATAATCAGATAATTTGAATTTCATTAATAACTGCATTACATATAAATTTATACAGAAAAAATATGCTTTCCAAACCGAAATTAAAGCATATAAATAGCAATATTTACCTCATATAACTCAGGTTTATTGGCTGGAGCTGAGAGAAAAAATAATTACATGTTTTGAGTGATATTTGTTGGCATTTACTGAATAATGCTTCTACAATCTGAATACCTAAAATGTAGATATTAGATCCATTTGAATGTCTTACCTCCCCCTACACCTCCTGTAACTGGTATCCCATGGAACATGATGCCGATGTATCAGAATTGTATCTGCAAAAACATTTATGTTACAATTTTTCTAACTGATTAATAAATTGTGACCAAAAACACCCAGCCAAACTTAACATAACTGTAAAATAGCAAAACATGTCTTTATCTGGTACAGACAAAGTTAATGAATAAGCCTTTTCACGATTTTATCTATTTGTGTCCCATTTCAAATGCTTTTTTTTCCTTAGTCCGGACTGTCCTGACTCATAGGTGTGTACTATTACTTATGTCAGATGTGTGTCACCTGCAGGAACTGCTCTAAAATACTGCACGGGAGTGTAAAAACAAGCAAATAGTGCTTGTAGGTTTTTAGAAAGAATTAAAGACATCTTTTGGATTATCAGTTCTAGTATTTAATGTCAATAAGATATAAGGAGAGCTTTGTTAGACTGAAAACGTGTTAATACAACCTCTAACGTGTTAATGCTGTACTCACTTGTTTCTCCACTAACATTATAAAAAAATGTTTTACACACAGCGAATACCAAGTATGTTATGTGTGACTATTGTTAAGGCTACAAGAGATGTATCAGGATTCAGGTGGCCTGTCAAGAAGCCAAAAGGGTTCAAAGATATTTAGAGCACTGCAACATAATATTGTTTATTATTGTTCATATAATATAATTTTTGGATCAACACTTACACAGGTTCCCAGTCAGGTTTTATACCATGTGTCAGAGCTAAATCAGAAATGAAATCCTGAACTAGAGCTGGAATGACTAGGCGATTAATAGATTAACTGATTAGTCGATCAACAGTAAAACATTTGGCAACTATATTGATAATCATTTAATCATTTCAGTTATTTATCAAGCAAAAATTCCAAACTTTTCTCAGCTCTAGCTTGTCTTTTGCGGGGATTTTCTGCAATTTTCATTGTCTTATTAAATGTAATAGTAAATTTAATACCTATGGATTTTGGACTGTATAATAAACAATGTGAAGATACATTTCACCTAAGGCTTGAGGACTTTGTGATTGGCATTTTGGACTACTTTCTAACATTTTGAAAACCTTTAGAGACATTATTTGATTAATCAAGAAAAGAAGCGTCAGACTCATCGATATTGAAATTAATCGTGAGTTACAGCCTTATCCTCAACGTTAGTTTCTTTTGTGTCCAACCTCTGGGACGACTGAACAGCATATACCAGATATCGAGGGACTGGCTACAGTAGTTAAACATCACCTCAGTGTAAAAATGTTTTCCCTAAGCATTGACATTTACCCAAAGAATCAGACCCACTGAGGATAAGAGGAAAATCTTCCCGTTGAAGAAAGATCATGCCTTCAGTGTCCTATTTTGTCGAACTAGCTAGCCTGAAGTTAGCTGTTGAGGCTAGCTCGTCGGCACTTCCTTTATGATTTATTACAACTAGCCCATACAGGTAGTTGTTTGTAAGCGTCAGACTTTGTATTAGCGACCATTACTGTAGAAAGAGCTAGGAGCTTTTTTTGTTACTTCAATGTCAGTGTTTAATCTGTGAAATTTAAAAGACACTTTACTCACCCTCTCGGCAAACTGCTGTGACGTCAATGTAAACACACCCTCCTCCGAGGACCAGCATACGTGAAAAATATTAGGTGTCCATCGCGCCTCACTAAAATGAATACTTTTTAAGATTAATACTAGCGTATTAAACAAAAGTAACTTATTTATTGGGCTATTGACATCTTACATTTTGACGGAGCTGGTTCAATAAAAAAGGGCTTTTAAGCTTTGACTATTTTTAAAATTGTTTTACCAAGTCAAACGTCATCAGCAGCCCCTCGTCAAGGCGCCAGACTCAAACAAACAGAAACGAGGACGAATTTCTAAACAGAAAGACAATTGACTAAGTTATATAGGTTTAAATAAGGGCAGAGGAAAGCCGAAGACAACCCTGCGCAACTTTATGAGGTCAGTTCAAATATGACATGATCGTTCTGCGTTATATGGCAAGCTTAAATAATGTTATGATTAATAAATACCACCTAGCTGTTAGCGAAGTTAGCTAACTGAGGGCTAATGCCAATCATGTAACTTAGACTTAATAAACTGCGATAGTGTGAATTGATATAAAATAAGTCACAAAACAGTAAGCTGGTGTAGGAGAAATAAGACATACAAAAACATACAAATAGTGTGTGAAAACAATATAACAGGAATATAATACTGCTGCTGATAAATCCTACTGCGACACTCTTTCATATGATTGTCTAGTTTATCCTATTCACAAAATATCTTTTTATTTAATGTATTGTAGATATTTCTTCATTTTCCACCATGAAGACCTCCAAGACAGCATTGCAGACCTCTACTCAAGAGGAGTGTGGTGTTTGGCTGGACACAGTGCAACTTAAAGGAAAAGCTAATCAGGTAACTGTGGAAACTGTCTTTAAATTCTCACTAAATGGCTATTTTGTTACCTCTCAATAAAGCAGTGATTTATTGCATGTAATAACTTGTACACAGTAGATGTTCACAATATGCATTACTACTTATATATCACAATTACTAAGTAAACACTATCTTATCAATAGCCTGTTATTATACAAGGACCATATTTCATTCTGCACATATTATATTTCAGAAACGTCACACCCGTCCCATTTCTAAACTGCTGAACCCATTTGCTGATGGTCGAGGATACAGTTTGGCTGTGGCTCTCAACTTTACTCAGACCAAAATAGAAATGCCAAAGACCAAACAGAGTTCTATATCAGCCTTCTTCACACCTCAACACAGAGGTAAGTAGCTAAAACTCTAGCGCCATCAGGCTGTCAAGACACTGTTTTAGGATTATTATCGTCCTCAGAAAAATCAGTCAGAAGCTGGTAAAGCTGCAAAAGGCTAGACTTGCTTGAATAAATTGCCACTTTCTATATCTTTTTGTGTGAACTAAATGCTTGCTTATTTCTTCTGCCAAAAGTTCTCAATAAGATGTCTACTTCTGAAGTACCAAACATGGATCCAGCGCTGTCCTTCTCAGCATCTACCTCAACTGCACCTGCGCCTATTGCATCAGGGACAAAACGAAGACGAGAAGCAAGTCTTGAAAAGTCTGATTCTGAGCCTGGTGTGGATTGTGAGTGGAATAGTGAAAATGTTACAGAGCCTGAGCCTGAGGCAACAGTGTGCCAGGAGAAAGGCGAAGCAAGCTATACACCTTCTCAAAACATGCGCTATGAGTCTGAGGAAGAGCAGTCTGAAGAGTTCAATCCACCACAGTGTAAGAAGAGGTGCATTGATACGTCCTCATTACCAGGTGATAGTCAGCCTCCTCCACAGGCATGGAGTCAGGACCCACTGCTCACCTATAGCCAATATTCTGACAGTGAGTCTTACCTGACTAATCAGAAAAACACCACTACGGCGAACTTCAACGACTCTGAGCCAAGTGTCCCAGACAGTCTACAGAGTGAGGAGGCCTTTGGATTTCAGATGGATCTGAAGGGGAGAACCTCGACTCAAAAATCCCTTAAACACTTTCATTCGTCTCAGGTGGGGGATGACAAAGAAAACAGCAGCATTTTGTATTCTAGGTCCCCAAGTAAGCACTCATTTTTCGCTCATACTGAACTTCTTTCAAATCACGAATGGACAGAACCAAAAACTGCATCACCTCAAAAACACACCGCTAATCAACTGTGGAAGAAGGCTGATAAAGAAGAGAGCTACATCTCACAGTTCAGATGGACAAAACCGAGCAGCTCTCCTTTTAAAAAACGAGCACCGCCACAGCAGCAAAGCAGAGAGGTTGATGAAGACAGTCTGGCCATGTTGTTCACCCAGGACTCTGTAGGCTTCAGGGTGATAGCACATAGAGGTCAGCGAGTCAGGAGTCCTCTCAAAGATCAAAGCAACATAAGCACTGTGGTTGTGACAGCTAGTGCCTACAAGTCTTATGTGGAGGACGAGGAAGATGACATGCTCTTTACTCAAGACTCTCAAGGAAATGTGGTGATCAAACACTGAAAGGAAGTATTTGAAAGTCATTACAGGTCTTGCGGTTTGTGGATTGTAAATCTTTACTTTTTAAAATGTGTCAAAACGGGAAACTCTTGTTGTTACTGTATCAACCTGACTCACTCACCTTGCGCCTCCTGAAAATATTGATACTCCTCTTTGTGGTTGTCCTCTCACCCCTCTTCTTCTGTAGATAGTTTTATTTGTAATAACACGAACAAGCCAGAACTGAAAGTTTTGATTTTATTTGAAAAATGATACACAATGACAACAAATTGTTTTCATGTAAATTAAACGTTTTGAAAAGCATTGGTGGTGTACACTATTTTCTCCCCTATGCTGGTGCCATCTTAGTACAAAATAGAGTGATGTACAAAGAAATAAAGAGACTAGGAAGTGCTCAAGTGTAAACGTTACCACTACTGTCAGTATTTTAAATCATAAGAGAAATTAGTAGCCAAGTACTTGATTAACTATTTCGATCAGTTGATTTCATGTCTCCTGCAGAACATCAATCATTACTGTATGTATTATGCACTAACAAGAAAGACAGCATCTGGTATTAATGGAAAATATATTGAACACTGTTGCATAAACTTCACTCACTAAGTGAAACAGTACTACAAGACTACCATGCAATATACACATTTAAGGAGGTAACTGAAGTGCACTTAATTTGATAGAAAAGTAGCAAATAGACCTACAGTTGACTCTTGAGTTCTTCTTGTCTGCTTGGCCACTGAAAGTTGAATGTGCATGTTACGTCCTCTTTAGTTTTTTCTGTTAAATGCCATTGCTGCTGTGGTCTAATGTGTGCTTTAGCTCTCATACAATGAAACAGCAATGAATGTGGATAAAGTACGGCAATAATGATGGTAATCCAGAAACATTTAGAGAAAATATTTACAGGATAATAAGATTTTGATGAGAAGATTGTATAAGGATCTCTATTTCAACAGTTACATAGTCTTACATAAATGCCTTTATTGCTATGGCACAGAAATCTAAGAGAGGTTAAAAATACTGGGTTTGTGTGATTTAAACTTGAGATATTCCATATTCTGTGGGGATTTGTGTTGTAGAAAGGAAAAATCTTATTGAACACTTCATTACAATCAAAGTGCCATAGAAGCATTTCATGAAGTAACAGCCATAGTGACTGGATCAATAGTGTGTGTTACAGTGCCTGCAAAGAAAATCCCTTTTATATCTCTGAAATTCTATAAACTCAGGGGGATGGAAAGAGGAAGATGATGAATCATCAAATCAACCTGCAATCTCAGTGGGTTCTGTCACCAGTTTGGAACCGTCCCAAACAGTCTTGAACTGCTCCGGGACTGGAAACTCCCTCTGTAATACAACCACACATGAAAACTTTAAGAACCAAAAATACACGTTCAGAGGTCATTAAAGAAAGCCAAGCATAGTTTTCTCTCCTTTCCCCTTATATGTATATCTTACATAATCATCATCTCCTTGGGGTACCATGATGTTCATCTCAGAACTCTTGGCACTGACAATGTCACAGTTCAGGGAGTCCTTACTCAGGTAGACCTGGCAGCCCTCTGTCTTGTTGATGGACATAGTGGGAACTCTTCCCAACACCTGTAACAGAAACACAGAGCACAGTTAATACACAAATAAATAAACCAAACTGAAAAAATGAGGATATAACCCAGATGACAACTGCATTCAAAGCCATAAAAATCAATTGAAATTCCTACATTATGTACATTAAGACCCTTAATTAGTTTAATTGGAGGCCCTATAGCCTAAAATCTCTAAACTCCATCTCTGATATACAACATAGCATTAAATTAGAAATGTTTTGTGTTCAATTTACATTTCATTTTGTGACAATTGGTTGGCACTTGCATTCAAAGCAACTCAGATGTATGTTTGCACTTTTTGTAAACACTTTACTGACCTGTAACTGAATTGCCTTGGAGTTGATGATCTCCACAATCCCGACCACGTTCTCAAAAACCAGACCCAGCTTCTTACAGTTGTCTGAGTGTGAACATGTGTGGGATAAGATAGAAAACTATAATGGCTGATCAAAGATGTAATCACGAAAGCAATATTTTCAGTTTGCTTGGAGGCAACTCACCTACAATGATTGAGTTAATTTTGCCCTTAACCTTCAAGGTGGAGTTGTTACAATTGAAAACGTAGACCACCTGTTTTAGCTCCGTCTCCTCAATCAACAGGTCGTGTTTCTGATCATAGTTTTCCTGCAACGACAAGAGAACAGATCCAATCAATAGTCTGTAATTATTAAATAGTCTGTATTATTTCAAATGATATTGGCTGACCCACCACATAAAAAATAGCATCTTCCTTTTGGGAATAATTCCTGAAAGATAAGTAAACATTTCACGTACCACCCTCCATTTCTTCCCCTCCAGCTCCAGCAGAGGGGGTTTTTTCTGGGTGGCTGCTCTCGGTGAGTTCGCAGTCCCTGAGGACTTGGTTTTGGTTTTTGTCTCTGCTGCTTGAGAGCGCAGATTTGGGTTCTTATGGGTCTTCTGTTTATCTGATACATGCTTCAAACCTATAGACACAGAGGAATTACAGTATGTACTGTGTGCACATGCAGGGCAATAGCAAGGATTTTAGACAATGTTGAGGTCATCTGTCTTAATTCCTCCAGGGTGACCCCACCCACCTGAGAACTTTTTAACTTACCAAACTCTATAACATTTGTATTTAAATAAATAATATGATTAAATAATTTCCCAGTTCAATTAAATGTTTTGTAAATCACATCTTCCTACATGTTGGAATAATTCCTGTGAAAAATACAAAACCCATTTTGATTATGTTTAATTTATCTAATTTGTTGCCTAGAACAGTCACATTTTATTAGCACATAAGCACATTTAGTTCACCTGCATCATGAGGACATCATGGACATTATGAGGACTCCGCTCTTTGTCATTGCCCTCAGGCCCTCTGACTGAACCCACCTTTGGTGATGTCCATGCCCTGGTTGAGCTGAGCGAATAGTGCTGAGTGCTGTGCCGCTGCTCTGCCCCCCGCCTGAGGATGGGAGTCATCATCCTTGAGGACCGGAGGTGGGCCAGGTGGAGGAGGAAGAGGTGGAAGACAGGGAGCACTGGGGGCGGTGCAGTGCTCAAACAGAGAAGGAGGAGCAATGGGGCCCTGGGGGATGAAGAAAGTCACATTTTAGGTACTGGCATTGCATTCTGGGTTTGTGAGCTTTTCACGAGAGAAAAAACAAAGAACAGCAACAGGTGTTTTGTAGATAACAACTGTAGCAATAAAAAATGTCCAGCAGGGGGAGTATTGCACAAGAAATATATTAAAGCTTTTGGCGAGTATTGATGCCTTTTTACCCTAGACAACATGGGCTGTGACAGATCATGGTTTATGATTGTGTCCTGAGTACATTTAGAACAGGAGTGGTTTTAGATGATAGGGAGGCATTTTTATTTCCCTTTAAAGTTGTTAAAACCCATCTTTTCCTGTGAGCACCCAATATTTATTCTGTATCACCTTGTTCTAGTTCTATTGAACTTATATGACGTTTACACTGAGTGAAATATTTAAACCCAAGATTCCTTGTATTGTATAGCTGCACCAATTCAACAAATGGAAATATTCCTTTTGCATAATTTCATACACAAAGCAGCTCATAACTTAGCTTAACATAGCTGCTTTATCAAACAAACACGTCAAATATGGTTTCTGATTCTTAAATGTGGGGATATGCTGCTTTTCAGTGTTTTAAATCATTGTAAACTGAATATATGTGGCCTATATGAATTTGTACAGTGTACAGTAAACGTGAACAGGCATCTATTGACTGCGACAGTGAGAAGAACCACACACAGACATACACACACACACACACACACACACACACACCCACACCCACACACACTTGCTGTCTGAAGGCCTTGCACAGCTGCCAGACACAGACACACACACCTATCAGGGGTTCAGTCGGTTGAACTGACACATTACACACTTCTGATCACAGCTGAGACTATTTGACCTTTGACATGAGGCACATGTGTCGTGCATATCATAGATGAACAATGCAGAGCTGTTACACTAGCTCAGTGCATGCCACTGGATTAGAACCAGCGTGTGTGTGTGTGTGTGTGTGTTCATGCATGGCTGTACAACTGTCTGACTGCTTCTCTGTGTTCATGGCTGCTTGTGTGTGCTTTGTTAAGGGTTTTTTTATGCTTTTTTAAAGGTCATTTTGTAATTTCTTTTGGCTCACAACAACTTATGTCACTGGGATGTGTTTCATTTTAAATCTTCATACACATCCTCATCATAAGAGGAACAATCAAAGACATTTTCCACTGTAAAAAGCAAAAATTCCAGCTTCTCAAATGTGAAGACTTGCTGCTTTTCGATGGCATTTTTCATCCTTTTCTGACATTTTACAGACCAAATAATGAAATACTTGACAGAATAACTAGCAGTTTGTTTGGTGATGAAAATAATTATTAGTTTTACTTTTTCCTTTAGACTGTGTACAAAGTTGAGGTGCTCCAGTTTTGTCATCCAGAAACAACTTAACACAGTCCCCTGGTCAGAGGCTACCACAGATTGCCTACAGGAGCCCAAATGGGACAGCTGAAACAAATAATTGAATAGTCAAGTACACTCATTGTTAGAAGTCAAACATGTAATAAGAATGACCCATATCAGCAGAGGCAATGTGCTCCCTTGTTTTTAATGTAGGTAATGTTTGCTGAAATATTTAAATTTAAGTCTGGTCTGAGGAACTAATGTAATTCAGTAGTTTGTTTGTGTGTGTGTAAAGCCACCTCCATATGTCAGCCTGAGCACCTCAGTGTATAAGCGTGTCACTAAACCTCTATCTGAGCAGCAGATGACGGCTGCGTTGAACTGGGGACCAGCTCTGCAGTTTAGGTTACGGCTTGGGCTGTATGTGTACACAGGCCCTTTGTCGGGGTTCTTCTGTGAAGAAAACCTCCATTCAAGTAAACCCTGAGGACCACCTGTTAGCAGCACACACTCCCATCCTTGTACACACACACACACACACACACACACACACACACACACACACACACACACACACACACACACTGTGTACCTCACACACACTTCAGCTCTGTCGTCTGACAGCAGGGACAACAGCTGACACACACACACAGCCACTGCAGGCTCTCAAGTTTCTGCATGTAGAAAACACACGTTAGCACAGTTGTTGAACTTTTTCTGTCAATTTAGGCTTTAATCTAATATTTTGACGTTAAAGGAGCTGTTCAACATTTTGGGAAATGCACATATTTGTTTTCTTGCCAAATTAGCTTAGCTTAACATAAAGACTGGAAAGAGGGCTTAACAGTTAGCCAGACAAAATTTACCTACCAGCACCTTTAAAGTTTCCTAATTAACACTTTGTATTTCATTTGTTCAGTCTGTACAAAAACTTAGGTCTAAATATGTCATGTTAAGTTTTACAAGGGGTTATGTGCTGAACTATGTCTTGCCGTGTTTTGTTACCTTTGGACAAAGCCTGGCTCACTGTTTTCCCCTGTTTCCAGTTTTTATGCTAAGCTAAGCTAAGCTAAGCTAAGCTAACCTGCTGCTGGCTGTAGTTTCACATTTGCACAGACATGAGAGTGGTATCAATCTTATCGTATAACTCTCAGCATGAGAGTGAATAACCACAATTGGATTTTAGACGCCAAGATGCAACACAGCTAGCTTTCCCTGAGTGAATAAATGTGAGAAATGAGCAGTGAGAAACCCTTATAACTGACGAGAGAAGGAGGTCAAGTGTGCATTGAGGGATTTTTTTTTTTAACCATTGTAATCTCTGGGATCTAGAAAGTGTGAGTGCAGCGAGGTCCCTGAGCAGACATCCATAAACAGAAGTGAGTGTGGGAGTGACAGGGGTTTTGGGAGCTCTACGGAGAACCATGGGGTGCAGCCACTGAGGAGAAGCTCATTCATTCATTCATGCTCTCTGCAGCGGTTTATGTAACCGGTTGCTCCATAACTAAAAATGGAAGTGTATGCAAAGAGTAGGAGTTAATTTGGGCTCTGATGTAAAAATATCAAGGCCTGTGAATGGAAACTAGATGAAAACACAGCTAAGATAATAAACAAGTTGTTATAGGAGTGATTTCTTGTTTTTAGGCAAGTGTGTTGTTAACTTTTAGAGAAGAAGAGGATGATGAGGATGATGATGATGATGGCTAGAGGAGCAAGTGCAAACATACTTCACATTTACATCCTCATTCTTATAGGAGGATGGTGTGCATAACATGGTGTTACAAAAACAACTTAATATTAATAATAACTTTTTTAAAAACTACTACATTTGAAGCATTTGATATGAAAAGCATAAATAAACAGATACTCACGCTCTTGCGCCACACCAGTCCGGTGGTGTGGTGCTGTTTGATAAAGGACTGCATGTCGCTCCAGATCGACAGGTAGGAGCGCACCCAGTCCACATGGCGCCTGTCGCTGGGAGAGCGGGCCGCGACGGGAGGGCGGGCGACAAAGATATGACGGTAAGATGAAAACAGGACAGAGGAAGATGAGGGAGGCAGTAAAGCAGGAGGGAGCAAAGGTAGTGGAGCTGCTGAGCATCAGTGATGTCAACAAAGTGAGCAATGTTGAAGCATTTTGCAGCTCACCATCGAGTGATCTTTTATTACTGTAACATTGATAAGAGTAATACATTTTGCTTAGTGCTTCATCAGGTTCATGTAAGCCTGATTTATTAGAGTTAATAAAATATCCCTGATATACATTTTAATGGGTTACTGGTTTATTCTTTCTGATTATTTGTCCGTCTTGCAGCTTCAGGAATCTCTGGTTCTACTGAACAATGTGCACAAAGATTTTTTCTCTCTTTGTGTTATATTTCTCCCTGTTAACACAAAAACACACTGCGAGGCCGGTCTTTCCAAGGTTAACAAAACAAACTTCTGTCAAATTTTGTCACAATTTAGACTACTCAGGTTTGTCTGGTTTTTCAGACTTTTAAAAAAACAAAAACATCCTCATGACATGTGCATGATAATGCTTGTGGAAAAACTGAGCAGATGTATTTACGTTTCCTTGTAATCCTTCAGCACTCTGTTGGTGTAGAAGGTGGCGGCATCGTTCATCTCCTTCACATAGGGACCCGGCTTCTGACTCTGTGAGAGATGAAAGTTCATTAGAAAGACTTTTATCTCGCAGTCAGTGTGACATAAGCACTGTGAGATCAAAACGGTCTCCTCTGGAGCTTTGGGAAAATATATCTATCTATCTCTCAGCAGATTTGTCTTCATTTGAGAGTAAAAAGCAGAAGAGCTCAGAATGACATTGTTGTTGAGTTGGACATGTTTGATAAACCCTCCTGACAGAAACTTACACTGACCAGAGCCAGAGCCAAAGCCTTGTATTTAAGAACTCAAGAGGAGGGATTTTGATCTTAAACTGAATGATATTCATCCCAAAACTCAGAGGGAGAGATTCTGTGCTAATGGGAAACAGAGACTGATGAGAAGGAACATAGAGGGACAAATACTGTGTGTTGGAGGAAGGAAAAACATGTGAGGCAGAGTTTATTTATAGTTCTCTGTCTATATGCAACATTATTATAGTTTTTTTATGTATTCAATTCTAGTTTTTGCATCATTACACTTAAGGTTCAGACTTGTATTTCAGGTTGAGTTTTCTGGAAATAAGTAGTACGACTTTAAACGGACATAGTTTATGTCAGTGTTCCTGTATCATCAGTGTATTTGTTGCTTGGATTTTCTCTCTTTGCTTCTGCAGCATTAAACTCCAAACGGTTAACGGTTATTACTTCCCATTTCCTTTAAACCATAAAGGTCCCTTCGATTGAATATTTTGAGATTTTCATGTGCATTATTTTCATTTCAGGAACCTGGATACTTTATGTTTTAGTTAAAGTCGTAGTTTACAATATTACCCTTGAATAAGCTTGCGGTCTTTATATACATGTGTCTACTGTATGAGTGTCTTTGTGTGCCTATATGCTGATACACACCCTGCGCAGTGTCCCTTTCTGTGTATGACAGAGCGTGATTGTATTCCTTACCACAGCGACCCAGCCTAGCGCGGGGATGCTCTCGCTGACAGCTGACAGGTGGTTGAAGAGGTTGCTGCCACGGTTTCGTTCCCTGAAGTGCTGAATCTCGTGGATGTGATCCGAAATCGGCTTCAGCAGGTCCTGAAGCTCCGTCTGCAGGAGGAGAAGAAGGGAGGAATTAGGAAGAGCAAAGCAGTGAGGACGCAGGAGAAGAGGAAGAGATACCAGAGGATGAGAGAAGTTGAGGGAGGGTGGATGGACAGTGTGAGTGTGTAAACATATTGCATTTGAATCAAATCAAAAAATAACCTTGATGGCCCCCACAGTAGATACCTTCTTTAGCTGAACACAAAAGCCTCTTTTACATGCAGAATATTCTTCAACATGTTTCAGATTCTTTTGAATATACAACCCCTGAGTTGTTTCCCCTGCTCATCCATACCACGCCTGCTCTCTGTACCAGTCAGTGATTCCTAAACTAGGCTACAGGACAGTAACTAATTTTATTAGCTGGAGCCTTTTTCCGTTGGAACTTCCAGATCTCAGCTACAGTATAGCTCAGCTCCCTGCTCCCAGCTCCCCTCCCCATCGCTCCGTTCCTACAAACATTCCTCAGTGCATGGGGAGATCCCTCTGGCCTTGTAAGGCATACCGCTCCTCCAGTGTTTACAGTTTACCTATCACACATGCGCCTGCACACACATCGATTCAAGAACACAGTGTTTCATTGGTGAATTGTTGCCCCAGCTTTCTTGTTTTGAGCCGCAGTGAACTGGATGCTATGTGAAACATTTACTGGTAATGAGCTGTGACAAAATAGTTTCTTTATTGAAATGGGAAGCCGAAGAGCGCACTGCAGAACACTGCTCTAGCTGAACTAGCCGGTTCTGTATGATAAGCCAGCGTAGTCTGTTTGATAATATCTGTTTATAAATCACATTCACTCGATGTAATGTAATGTCTGAGGTCTACCCCACATGCCAACAGTTCATTTGTGTGTGCACATAAACATATCTGTCTTTACTTTTGTGTATTGTTTGTATACGTAGATGTGAATGTGAGGTGATGCTGTAAATGAAAATGCCCAAAGTGTGCTTCTGTAAATTCGTGCTTGCGTGCAAAGCAGCAATGGCAACAGAAGTAAACTTTCTCCTTTTTTCCAAACAAATTCTTCGCTCAATCAGACGCACATGATCTCCATAAGCTGAGATAGACGCTCCTTTCTCTGCTCCTCCAGCTGCTTTTATTCTCGCTAAATCCAGCTAATATCTGTCTTTGAAGTAGCACGTCCAAAACAGATACCACACTACGGGAAAATAGAGATGTGCTGTGTTTGCTGGGTAGGAACATAGGAGGGGGGAATTAAGGCAACGAGTTCATGGAAAGACAACTGACCATAACACATAATGTTTCCATCACCTTTCTCCATCCTAATTCAATTGGCAGCTATTATTTCTATTTTTTAGTATTCATGCACTTACTCATTTCGTTCCATTCTTTCCTAACCATCCATATGAAAACTGATGGGTAATGAAAGACGACTTTACAGGTAGGTGTCCTGCATTTAAAGTTGTAATAAAATGCAAAAAGTATGAGTAGCAAATGCACCTGTATATCAAAACTAATGCATAAGTTATGCAGAACGGCTCCTTTCAGAGTGTCGTTATGATATAGGATTATTATTATTATGGACGCATTAATGTTTAAGCAGCATTTTAATGTTTCTGGTCAAGGTGGAGCTACTTTAACTCCTTTTTTTTTTTTAAACGGCAAAATTTGTACGTTCATACAGTATTTAAGCGAATGTTACTTTTCACCATTAAAACTAATATGAATATAATATCATATAAGTGACTGTATTCATTTCAGCTGTCTGACTCTCACTGCGTTACAGAACAACAACGATGTCATCATGGCTACCATTGAAAGTATGACTTATTCGATGAGTCAGTGCCTATGTCAGAGAGCGGGTTTCCCCTCACTCAGTCAGGCGACACAATGAGGAAAGAGACAGAAATACGAGAGAGAATAACTGGAAGGTGCAGAGAGGATTTATTTGAAAAGGAAAAACGTTAGCCGTATTCCCACGTGCTCAGTAACCTAAATGTTCCAGCCACTTTCAGAGATGGCTTCAAGTCAGAGCAGGAGCCAGAAACAATTTTCCATGTAAGACCCTTCAGCAATTTGCCAGCTCAGGAATTACTAACATTTCTATCTTCTACTACACTGAGCAGCTGTGACAGAGTTCATATGCTGGTGAGAAGCTCTGACTACCTCATCAATTATATCAAGTGCCTCTCAACACATAAACCGAGAGCAGGTTCGTATGCACCGTGCAGAAATAAGAGCGGTACCCGTCTTCTCAGCAGAGCTTCATTAGAATCAAAGACTGAACTGAAGCAGCTCCTGAGACTTGGCGTTATGAAATGTGATCGCTTACTGAGGTGCTTTTGAATGTGCATATTCAGTGATAATCTCTGAACTGAAACAATTGAGGTCAGCAAAGTCATTTCTAGTCTCCACTGCTTCTGAGTCAGATATCACTCTAGCAAAAAGTTTATTCCTCTAAATGCAAATGTATATTTGACTGCGCGGATAAGCAGTCACCTGAGGCAGAGATGTGGACCGTAGAAGTGGTGAACGCAGACAGAAAGAGAATGAGCCAACAAGAGGATCAAAAGTGTCGGTTCACATTATTTGATGGGCAGTGAATGAGTTCAATGTGTTACAATAGCACAGTGTCCGAGGCCTTGACTTCCTATACAAGCACTGGATCAAAGGTAGAGAGTGGAGGGCGACAATGGGAGAACAGCTGTAGGAGGGTTTTTTAACACTGTAAAAGTCCATAGTGTGTGTGTGTGTGTGTGTGTGTGTGTGTGTGTGTGTCTGGGTGGGTGTGTATGTGTGTGTGTGTGTGTGAACTGCCAGCAACACAGACAGACACACTCACACACATTGAGTTAACAGGCCAACCTGAGGTCACATGAAAGAGAGAGAGCGTAAGAAAGTAAGGCTCTCGTTCTTTCTCTTTGTCTCACACTCTTTCTAACTCTCTCTCTCTCTCTCTCTCTCTCTCTCTCTCTCGCTCACACACACACTGACAGCAGGCTCAAATATAGAACATGCCCATAAAAAGTCAGAGAGCACAACAGGGCTGCGCTGGAGAGAAAGGCCAGAAGTTTTGTGTGTGTGTGTGTGTGTGTGTGTGTGTGTGTGTGTGTGTGTGTGTGTGTGTGTGCGTGTGGAGGGAGAGGCACTGGCGAGAGTCACACACACTTTTCTTCCTCTGCCTGATCTGTATTGAGGACTACAGATATAGACATGAATGAGGGAGGTCAACAGATGTGTGTGTGTGTTTGTGAAGTGTTTTTGTGAAGAGGGTTTGTTTGTACTGATGGTTTGTGCGTGTGCGGGAATTCAGTCTGTGTGTGTGTGTGTGTGTGTGTGTGTGTGTGTATGGGTGTATTTAAAGGTTTGTGGGTCACGTTGACTGCGTATGGAGACCTGATGTCCTTAGCTAGCCTCAGTTCCAGTAGACATGAGATTTTCTCAGAGGCATTTTCTTTTATCTGTCTTTTAGAAAANTGTGTGTGTGTGTGTGTGTGTGTGTGTGTGTGTGTGTGTGTGTGTGTGTGTGTGCGTGTGTGTGTGTGGAGGGAGAGGCACTGGCGAGAGTCACACACACTTTTCTTCCTCTGCCTGATCTGTATTGAGGACTACAGATATAGACATGAATGAGGGAGGTCAACAGATGTGTGTGTGTGTTTGTGAAGTGTTTTTGTGAAGAGGGTTTGTACTGATGGTTTGTGCGTGTGCGGGAATTCAGTCTGTGTGTGTGTGTGTGTGTGTGTGTGTGTGTGTATGGGTGTATTTAAAGGTTTGTGGGTCACGTTGACTGTGTATGGAGACCTGATGTCCTTAGCTAGCCTCAGTTCCAGTAGACATGAGATTTTCTCAGAGGCATTTTCTTTTATCTGTCTTTTAGAAAATATACGACTGTGCTGTCAAGTAAATCTAACAAACATAAAATGTTCATTATTTTGTTAGCATTCTCTCATTAGACTTTGTCAGCAGCACTGGCTCAAATGCTGCATTCACTGTCATATCAGAGTTACTATAATCAGAAGATCAGATTTGGTGGACAATAATACTGCCAGAACAAAAATGGATGCCTGATGTCAACCACAGTTCACCCTTTTTACAAAATTAAAGCCAAGCTCAAAGGATATAGTGCTATATAGTCAATGTACATTATATTGTATATTGTTTATTTGTAACCCATACATGAAAATGTTGCAACCATACAGCCGTCTTTAGTTGTTCTGTGATGTTAAAGTTCACACTGTAAACATGAAAGCCTTTTGTATCTCTACCATCCATCCCATAAGACATGAACATGGCATAAGACTCATAAGATGGGTTTTTGTTGAATGCTTTCAAAATGGATCCTGTATCATTAATAAAACTATGGAGTTTTCTTTCTTTTTATAAGTTCAGTACAGCAGCAGATACAAGCTGTGTTATGTCTTTACGGTCAGGGCCAAGTCAAGTGATCAGTCCTAAAGAAAGTTGCAAGTTAAACCTTCAATCAGAGCTTGTTGACCTGATGCTCACCATTAAAACTTAATGCCGATTGAACAATTTGCTTTCGGACCAAGGTCAGTAATGTTTTTGCTTCCACAGTTCAGACCGAGTCCTTTCAATGCAAAAACCTAGCAATTAAATAGTTATGGTTTGTGGCTGTCTTCTCTCACTGTCTTCTTTATCCTGTGTTGTTGCAGGACTTAACAAGGTCTAAACTTGACATTTGAATGTTTTTGTTCTTAAGTCTCAAGTCAAGTGTTTCGGGAGTGATGTGAAGCCCAAGATTCAAATCTCAAGTCTCAAGCTTTAGTTGACATTTGTTTTGAAAAAAACAGTCACGTTTCAAATGCAAAAAAAGCCGGAAGAAAGAAGCTCTGTATTGCATCTACATTGTTGGGGCCAGGCTTGATTAAGGGACAGGACTTAATGGGAGTTCATTAAGTTCTTCCCCCCTCCCATTTTCCATGTTTTGTTTTGGATTTACCCAGTTATGGCGAATTTCATCTCCACTACCCTCACATCTCTCTCCTCTCCGTCACCCCACCCCTCTCCTGGGTCAGTCCCTCTCTCTCTGTAAAGCCCTCGCTCTTTCCTTGTTTGCATTTCTGACAATCACTGAACGCTCTTTTCACCGCCTCTCTACCAATGACCTGACAGATAGGGAGTAATCACTTCCTGGTAGGCTCTGTGGACCCTGTAACACTCACACACACGCACACATACACACACACACAACACAAACAGAAGGCCAATGGGATGATATCATATTGGCTCTCAAACACACACACAGCTTTCTCTCCCACCCCCTTTTCTCTATACGTGAACATGTTGGGAATGTGTTGTATTAGCGTTTTCTTAGTCAAAGAGCAGAGTAATCCCTCTGTGAACAGCCCGGCCTGCTGGGGAACACAGGAGGGGGGGACACAGACTGACACACAGGACTCTGATACTGTTCATTTCATTGACAGGCTGTGGTTAAATGTGAAACATTCGATGCACTTTGTACGTGAATGTTGCAAGAATTGCAATCCTGGTTCACAAGCTGCAACTAACTGCAAGACGTCAGTTTACTTGGCTGTTCAACAGCCGCAGCCAATCATAATGATGGTGTCAAGTCACATGATATACTTATTTCCATCACTCTCAGTTTGATGCTAATAAAACAAAACATAAACAACACAAACAATTGGCTGGCAACCCTGATTTCGGTTGCTAGTAGTGAACCATTGAACAACAACTGTTGTCTGCATGCAACTGGAAACCAAGTTGGCACGCACTGCATGGTTCTGTGCCTTTTCTGAAAAGTCTATAATTGAGAGATGATAGGAAAGAGGAAAGAGACAGATGGGGAATGACACACAACGAAGTTCCCCGGCCAGACTCAGACCATGGATGCTGCAGTTCATGGTCACCTCCTTAAAGCCCGAGGCCACTTGGGTGCCAACTCTATTGTTTTACAGTGTAGGTCAGATGTCAGAGTTAAGTAGAAAGTGTCAGGAAGAACTGGCACATTGGGATATGATTTGGAGGAAAAGGTTTCAATATATTTTTTTGGTCCTCAGTGGGATATCTTTAAGTTATGTTTGGAACACATTTGAGGTATTATTTGCTACATAGCATAGCCAACGTTAGCATCAACAGCTGTTCACTTACCAGTCTTACCAAGATTGACAGCCATTATTGTGTTTACAGTACAAGAGGTTATAATACGCCCTCTGAGTCTACAAGGCAGACTGGATGCTAAAGTGACTCAGTATCTGAAAATGATGAGACAGGGCGGCTGATGAGAGCTAGCTGGTTAGCATGCTAGCTTAAGTAGAAGAAAAGAAGTGATAGAAATAAAAGCAAAACAAGAGTAAGCATTGGCGTTGCTTTCCACTGCTGGAGACAGGAATCAAGTTTGATGCTCAACCTGCAACGTTTCTACTAGACTGGTAAGTATTCAGCTGTTAATGCTAGCAAATAATAGCAAATAAATAAAAATAGCTAAACTTACAAATAGCCATTACCATTACCATTAAATCTAACAACAAATTGAGTGCAACATCCTATTGCACTCAATTTTCTGCTGTTGTACCTGTGCAGGTTCCTGGTGTGTGGCAGCCATTTTGAGGAAAGCTCTCTGAGTCTGCAGGGCATTGTTCACCATCTCCGCCTGTCGATCATTAAGGGTCAGAGTCAGATAAGTTAGGTTAATAATACAATACATATTTTATGGAGAGTACAGAGCAAATAGTTACTGTATTGTACAGATTGAATATAGACAATGTTGCAGTTCCCCGAAAGGAAAAGACTTTCTCCTAGTTTCTTCATGCTTTGCCAGTTTATTCTCATGCCTATTGAACTTTAGCCAGTAAATCTGTCTGTATTGCACATACAAAAGCTAGTATACAAAATACACACACACACACACACACACACACACACACACACACACACAGAGTTTGGGTTGGTCCCAGCCAGCCGTGTCCTGTGTGTGTGTGTGTGTGTGTGTGTGTGTGTGTTTGAGACCTCCAGTTGCGGGCCAAGGGAACCACCAGGGAGGCTTTGTCCATAAAAGGAGCTCTACAAACTTAAAGAAACTACCTCTGGCTCTCACTCACACACACTCCCCCTCCTCTACCCGTGCAGTGATGGGACACAGAGATAGAAAACTTCTTTCAAGGTAGAGAGGGAGACATACAGGCCTTTTCTTTTTTCTTTTCTTTTTTTTTTACATTGATTTCTTTGTAACGGCCTTCTGTTTTGGAGCCCTCCCTATTGTTTTGGAATTATTCCAAGGATATAACACAGTTATTTTTGCCAGCTGGCTAACCACGAAACACACTTACAGTCCTTGTGGGAGTTCAGGTCATTACCAAATAGGAAAAGGTGCTCCACTAGCGGTTTGATAAATGACTGCAAGGTTAAGTTCAATCATAGTCCCATCCTTGGCTTTGTAGACAACAGGAAATCTTTGCTATTGTACATACACATGCGCTCACTGCCTGGTTTCTACCTTCATATCACAGACTTCCCATACACACTCATTACTATCCTAGAAAGAGTCATGAATATGTAAGTAGAATCTAGAGTTTGTTTATAAATCTACATCTAATTAAATAAAGTTTGGCATAGAGAGAGACGCACTAGCTGCTCGCCTGCTATCCATCTGATCTTGCTTTAGAGAAGCGATCAACAGAAAGCTAGATATCCTGCTTCATGTAAACAAGAGAGTTTTCTTCAAAGCTATGTTTATTTAGTAATTAAAATATCCTAATATAATTGATGAATTCTCAAAATCAGCGGCAACATCTGGACTGTCTCTGGTTCTTGTTTCGAATGCTTGGAGTTAAAGGGATACTCCAAATTATTATTGCACTTTCTTTAAGTTGAGGCACTTGTAACGGACAGAACTGATACAACAGTACTTTTTCATGAAGAGTAAACTGAACTTTGGGTGTAAAATTGGTGGCTTTCCCCTTTAAAGCATGATTAATAGTAGTTTTGGCAAACAATAGACTGACGACCTGCAGCACTGTAACCGCAGATCATTACGACAGCAGCTGTGGTGACATCTGTCTCCAACAGCTGCTGCAGCATTTGTGTGTCTACGTGCATTTATGAAGTGTGCCTGGACAGGTGTGTGTCTACCAGTGATTCATGGTTCAATGAGTCAACTTTTGTGTGGATTGGGGAGATTTTATACAATGAATATGTGGGTGTCAACATTTGTGTCGCACACATGAAATCACTCACATGTTTCTCCACATCGCTCCCTATGGCTCTGCTGTTGTTCAGGTAGTCCGACACTGGACCTCTCAGTAGCGCGTCGAAGGCCTCCACGCACTGAGACAGACCTAAAAACACAGGGAGACGTCGCTGCTTGTTTGCTTGTTTTATGCTTGAATGTGTCCCCTGCCTTTTTAACTCCAGAGCTGTTTCGCTCTGTCCCCCCAAACCTCCGAGTCAAGCAGTTTTTCAGCACAGACTGACCTCCATCCATGCCGTTGAGACAGCCCCCATTAGCCATGCCACTTGATGCCTGCATGGTGACAGACATCTGCTCCAGACGAGTCACAGCCCGCTCCAGTCGCTGCATGAAACCTTCCATGGTGACGAGCCTAGAAAACAAAAGTGGGAATTGTTTCTTAGACTGCACTGTGATCTTTCTGACCTGATTAGTTTTGTGATATTGTTTTACTCTATTGATGCCAAAACATCATGATTTCAGTCCAAACTCCAGAACATGGACTTGAGACAGATTCAATATCCAACTCTGACACTCTGCTGCTTCTAGTTTTCAGAACACTGGACCATGTCAGAAGCAAAGAGTCAAACTATGTGTATCCAATGTGGTGAGGTTTATATGAACACTGTCTCTGTTGGAGCTGTCTGGCCCTCTGCCACAGTCACAACCTCTGCCATGAACACATGAACACATCACACAATTGGATTACAGGAGGGGCAGAGGCTGGAGCCAGGCTAAGAGGAAAGTCAGGGTTATTTAGTAAAGTGAAAAAATATTGAAAGACGGTCCTGTGAAAAGACTTCATAGGTAATACAGTACCTTTGGGGAGATGAGACACAAACAACAGGAAGTGGTTTCTCCCAGGTAATGCAAAAACCAGTGGAGCCACTGATATTTAAAACACTGAGAATAAAGAAACAGCTTCCTTACATTTCTGAAATGTTATGGAACCAGACCAGAGTTTAAATAGTTAGCAGTGTAATAAAGGTATCTAATATATCCTCAGATACAGATCACCTGTGATGATGCCAATAGGGAAAGAGTGACCTCACTGACCCTGGAGGTTCACCTGACAATGTCTAAACAACTCCTGTTAGAAATGTGACACTGGGGGAGGGATGCTGACCCAAAGATGTGCGCATAGAGTGGATTGCAGCAGCATCTGTGTAACATCCATGATCACCCAGACAGTACCCAGATGCAGCTGAAATGTCCAGAGTGTATAGACAAGTTCGACTTACTTTATATGCAAACAAATCGAATGCCACTTGAATACATTGGAGATAGCAGCGCAGACACAGACTGGATCTCCTTCTTTAACACTGACCAGCTATATACCTCACCATGAGGCAACGCAGACCTGTTTCCAATATGTATTAGTCAGCCGAGTGGAATTCGATCCAGCAACCCACTGCATGTTTACGCACACTACTGCTAGGTAACACACACTTCCTAATCTGACACCAGCTACCTGTGCGCCCATGACACACACACAACCCAGTGGTGCGGGTTGAATGATCGATTAAAAAAACAAAAAAAACTAAAACAAAAAAAACACCGGGGGGCTCTGCAAAAATATGGCAGCTAGCTACAGTATGTAGACTGGATTGCGTCTCCAGCCTGTAATCTTTGTGAATTATGTCTAGTAATTATGTGCTATGAGCAGCAAACACGTCCTGATGGGCGTCATCGACTCATTTCTCTGGAGGAGTCACTCGCTAGTGCCAGATGCCTGTCGCAGGACTCAGCTGCTATTTCTGCTCTCTGGGTCACAGCAGCTCTTAGGCAAGACATGAAACCTGGAGAGCTGAATGAAGGTTGATAACAAGTCCGATACGAACCGACGCTGTCAACTCTTCTCCAGGAAATGTGTGTGGATAGAGTGGGAGTTTGAGGAGTTTATTAGTTTTAATTCATTTTGGTCTTTTAATAAAGGATTTATAGCTGGTTAGTTTTTGATTCTGTGTCATGTCAAATGTTTGGCCTGGTGCATATGGGGTTAGAAGACATAAAGAATTTAACAAGATACTTTCTAATGGCACAAAACCAAAAGGAAAAAAAAACTCATCATTGAATATAAATATACATCATTTCAGGCAACATGTATTCATGATCAAAATTTGTGGAAAAAAATCTGAGCTGGGTTCCTCATCTCCCATCTAATGCTGTTGCTTTATTAATAATCATTAATAGAGAAAACGTCTGGGTTGCGAGGATGTGAAACGGCCCCAGGCTGGTGTTCATTCTCCTCCAGCAGGCACTTTGTCTTGACCAATTGCTTTCTGAGAAAAATGCAGCAGGACATCTGGACCAAAATGAATCCTATCAACTATTATTAACATTCACATCTGCAGACTTGATTGAACTGAACATATATAGTGTATCAGATGACTTGGCCAATTAGAAAGTGCCTATAATCCTTTACTAACATTTATAACAGGAGACCGGGTGGCTTAGATTGTTCTTATGAATGCCTCATCACTGATCCATAAAGCATTGGTAAGTGATTTATAATCATTTATGAAACTATTAGTTGAACATTCGCTCTTAATAGATAAAAATAAACTCCTAATAATCAAGGGTTCCTTAATTAAAGTGCTTCTCTGTGGTGCTTTAGGCTTAATTTTATCAGAGCTGAAACATTTAGTTGATCAATCGATTAGCTGATCATCAGAAGAGTATTCTGCAATAACTGATTAATCAATAAAGCTTTGTTAAAGCAAAGTGACGAACATTTGATGGTTCCAACTTCTTTACATGTGGGAAAATCATTAGATTTCGTAGGAAGGATGTCACCTTGGACTCTGAGAAATCATGATGCGCAGTTTTCATTTTACAATGTTTTATACGCAGAATGATAAATTGATTCATGGAGAAAGAAAATGGCAGATTAATCTATAATGAAAAGAATCATGTATTGCAGCTTGATGGTTACAGCTCTAAATGTTTTACTTTAAGTAAAGGCCATAGACTCAACTACTGTATTTGCCCAAGTTCAAAACACTTCACTTAATCACTGTCTCGCTCAATACCGATCTCAAACTTTGTTTAAAAACCACAAGACAGAAACAGCCAGCAACTGCCCTGGTTGTATTGGAAACCAGCCAAACTCTCCATGGCAATGCAAAGACATAGCCAATGATGCTCTTTTAACTTTTCATATAGACGTAATTTATTCACCCCATCACAGAAAGTGAATGAGAAACAGCTGGTATGAGTTGAAGCCTGCTGGTTGCACCAGTAATACATTTCTGTGGCACAAAGTCTCAGAAGTACCAGAGACACAAAGAATAAATATGTTGCAGTCACATACAACACTTATTATTTGTCCTCCTATCATTTCCAGCAGTTGAACTTAGTCAACACTGGAGTCTCCACTATATGAACACATTCCCTCCTCTGTTTTTCCAGACAGGTGGGCGAATGGCGTCTGCCACATAAAGACCCCAGACCAAAACCAACAGCTGAGAAAGCGCACATGTTCCTGCAGTGGAAAGATATTACTGACTTCACCCTGACCTGCATGCGTCTCCTGAACCCTCTGGCCTGGTATCTGATCTTTGGGGCTATATTGGTCCACAGCCTGGGGTTTGCTGCTATGGCCCTACTGTAAGATATCCTAATGTAGGTCCCACTGTCCCGTGCTGTACTCTGGGACTTTGGATAAAGTAAATCTTGGTAAATAAATGTTTGGCTGTAAAAGTGTTTACAGTCGGGTTCATGCAGCCACTAAAGCAGGAAGCTGTGTCATCATCAAGCTATTGGTGAAAGTCTTGTGTACAAAAAAAACTGTTGTGGCATCTTGGTTTTGATTTTAAAATGTTATTAAAAATTATTAAAACACATCATTTTTGTTGTTGATTTCAATAACTGATTTAATTAACATGATTTAATTTAACTAGCCAGATAATCTATTGAATATACTGTGGTTAATAAGCTACTACATCACTGTAACCCCCAGTGGTTTATGAGAGGCTGTAAATCATCAAAAATTAATGAAACAATGTCCCCTCAAGATCCATTTAGAAGCTGTTCTGGGACTTTTCATCATATCACACGATCTTCATCAGCACTTGGGGTCATTTAATTTTCTTCTGCGCTCTTAAGGACTTCCTGTCCATGTTGGCTTAAAAGTTAAGTCAAATTTTTGTTAAAATTTAAAGTTTAACTCAAATTTTAAACCAACATGGAAGAGATGTGGTTCAATTGAAAGCTCCAGAAGCTATTAAATGGTCATTGAGGTGAGAAAAAAAAGAAAAACTTTGAATCTCATAAAAAAAAGTCCACAGACCATAATCTATAATCTATGACATTAATAGGGTGTGTGAAGATCATAAAGTCTTATTACAGGTGGCTCGTCGTGCAGCCTCTCACAGGCCAAAGATGATCACGCTTCATAAGAAAACATGACAGGGCATTGGCACGCTGACAGGGGTTTCACCGCCCCTTAAATCTGATGCTTCATGGTCTGGACCACAGAATCACCGTTACTCCAGAAGGCGAAGGAGATAAAAAAAAAAAAAAAAAAACTAAAAAAAACAACAAGACAAACTAGCATACAATGTGCTCTCACACTGCGCCAGTGTCCTGCCAAAATGTAAGAAAGCATGGCGCACAGGGAGCAGGTGAAGATGACTTTGTTTGGACATTTCTGCGCAGACTTCACACATCTCTGTCACACACCCCTGCTGCAGGACTTTATCCCACTCCGCCCCACCCCGAAAACCAACTAAACTTAACATTCATTTGAAAACTGGACAGTAGAGAGACACCTTACCTCCCTCCTGTTGTCCGCAGTCAATTTCTGTCGGGATGTTTTGTTGTGTCTGTCAATATCCCGGGACGGATTCGTGGCTGTGTGCTGTCGCCGCGCGGTCCCCTCCTGCTTCCCTGCCCCGTCACTCAGCTGCGCACAGCACCGGGACTCTTCCGGGATGTCCTAATTAAGCCAAACGGTGAACCTGAGAGCCACGCAGCGTGCAGAGACCGGGACCATGACTCAGTGCCGCAGTATCTCCTCTGGGGCGGACGGGCATTTACCTCGCAGACAACATGGCAGCCCCAGAGAGCCCTGCTAAAAATAGACGGCTGATTGAAGCTGTAGCAAAGACGTCTGCATGGGTCCTTTAAGCTACTGGCAGGGGAGTCATCATCATCATCATCATCATCATCATCACAGAGTCCATGGGAGTGAAGGCCAGAGTCTGACCCCCCAACTTGGAATCCCCCCACCCTGCAGTATTTTTATCAACTGCTGATGTAGGTTTTACATCCTGGAGGCTTCATAAGTAGCAGGTACACAGTCCAGCAATGCTTCCACCATAAACCAAGTTTAAAGGGACACTCCACCAACTTAATGTTAAACTTTCATGAAGTTGTGGGATTTGAGATTGACAGGTTTAACTTTTTTTTTTTTTGTCAAAATCGGTGGAAAGGCCGAGATATTCTGACTTAAAAAACATACATCCCATACTTCCCATGATGCAACTTGATTGCATCTTTTGTTACACTGCATCCGCGCCGTGTTGTGAGAATGAGGAGAGAACCTCCTGTAATCCTGACTGGGAATGTTCCTGCATTATTTCAAGCTGGTTACTGCTGCTGCTTTCCTTATAGTCAGCAGCTAATTAGCCAAATTAGCTTTTTCAATCAAGAGAGAGTGAGAAATGAGAGGGCAATTGTATTGGTTCATCAACAATTTAAGCCATATATAAACAAACAGTGGCGTATCTTCTTTTAAATTTTACTTAATCTATTAGTGTTGGCACTGGTTCATTCACACGTCCATAATTCTTTTAGGCAAGAAATCCCTTATATCTCCAACTGGGACTTTGAACTCAGACACTGACATAAAATTTTTTTCCCAATTGACTCCTTGTAATTACAGTCTGAGTGATATAACCTGGGCAGTGTTAGATCCCACACACCCTCCGTCTGTGATGCAGGCTTTCTGTTATAAATCTTCCAGAATGGCAGAACGGCGGAAAGCCCCTTTAATACGTCATTAATATGGGGTTTTAATCCACCAGGTCGTCGTCTAATAAATGAATTTTGGTCTGAATAGTTGCATGTGCACTCAACACCTAAACCACTTGTTTGTTTGTTTTTTGACAACCTGGCAACCCAAAAGTTGTTCTTATCAATGGTTCATTAACAAACTCATTAACAAACTAGTTAATGAGTTTGAATAGTGACTTTAGAGAGCACATTACATACATTAAGACATTAAGACATTACAGCTTCCAACCTACGAGGGAACTGAACCTGGGTGCTTCTGTAAAGTTTCAACAGAACACCATCACAGGTTTGCGTCATTGTTGTAATAAGAAGCGGTCTTAATTTTCTTATGTCATGAGTTTGGATAGCTGCTGATTTCACCCATAAGGCCTTGCTCGATCCATGCTGTGTCATGATCACCTGCCTATGAGTGCCAGTTTCATGTTTCACCGGGGACCGAAAATACTCCCTGGAGCCGAGTAAACAAAGGTAGAACCATGGCAACAAACCTCTTTTTTAACATGACTTATTTATTGATTAGAGAGGAGATGAATCATTGATAGACTCCTGAGTCCTGAGAGACTTGATCACGTGTCATTCTTGTCCATGCAGACTCTCAGTGGGTGTGACTGTAATGCGAGAGCGTTGCAAGTAACGGATTGTTTGACACAGAGGAGGAGCATTGCAGCATCTGGCGAGTGTGATGTGTTTGCCACCTTGCAGCTGCGGCCAAAGGCTGACAGGAAAGTAGATAAACAAATACTGACGCACACAGGCACAAAAGAAATGTATAAATTATATCCTTAAGTGCATATACAGTATGAAGAGCAAATGAATGTGTCCAGGAAGAGATCAGCACGAGGATGTGTGTAAAATGATTATCACATGAGAAGTAGCCTCGCACTGTTGACTTCATCAAAATAAATGTCACCAAGCTTTTTAAATATAGAACATTTTATTCCAATTTTGAGTAAATGGAGTTGAAATTCTGAAGTAAAGGTTTTAATACCAACAGGACCTTTGCATTTAAATAGTAACACTTTACATGCCTTCATCCAGTGACAATGAAAAGCTTGCTTAAAAAGTTTTTTTGTCATTTATTTTTCATATTTCCCTTGTAAGAAATAGTTCAAGTATAAAAATTCCCAACAGTGTAAAATAGCCCATCTGATGAATATTAAGCAAAAGAAGCACAGCTACTGAAACCTCGACGACGACTATACATTCTAGTGGAGAAAGCAGCATTTTTGCTTGTTTTTTTTTTTTTTGTCAAAATTATTATTATTTTTTACCTTTCGTCTAAACACAGAAGAGGCAGAGTACAATCTGCATGCAAACAGGCCTGCATTTAAATAAAGTTCTTCCATACAAAAGGCATTAAGCTAATATTTAATGTCATGTTCTAAAGAATCAAAAAGATAAAAAATAAAAGTACAGTGCACATAACAGTATCTTAAATAAGTCCTACATCAACATTTTTGGTTGAGTATGTTAATAATAATTATTATAATAATATTATTACTAAAACTAATCAATAACTTATATATGCCTTGAGATGAGTACATAATAATATTATTAATACAGTACCGCCACTAAGTCTCTACTCTCAGAGCGTTAACATAGTCAACCCTCCAAAATAAATATCTTAAATAGTAGATTCTCTCTTCTTTTTCAGTTTTTTCTCTTAAATAGCAGTAAAAATGTAAGGCACACAGACCAACATAACGTCAAAGAGTAAACCCCCCGTCCTCTCCACCCCACCTGGTGTTCTTGACAGACATGAGGCAGGCCAGTTGTTGGGGTGGCTTTGGTGAAAGTGTGTGTTTGTGAGTGTGTACCTGACACTGACACCAGACTACAGCAGCAGCACAGAGGTGGAAGTGCTGACAGTGGCAGGGCTGAATGACTGTGGTGGTGGTGGTGGTTGTGGTGGGGGGTGTGTGGGTGGGGGGGACTCTGCTGTGGGGCTCTGTGTTGGGTGGAGGGGTGTAAAGTTGGTTCCCAAATGGGCCCGGCCGGGGATTAAAATGTGACAGCTCAACAAACGAGCACAAGTGATGCGTTCTTTCCAGAGTGATCCGTCTGTGTGGCGCTGGAGCGGCTCTGTCCACCCCCACCAGCAGCTGCTCTCTCCCTCTTTCTTTCTTTCTTTCTCTCCATCCCAGAGCCAGAGAGAAACACGACTGTGCTGCCTTTGTCTTTGACTGCTATGTGTGCAACTCTGGATGCATGTGTCGGTGTACGTGTGAGTGAAACATGTGGAAAAGCGACCGATTTAGTGTTTCTCATTGTCTGAAGCCATTTTCAACCTCTCTCCTGTTGTCAGTGCCTTTGTTTTGTTTGCCAAGTCCCTCTTTAGTCCAAGAGTCAAGTCAGAGTTGATGACATTTTCAGTTTTTTTGTTTCTTTTCTTTGTTTTTGTTTTTTTTTGTCTCCTGGTGATTTGTTTGCTTTGCATAGGTTAAGAGGTCGAGACACAGAGTAAAAAAAGGGACATTCAGCATCAGGAAGATAAAAAGGTAGTTCTTCAAATATGTGTGACACAACGAGTTACAACTCCTCGACTTCCTGACAGAGGTCACATAATAATAGCTAACACGTTGGAAACGGTTCCATTTCCCTGATTATCAGAAAATATTAACTCCAAAAAATGCACTTGAAAAGACAAAAAGAACAAGGAGAGCCCTCAATGTGTAATAATAACAATAATAAATATAAATGTTATGAGGGCATCAAATAACTGAAAGAGAACAGTTTCCTAAACTAACGTTAAAGACAGCAATAGGACTTAACGGCTTAGTTTAACACCTATACCAACCACAGGGATTAGTTCCTGCCTTTCTTCTCTAGAAATAAGTACTCTACTACAATGATAATAGTAATGATAATAATAATAATCATAGTAATAACAACAACAATAATAGTAAATCACTTTCCATTATTTGTTCTGCGAATTTTTTTCATTTTCTTATTTTTTGGTTGAAGCACAGCAAGTTGGAAAGTTACCGTAAAAAGTTCCCACCTCACCATCATCATCATCACTACCACCACCATCATCATCATCACTTTTTAAAGCAACTCTGCCTCTGAGTCGCTGGCACGACCACCCTTAAAGCCACTCCCTCTTCCTTTTCCGTTGCTCCCTCTCCTGACCAATCAGCTGTGGCTGGGGGCGGGCCTCCTCTCTCTGCATGTCCAGTGGTTGCAGTGGCTGCTATTGCATGCGGTCAGCTTGCAGCTGCTGGGGCTGGTACTGACCGAAGGCTGCGGCTGCAGCGGCGGCCGAGCCTGGGGCGGCGGTGGCTAAAGGCTGCTGGACTGCATAGCCGTAGCCGGCGGTGGCCACGTAGCCTGCGGCTGCAGGGGAGGCAGCGTAGGGGTACTGCTCGTATGCAGCAGCGGCAGCACTGGCTGCTGCTGCAGAATACTGCGCGTAGGCGGCTCCGGTGTAGTCGATGTAGGGGGAGGAAGCGGTGGCAGGTGCAGCGGCTGCAGGCTGCACATGAGGGATGACCACACTAGGCTGCACAAAGGCCTGAGGGTACACGTAGTGGGCCGGAATGCTGTGGGACAAACACATACATCAGGATTTAATTTGATTCATCAGCATACACCAAATCTGAAAATAAGACCCCCCTCCCCCCAAAAAACCACCCTAAAACCCAACTCCATCACACTGCGGCCAAGCGCCCTCCCACCTCCCACCCCCAGTCCAATCCACCAGTCAAGAACACCAAGGAAATGCCTGCTAGTAGGGATTAGAACAATATAGGGTTGCCAAAATAGAAATCTCTCTGTGAAAAGAAGATTGGAAGGTGAAGAGAATTTTGAACTCCCAGAGGCTGCTTATCGAACCTCTGGGTCACTCAAATACTGAAAAGTCACATCTGTAGTATGATCACATTCAGAGAGAGTGAAGCCTGGGTGATGATATCATCCTCTTTAAGGGCTACATGAGAAATAGGTTCAGTTTTTTACTGTTTTGGTCAGGTTTGAGTTTGTGTTGTGGAGACAGAACTACAGAGAAGTAGAGGGAGGGGAGATGAAGAGAAAACGTTTGGGATCTGTAACCTGCAGTTTATCTGTGGGTCACATGTGGATTTGGCTCTGGTGCCGTCCTCCTGCCTGCTGGAGGGCGAGCAGGGGAGGGGCGGTGGGGGGGCTTACAGTGCCGGGGGCGGGGGTGCGGACAGAGGAGATGAGCCCAGGGAAGCATTGTGAAAATGTCACTGCCACTTTGACAGCTGGACAGTTTTCAAAAAGGGACGCTGCTGGCCATTTCCCCCTCTGTATCAGGACAAAGAGCCGGGGAGGCAGCGGGGGGAGCCGGGACTAGGCTCCGCACCCAGAGGGATGTTTCAATTAAATAAACAATTATGAACAATGAGCACATTCTACCCTCCATGACATAGCCTTATCCTGCCCCCCCCTCCCGGACTCTATAAGGTCTGGAAACTCAGCGAGCGTGAGGGGGGCCTTTTGAAATTTACACGACTGGTTCAGATGAAGTGAAGAAGCAAAAATATGAAAGCTTCAGGTCTTTGATGTCCTGAAAAAAACAGCCCTCCCTCCCCTGTTAGAGATAAAAGTAAAATCTCACTTTAATGGAGTGAGAAGCATCAGGCTTAACAGACAATTTACTATTTGTTGCACAAGACAAAAACTGTGTAGCTGTAGGTGAGTGTGGATGACGACCGCTTAAAAATCTGTTGAGAGAAAATCAAGGAAACGCAATGTAATCAGTTGAGTCTGCATAAGTGAACATCAGGCGGTCACTTTTGGAGTCTGGATTGGGAGCGAAGAGAGGAGTGTGCAGAAAATGTTAAAGAGTGAAAGGCAGGATCTATCGTGGCAACCCTATTGTCAGCACTCCATTATCCAATCCAATCCACATCTCAACCGAAAACAGTGGGGCCAGAGGGGAACAGGAAAAACAGAACAACAGCAAGGCGTCAGAGAGGAAGAAATATGTAAAAATAGTCGACTTTGACTAAACTGACTACAGAAACAAGGACGCACCACAATCACTCAACTGAAAAGACACAAAAAAAGAACAGGGAAGTGAGAAAATGAGTAAGTGGGCATGTAGAGCTTTGGTTTAAGTAAAGGGGAAAGGTTGATGTTGTCACTGCCTTAGTACACACAGAAACACAGAAACACACACACATACACACACACACACACACACACACACACACACACACACACACACACACACACACACACACACACACACACACACACACACACACACACACACACACACATATAATTAGGACCAATTTATGAAAACCTGTAACAGACATTCTGCATTGAAAAGATTGAGTGTTTTGCTAATGAGAAAATCCTTTTTTTTTTTTTTTTTAATCATCATGTGACACTGAAACTCGTCTTTGAAACCCGCACTAATGAAACTCAGAAGGGTGAGGCAGGTTTCCAGGATGATTTTACTGGATGCCATCTCTAAAACAGAGTTGAATAAGAGACTCCCACTCAGCGCGGCGGGGAGACTTTTCCAGTCTGTTATCTGAAGGGAAATCACTGAATTATTCACTTCCAGCAAACAGGGAGGAAACTCCTCAAACTGGAGGTTGATGACACACGGACTGGCTAACATCCAATGAAAAGGCCAGTATTAATCTGATAGGCCTAACGGCGACACACAAGATGTAGGATTCAGTATCTCAAGCCCACACATTTTCTCACAAATACCCAACAGAGGCTTGTTAACAAGTCTGTTTACTGGATTGATACTTAACATTTTGTCCACTGTGAGTAAAGGCCATCAAATAATATGAATGACGAGGTTTTGACATTTGATTTAATGGCTGAATCATGCGAAAATCTATTGTTTAATCGTTGAATTTTAATAATATAAAGCATCATAGCCAAGATTATAGGGTTGTCTTGCTCAGGGACAAGAACATTCAATACAAATCTCAGAGAAAATCAAACATTAAAGTAAATCTAATAATATCATAATCTAATGACTTGACTTTGACTCATAGGAACTGTATTTAATCTACTGACACACATACTGTATAAGGGAGGATGGTGGGAATAATGCTCTAACAAGAAGGATTTAACTGGAATTGGGCTGAGCTTTGAGTACTGTTGTACCAAGTTACAATGCAACGGAATGAATCCATAAAACCCTAGGACATTTTCTTTCTAGACTTTATATAGAAACTAGTTTGAGAGAGCTGCCTGTGGATTGTAAAACATGTTTAATGGCCTTTCAATCAGTCTCGTGGGAACAAGAATCATGACCGTGGGCAAAAGACATTAAAGAAACATGTTACATTCCCCCGAACTTTCAGTTGCACAGTTCTCCTCAGCAGCTACTATATATGATTGACTGTAGAGGCTGCAGCTCAGAGAGTAACTATATTCTGACTGTATAATATTTTAAAAATGGCTTCCAGTGGCATGTGACCATCTCCTCTGCACTTGAAATCAAACTCTCGGCCCGGTGCATTCTAGGTTGGACCGTTACTCGTCTCTGATTCCCCACCACCACTGTAGTATGGCAGACCCATACACATGTATAAGCATGCACAAACATGCCCACTCCTACACACACACACACACACACACACACACACACACACACACACACACACACACACACACACACACACACACACACACACAAAGCATAAGCTGAGGGTTTGGCCATGGGAAGCAAAGCTCTGGCTGACCCATCCAATGTGCCCCACTAATAAAAAAAATACCCTCGTTTCCCTGGAGAGATTCATAAAAAAGGAAAATATAAAATACTATAATAACTGTGAGGCTACCTATGGTGTGTCCTACTGTGTGTGTGTGTGTGTGTGTGTGTGTGTCTGTCTGTCTGTCTGTCTGTCTGTCTGTCTGTCTGTCTGTCTGTCTGTCTGTCTGTCTGTCTGTCTGTCTGTCTGTCTGTCTGTCTGTCTGTCTGTCTGTCTGTCTGTCTGTCTGTCTGTCTGTCTGTCTTCACTGGAATGTCGTGTTCACGCAACCCAGAGGTCATTAAAGTTCAAGGCTAAATAAAGGTTCTCTTCCATCATGCATGCCGTCCACTGAGTGAGAGGACACAAGCACAAACGTACATTGAGGTGAGAGGATCTAATGTGAGCGAGGCGATGTGTTTGTGCTTGTTTGCGATGTTGGCAGTACACAAATGTCCTGCTTTGACAGAGTTGCTCATGGGACTTTTGTTATGATGGCCGAGTCACAGATGGATCTGGGGTCTAGTTTCAGCTCAAGTGCATCAGGACTTGAGTCATGATCCTCACATAGAAAGTTACTTAGATCGAGTTAGTTTGCATGGATCGTTTGCTAATCGCTACCTATGGAAGTTTATTAACGACAAATCAAACAAACAAGTACAAAACAATTTCAAGCGTCACTCACGTCAAGAATTCAAAATCCTCTCATGAGGATTCTCGTTTGGAACCTGCTATCACATTTTCTCACAATTATTTTATTATTTATTTTACTTTCAGAGCAGCTTGAGGATATGAGAGAGAGCGATTTGCACCAAATCTCTGAAAAACAAGACATTCCCATGTAGCTGTCTTCTCACAGTTAGTCTTTTAGACAAAATATTGGCCACTTTGACTGATTTTTATGGTTTTTAGCAGCACAACATTCTTGAATTTTTGGGAAGAACTCATTGATCTTACTTTGTATGGATGTCAAGGTGCTGCTGGCGTCCTGTGATTGGTAAACCCATTTTGGGTGAAACTTATATATTAAAGGTAGTGGTGCTGTTGGAGTGAATGAATTGTACTTCATGACAAGGCAAAAACCTATTAATGTGATTGAGGATGTCACAGGATTTTTTGGTTCCATCCTTTGGCGACCTTTTTCTTCCCTTTTTAAAAATTGACTTACATGATCAATTGATTATCAGAATAGCTGCCAATCAATTCTCTTTCAAGAGAATAATCAATTAATTGACTAATTGTTTGCAATTGTAATTACACTTGCAGTTCTATCAGCTCTCAAAACTTGTCCTGTGCTTATCAGTCTGTCCCTGCATGCTCTCAAATCTGGATCAGCTGATCAGAGCCCTCTTGCTTTGTACTTGGTCAGTACTTTTGACACTATTTAACCTCCATATGTTGACTGGTGACTGACTGGTGACTGACTGGTGACTGACTGGTGACTGACTGGTTCTGGTTCAGATAAGTTGGTTAAGATGTACAGTATGTATATGAACATGAAATAGATGTGTATTTACGTGGCCCCTGAAACACCCACTCTCACTCAGTTTAAATGGCTCCTACTCTACTTTTACATGACAGAGAGAGACGGCCCCTCACCGGACCCCCCACCCACCCACCCAACACACCCAACACACCACACACACACACACACACACACACACACACACACACACACACACGCACACACAGACACACAACACAGAGCTTCATGCGATTGCAGCATCAGCATTTGGGCCTTTGTGTGGCACAATGGCTGCGCTTGTTTTCCTTAACACCACGAGCCCATGTGACGAAAGCTCACTGAGAGAGAACAAGAGAGAGAGAGAGAGAGAGAGAGAGAGAGAGAGAGAGAGAGAGAGAGAGACAGAGAGAGAGAGAGAGAGAGAGAGACATCCAGACATTTGTTTGTGTCACATTGGAGACTTTGGTGCGCTGAGCTGAGCTGAGCTGAAAATGAGAGTACATGTGGACGGACAAAGCCACACACGCACGCAAACACAACAAGAGCAAATATTCATATGTACCAGTGCAACCAGACAAACACACACACACACACACACACACACACACACACACACACACACACACAACAACTGATAAGCTTCTCATTCATTCATTCGTAAAACATTCACGTACAAATTTCCGATATTTGGTGTACAGGAGAGCGAGGAGAGAGAGAGAGAGAGAGAGAGAGAGAGAGAGAGAGAGAGAGAGAGATAAGACACAGTTGTAATGAGTTGACGGAGCAAGACTTAGTGAATCTGTACATTGTGTTAATATAACAAACTGCCAGAAACACTAGGAAGATGCTGTAAGCACACACAAGCAGTGACAGGTTTTGTTATTTTGAAGGGAAAGGGGGTGAAAGTGTGAGGGGTATGAACAAGGAGGTGACTGGGGTAAAAATACAAAAATAAAAGAAACTCCACACAGAAAATTCACCTCTCACTCCAACAAGACAGCCAAAACACACACGAAACAACGTCCTGTTAAACAAAACAAGTCAACCACAAGCTAAAAGCAATAAAAAAAAAAAAATTGAAAAAAAAAAAAAAAAACTTTGCTCTTTCTTGGCAAAGTTAACACGCTTCCACAAAAAAGGAAAAAGAACACCCCAAAAATTCAGTCAATCCAGTTTGTTTTTTTTGTTTTTTTGTCATTAAAGTAAGAAAGCACACGGTTTCTAACAACACCACGTCATAACTGCACACAAAGCTCTAAGTTCTATTCAAATAAAAAAAAATAAAAAATAAGTCAAATGAAACCCACGTACATGCATCTATAATCACCATTTTGAGAGCTTGTTTGTGTGTGTTTGAGTCTACAGGTAATTCCTTTCTCTGATCTGTGATTATGTTTGCAGAACTATTCCACAAACCAGCACAGTTAGCTTAACCGAGAGCGAGCCTGTCGAACCAGAGAAAGATAGATAACATTGAGTCAGGCTGGAAGTTTCCATCATTGTCCACTCAGCACGCACACACACACACACACGCACACACACGCACGCACACACACACACACACACACACACACACACACACACACACACACACACACACACACGTATGTATACACACACTCACAAACAGGCAAACCTAGAAAAGGCAGTTTGACTGGCTTTTTTGGGTGGACAATCATACAGAAACAAGCTACATACTACTTAATGTCCACCTCTAATTATCAGCAATTGTTAATAATTGAGGAGAAAACAGAAAGACAAAAATCAGACCTACAGTATCAATTATCACACAGAGAACAGATGAAATGAGAACATGTTTGAATTGATCACTTTTAAAATTGTGCCTCTACATAAGCAAAGAACATCTCAACAATCTTCTGAACATGTAAGACTTATAAGTACTTACCCATAAGGCCTTTGGATGAACGCAGGGTGAATTTGGGGAACACCAAAGGTAAAACCTGCGAAATGGAGGAGATAAAAGAAACTCACTGAAACACTGAGTATACTGTACATTCCTACTCTTGACTGAGTCTCTGTAAACTAAGAGACTCCTAACATGTTCCTACATCCGCAGAAGCAACCTTCAAGACAAACGAACCCTCAGGTGAAAAATCAGGAAGGATTGGCTTGATTTTCTTGTTTGCTGCTTTGCTAATAAAACCAACCACACACTTACTGATCCCAGACAAACACAGTGGGAGCAAAGTTCACTTGCTGTGCTGAATTAAAACACTGGGGTTGTTGGGTTGTCTTTACCTGGCTGCATCACCCGAGGCTTGGCGCCCAGGTAGGCCAGGTTGACGTTGGCCTTCCTGCCGTCAATGATTGGGTTGGGGTCCTTACAGGCCCGGTCTGCAGCCGAGCGATCCGCCATCGTCACCTGAAAGAGAGATGCACACATACAGGGTGGGAAAGATGTAGATTATTCAGGCAAACATGTAAGTCATATGTTCGGTTGACAGTTACTCAATACCTGCAGACTCTTTGGAAACAAGAGGTTGCCATGGCGGCAGTGAATAGAGGGATGAACAAAGACTAAAGCTTCTTAAAGACAGTGTGTGTGTGTGTGTGTGTGTGTGCGTGTGTGTGTGTGTGTGTGTTTAAAACAAAGATAGAAAACATGTATATGAGTGTGGGTTCAACTGCTGTGTGCACATGTTAGCTCTCTCTTTCGCTGTGTGTGTGTGTGTGTGTGTGTGTGTGTGTGTGTGTATGTGTGTGTGTGTGTGTGTGGCCATCACCAACAGCAGCGAGTGTCTGGCAGCACACACACACATCCATCACCCTCATGTGGATGTGTTGAAACTATCAGCAGTGAATGGGAGCCTGGCTGAGTTGACTTACTGAACATGGCTCCAGTGTCGCTCCAATTACAACAACCAAACTTTATTCCTCTGTTCAGAGTTTCACTAACTTCTTCTCTCCACTCCATTATTTTTTATTTTATTTTACAAACTTTTGCAACTGAAGTCACTGACACAACGAGACAAAAACCATCTTTGGGAGGAATAATGAACAAATTTGATGTATAGCTACAGTAGTGAAGAGATGATTTAAGATGAAGATATATAAAAATTTACGTCAGGTCTACAGTGAAATTTTGTGCATATCAGGTGTGATTGAAACTTCATATACCAAAGCTTTGTCTCAAATATCATTAAATAGTATTTGAAGAGGCCAAATAAGAGCCGGGTCCCTCATTGGGTGGTTTTGCTTCATTTATATCAATGAATTATGTCTATCATAAAGTTTCATCAAAAAAAGAGATATTTTAAACAACTACGTCAGAATTTCTTTTTTTTTTTTAATCAGGTTTTGTGACAAGTGGGAACAAAATATTTTCCCAACGTTGTAAACATCTCTGAGATGATGAAACCAGCGTGACCGTGTCAGAAAGCTGCTCTGTAATATCGAGGCATCATGGTGAGGTTTTTCTCAGCCCAGCAGAGCTGTCAGTGAGACGGGGCAGCTCACTTTAAAACATGTCAGGGCGCATACCGACGCGCAACAAGTCGGGGGGTGCGAGATTGCAACAGAAGCCAATGACAAATTTAAAACAGGGTCAGCTTATCAAAACATAAACATCCCCCTGACTGCAAATATGTTCGTGTTAGTTGTGATGCTGTGAAAGAGAGCAACAGCCGTCAACGGAGAGGTGCGATGGCAGGATTTACCCTCCTTGCGTAAAATGTTTTAGAATTTGGTTTAAACGTAATAAAAGTGATACTTACGAATCCATAACCTCTAGACTTGCCGGTCTGTCTGTCGGTAATCACCACCGCTTCTTCAATCTCACCGAACACCTCAAAATATTTCCTGAGACTTGAATCCGTGGTGTGGTAGGGAAGACCCCCGACAAAAATCTTCGTATAGGTTGTGTCCTTTTGCGTGGTGTGCATCGTTAGTGCAAAATACAATAAATAGGAACAATTAAAAAAAAAAAGAGTAGTGCAATGTCTCCTTATCAGTAATTCTTTGGATGAAGAAAGAAGAGAGAGAAAGAGAGAGAGAGAGAGAGAGAGAGAGAGAGAGAGGGAGAGAGAGAGAGAGAGAGAGAGATCAGCTGGCTCTGTAACTTTTTTTTTTTCAGAAGAGAAAACAAAACAAAAACTCGACAAAAATGAAGCCTGGAGGTAGATTTATCTTCTGACAGTTAAGAGGAGAGTTATATGGAGCGGATTGTCCCAAAGAGACCATCAGGTGTTTCCAGCTCTTCTTGGCAACTCTGCTGTCTAACTAAATAGCTTTGGGACCCATTCCTAAAAGCGCTCGCTCCTAACTCCACCCAGCTTTTAGTCCATCTCTGCCCGCCCACCACCAGCGCGCACAAACAGCTGGGAAGCCTGCACAGTGTGAAACACTGGGGCTCCTTCACAAAAAAGAGACCTGTCTTTACTAGAATCGCGTTTAATTTGACATCAGGGATCAAAAGAGCCTGATTCCACTCATGATATGTTGGAGGCTAAGAGGAGAGACGACCTTAAGGAGATTCAGTGTGGTTCATGTGAAAATAATCAAACGCACAGGAAATGTTTGTGTGATTTCCACTGCATTATAAATAAACATCTGCTGATTTTTGGTCTCTTCTCTCTTTTATGGGATAAAATGTAGATCGGGCTTGGGCTTTGCCGTGGAAAAAAGATCGGATCTGTCTCTATAGGCCTGCATGGATTAGGCCTCCTATATAAACAGCCGGTCAGGGACTGAACACAGCCCGGGGACAGACACACAGGCAGCAGTGAGCAGACAGACAGGTGCAGCACCGAGGCTCCGCTGGAAGGATCAGCCTTCAAGAGAGTCCACTTGTGGGGGGTTTTGGCAGGTTTCTGTGTCCATGCGGACAGCGTGATGCAGTTTGAAAGAGTCGTGGGGAATTTCCTTACAACGTTTTTAAAAGGTTCCCAGACTGTAAAGGTCTTAAGATCAGGGACTGCACTGTTCTATGAATCAATAACAGGTTTGAGAAAGTCATATCCACTCTACATCCCATTTAAGGTCCTTGAGATGAAAACGTTTTGCTGAATCAACCCTTGTTATCTTCACAAGATTGGTGATCACGTTTCAATGATTAAATCAGCCGAGAACTGACTTCAAAAGTGACAAACGCGCCCTGCGTCAGGATTACGCACAGCTATTATGATGCGCAAAGATCAAGTAAAACGGCCATGGATCAATTCAATTAGTCTCTGAACATCAATGATTAAAATAACTTGTGATGCTTGGCCCCCTCTGCACTGGGCTGGCTGCTGGATCTCTGGACCTCGTTTTGAGCAGCCAGGGTGAGTAATACTCCCTGCAGTAATGTGAGAGGGAACTCTGCTGTTAATCATTCATGGCGGCTCTGTGCTCTGGCCTGCAGTAATCCTGTCACTGCATGTAACGCTGTGAGTTCACACATTTGCAGTGGGGACATAATCATAACCAGGTGTCATCTGACAAACCGTGTCAATGAAGTTAATGTCTCCTGGATACTAATGACCAACCACGTGATGTGTAAGTGAGATGCTGATCACCACAGTTACTACATGTTTCGACAGTGTTAACATTTGTTTTTGGTCTGATACGAAATGCTCTTTGCAAGCTAATTATAAGACCTACAATCAAAATCTCTATTCTCAAAGATCCATAGGATCCATATAAACTCTGTCTCGTCCATCTGAATGTGAATTGCCACTGCAGAACTCTAGATCACAATGAAATGAAACCTGATAGAGCTTCTTTCTGCAGTGTCTCTGTTCACTCACTATTTTATTAATGTAGCCACACGCCCTTTAAAGTTTTGACTAGAGTCTTGAAAGGGGACCAATATTGAGTTTCCCTGGCTCAACAATGGGGATCTGGTCAGGTTGCATCCCCTTGTTGTCTCTGCCGATGTGCAGCATGTTGACTAGTCTGAATCCTCTTATAGTTTTACAATAACTGGCTGTAGCAACATTTAAAAGTTTAATCATAAGTTATTTCACAATAATCGTCAGAAATACACAAACAGATAAGTCCACATTATATGAAATGGGAATATCTTACAGTATAAATGTGTCAGCAATCATCACCAGAAACATTTAATGCAATAAATGTGGCTCCCATGTTAGCTGGACCTGTAATTCATTCAAACATACACATTTTGCAGGTGATTTTTTCCATTTTAATCAAGACAAAGAATGTTGTTCTGGGGAGATGAAACTGTAACTCTGTGCTTGTTACCCATTTGGCTTTAGCACACACCTGTCAGGCAGAGAAAAGCTAAAGGTCAAAGGTCACTGGAACAGCTGAATACCCACAGCACAGTCACACCAAAGTTGCAGAAAACCTCCCCCTACTCTCTCCTGGAGAAAAAAACAAAGCTAAAAGTTAAAACTTACTCTGGTTAATGAGTAAATTTCATAAAGTTCTGCATTTTTGATTCTGACAAATTGCTGAGCACAAACACAAACCTTTCACATGAACAACATTTAGGGACAACTGGGGACTTTACTGATTAATAACAACATCAGCTTACACATCCTCTCAAAAGAAGGTACATCCTCACATGCTGCCAAAACCTCCTCCTGATAAATACCTCAACGTATAGATATGGTGTACTGACATCAGAGAGCTGTTAACACAACTTCAACCTACTGAAACAGCGCCATCTTATGTCCAACAGAGCAACTGCACAAAGTGCATTCTTCACATGCAAAATGAGACTTAACAATATAATTTTTCAACAAATAAAACGTCACACAAAAGTCAATTTGGTATGTTGGCAAGAACATTAAGTTTTGGTGATATTCATTAAAGCACTGAGTTCAATGACATTACATTGCAAAGAAAACCCTCATATTCCTGTGCTTATTAGTGAGCTACAATATTATTATCATTTATGGGCCAATGTGCTGCTCTGCAGTGGAAATGATGCTAACAATTCACCTCCACATTAGCCTCATTTTAACACAGTTTAATTACATCTGTCAGTTTCTCTCCAAACAATATACACATTATAAATGTGTTATAAAATTATAAAAGTTTCAACAGGCATCACCTCTGTGCAAAAGGAAATATTTTGGCTTTCTTTCTCTTTTCTCTCTCTTAGTGCTGATTAATGGCTCATTCATGTATTAATTTAAAATGTCTCCTCTTTGTCTTTTGCATGTTGAAAACTAGAATCACTCTCCAGCTCCCCCGAGGCTGTGAGGAGCTGCCCTGCCTGGAGCTCTTCCACCTCGTTTAGCTCCTCCTCTTTCTTCACCTCATCACCATCCTCATTCACCCACTCTGCACTTTGCCCTCTGCTATCTCCACTCGCTCTTCCCTTCTCACTCCCTTTTGACATCTGTGCTTTACCGATTTCTTTTTCACTCTCTGTGCCGTCACCTCCAGCCTCTCTTACACACTCTCCTCCACTGGCGTCAGTCAGGCCGTGAAACAGTAGAGCTGGAGTCGGTTCACAGGTGAGAGGTGATTGTAGGGGGTTAACAGGGGTGAGGGACATGTCTTCATCTTTCTCTGTCCTGGAGATGGCGGCACGGACACGAACACGCGCTGACTTGGTCCTTAAACGCATCTTGAGCTCGTCTTCTCTTAACTGAGAAGTGGAGGGAACAAACAAGAGAAAAAAAAAGAGATCAACTGTGAGAGGGAGACAGGGAGAAAGAGCAGAGGTGTTCACACACACATACATACGTACATACACGCACTGTACCTTGCGTCTTTCTTCAACAAGTCTTATCTTCTCATCAATCTCTTCTTTGCTGGGGAGACTTTGCATGTTTTTGGCCTTCAAAGACTCCAATCTTGCAGGAGGCCTTCGCCTGACATCTCTGTCATGCAGCTGACACACGCACACACGCACGCACGCACGCACGCACGCATGCGCACACACGCGCGTGCACACACACACACACACACACACACACACACACACACACACACACACACACAGCAGAGGGAGACAGAGAGCACACAAACATTACAGGTGAATGCACTTAACACTGAAACTTATTAACCTCACCTGTGAGATATAATTTAGCAACACAAACCAATGTCCTGCTACATACTTCACTGCACTTTAATACTTTATCATAAATTATTATACTGTACTTTCTTCTGGGGCACCAGTTAGTATTGTGGAGCCAAAAAATTTCCGTATGGGTGGCTAGGTCGAGACCACAACTCGGTATATTGCTCAGTTTTTTCTGTGCGGTCATAAGCACAATAGTCACTATTTCAGATCACCTGCTCTTTAACCGACTCATTCAGACATTAGAAATCATATAAATACAGTGGACCTTACGATTCACACAATCTTCAGTGGACAGGCGTCTCACTACCAGTGTGTAGTGGCCAGTGGAGTCAACACTCCTTTTTCACAGAGGACATTTTATCACAGTAGGAAAAGCACAGGTATAATTAATGAGATTAATTATGGCTGAATAGCTGCTTAAAAAACTTGAAAAGTATTTTGCTCAAACCAGACAGAAAAGATAATAAATATGGGTTGATTTTTGAGTGTGCTGTTAATGTACAAAAAAATTGAAATAAATTGTGGATGGAACGAGACAGCTCCAGAAAGATCTTGACAAATGAAAAAGGCATTCAACCTTCACAAAAACACTTTACTCCTTTGGGAGGCTGGTTCATCTGAGTGAAAGCCAGCCCTAATTAATGTTATCAATTACACCTGTGCTTTTTCCGCTACGACAACATGTCTGTTGTGAAAAAGGTCTAACGACACTGGTCTACAGTCACAGACGTCCAGAGTTGTACGTATTGTCTCATTTTCTGTTGGTATAAGTATTTTGATTTTCTTCTTTTTCCTTTATCAAAACATTGAATGTCAAATCAATATACATAGGCTACTGCATACAGTTAGTTGGCTAATGTATGTAGTATGGATTTGGGACACACTTGAATGGAACAGAGCATCGTTAACGTTATTAGTTACACCTGTGCTTTCCCTGCTGTGACATGTCAAAATGGGCCTATAACGAGGCAAAGCTATAATCTATATGGTGGCCATGGCAACCGCTGGCCACTACTACTTACTTTGTGTCATTTATACAGTTAAATCTCAGCAGACTTATCCATACCTTGGTATGGATAATGTGCCTATTACGAAGTGATGGGCAGTGTGGTCTCATTTAATATTTTCTTTATTGATTTAAAAAGATAGAGAAACAGGAATTCTTAATGAGGATGTTATGGTGGCTGCTTTCTCTGGCCATCACTTCAAAGTAACTTTATAGTCCTGCTGACATCAGATCTGAAAGTAAACTCTGTTCCCACATTGACCAGTGTGCACTAAGTACCCACCATGATGCTGTAGGCCTCTCCAGAGATGCTGCTCCCCTGTCTGGTGTGTCCTAATGGGATGATACCCTGATTCAGGAGCTCCTCCAGGATCTCACAGGACTTTTGGCGCTCCTGCGGTGTGCTGTCCTGCTGCAGCAATCCTGGGCTGGCTGCTGTTGGAGACACACAAAATAAAAACACGTCAGATGTATGCGCAAGATTTTCTCTGCTGTGTCACAAAGTCTTTTCTATTCAGCGGGTTTGTCGAACATGCCCACCGTCTTTTGTAATCCTATCTGCTTCGATTTCTTTGACAAACGCAGATGTTAGAGGAGGGAGTTTTCTGGGCACTGCTCCAGGTAACGCGGGGATCTCCTTGTTCTCCATCACCACCCCGCTGTCTGTGGTGCCCTTTGACACGGCAGAGTCTCCACGACTACCGAGTTTACTTCCTGTCTCCTCCTGACACAGATACAATATAAATGCAGAAAAAATAAGCCAAAAGACATAAATTCCTGACCCCACTGCTTGTTTTTATATCCTGACCCCAGTCTTCATGGTTTCTCAGACATGATGTTGTCATGGTGGCATCTGCGTGTTGACACATTGTCATGAACACAGTAGCTCAGGAACATTAATAATGGTACATGGCAGGTGGCACCAACAAATCATACCATCTCACCATCTACCTAATTAGTATACAGTTATATTAATTATATCATGGTGATTACAGCATGGTGTTTGTCATCCCGTGCATGCCAATTCAGATGCTCACACCCAACATGTACTGTAGGCCTATGTATGGATTGTAACATATTAAAATATTTTTAAGGGATTGTATGTATTGACCAGAAAACATGAAAACTGAATATTCACCTTACTTGGAAAACTAAGGCCCTTTTAAGGCACACCCCAATATTAAAGGATGGTTTCCATTGCTTTTTGGTCAATGTCATACACACAATCCATCATACATGCCTTAATTTGTTACAATAATTTAATCTATTCATCTCCATATTCAATAAATAAATCAGTTAATTAATAACATGAAATAGAAAGTCTCCTTTTTGGGGGGTGAACTTCTGAATCTGCACCATATATCTATTCAAATTCAAAATACTGAATTAAAATCTCACTAAAAGCATCTCAATTAGGCTATATCATTAATAATAGGTAAGTACAGCCAACAAATGTTGCTGCATAAAGGGCACTTTACTTTTTAAGTTCACGTTGCTAATAATATAGCAACGGAACTTTTTATCAACGTATTTTTACATTGGGATATTGCTACTTTTAATTAAATACTTCATCTACCACTGGCTTTTACCACCAAGGTTTTTTAACATTGTTAGATGCCATGTTTTGACCACTAGCTATTATCAAAATTATTACTCAGTAACGTTAGTAAGAAAGAAAAACTACATAACAGTTAATATTTGGTCAGTTCTTCCTCTGGGGTCAGACAATTTAAAGGAACACAGATTTTGGTTTAACGGCTCCTTGGTACGTTACTTCAGTGACTACAACAAACATTAAATATAGATAACTGTAATACTTTTTCTTGGATATTGCTGTAAATTTTTTTGTCGTTTTAAACTGCCCTCCACAGTTTTAGCTGACTGAAAGTGGCGGGTTGTATGACACGGAGCTTACCTCGTCTCCATTCACCTCCCCCTGTGTCAACGGTTGGACCACCGCGGTGGTTGTGGAGCTGCCGCATCCCATGTTCACCTCAAAGCAACGATGTGAAATAAGTCCATAAAAGTCATAAAAGTCATAAATGTCGTGTTTAATTACACCTCGCCGTGTCTGCTGTCGGTATATTGACCCGTGTAACCTGGCATTCCTTTACACAGAGGGACAGTCAGTCTCCATGGACCCGCTACGTTGCTAGGGGCCGTTGCTACAATAAATGTGACCCGTTTAAAGAGGTGACACCGAGGGACAACACACTACAAAACACCGGCTTCTGATGCTGCACTGATACACTTCATCAGCTGTGTTACACACACACTGACGACTCAGGTCACCGAGAGGTACTCACAACCATCACGATTTTACAAACACTTGACTCCAAGGCCCTCAACCTTTCAAACACCCATCCCCAAACACCAGCAATAATTCTACACTGTAAGTAAGTTTAGAATTACTGGAACCAACAGGGCAAAGCAGCCAACTGCCCGGGAGGCCCCATGTACAGTGTGTCAGCTGCTTTTTGGTAATAATATATTTTTTATAAATCCTAAATAAATAACTAAAACTGAGTTTCTTGCATTGTCATCATTCTCACCAATTCCTCTTGTTTGAGAAAGTGCACCAAAACACAATATCACCCATAATCATATGGGCCTCAAGGTAAGTCTTTACATTATTCCCCCATCAATCAACACTTTGCTAGTGTTTTTGAGAACAAACAAAACACCAAGGAGACAAAAGTATCTGAATTATGACCAGAAATTTGCTAAAGAATTCAATATTTAAAGGGAACAGCCTCAAAACTCATGAAAACTTGTGCAAACAGATAAACTGTACCGTCAAAGTGCAGCAGCATCCAAACAGAGTGCTTAACAAAGGCCTGTTTAATATAACAATATGATCCATCTTTGAATCAGTGTTTGCAATGATTTAATTTTTTTTCAGAAACTTTTTTTTGTAATTTTTTGATGTTTTGGGTGCATGGCTAAAGTTACAAAGCAGAGTTCAGTTATCTTGAAAAACGTATATCTTTATCACCACCAGAAGACTACTGATTCTCAACAAGCCAATATTAGTTTGCAATGAGATATTTTATTAATTTTTGTAACACCACATGGAAAAGACAACAGGGGTGCAATAGAGTGCTAATGCACTCCACCAAGCTCTACTGTAGGTAGGCGTGAGGGCTGGAGCGGCCCATGGTTGAGGGGATCTGTGGCTTGTTGGCCAGGACCACAATGGTGTCGAGTGTAGGCAGGAAACTCTGGTGAAGGTTCTGGCACTTCTGCTCCACATCCAGGGTATGAGCATTTTTGGCCAGTTTGTCCTCCAGAATCATCAGGCGCCTGCGTGTGAGTCCCAGTTCCTGCCTAGGAATGATGGTTCACATAAAAATGAGTACATTCAAGATATCCTAAAGAAAATGGTCAAATTATTTAAATGTAGGACATGAGGTGACGGGGCTATAGTTATTGTCTTGTCTAATTAGAGTTACTTACTGGGAGTGCTTCAGCACTGGGTGAAGTTCGGCTGCCATCTTTGTCAGGTCATATTTCTCCAGTGTGAGGCTGAAGTGGGGCTGGAGGAGGAACAGTAAAACATGGTTAAAGCCACCACATCTAAACAGTAACAACTGAGAACTGAAAGACTATTTAACGACTGTGTTTCTGACACTGATATTTTAACTGTAACTGTTCAGCGAGGCACTTACCTGGTCCAGGCAGAGCTCATGTCTTGGTCTCTGGTTGAGGATGTCCAGGCGGTGGGTGGCCTGATGCAGCTTGGAGTCACAGTTCCTGATCTGACCTGTCACTTTCTGTATGTCATTGGTCAGATCAGAAATCTCACCCTTTATCTGGAGATGAGAGAAAGCCATAAAAGAATCAGTAACCATCACAAAAAGTTGAGTACAATTATTCTGTGGATGGTAGGCTGTGTAAGTTGTCCCTAAAATCCACTGGACTGACCTGCTGCCTCTCCCAGATCATCATGTCCTGGACCCTGCTCAGCTCATTGATCTTCTTCCTCAGACAGTCTTCTGTGCTGCGGCGCTGGCGCTCTTGGGCATTTTTCAGCTGTAATTGTCACACACATCAGCAAGTGGATGAGAGACAAGCATGTGTAGTTCAGACAGAACTAAAAATATTACTCTGGTTATATGAAGAAAAGCTGAGAAAATGTTGATTAGAATGGATGGCCTGGAGGAAATAAAGAAATAAATTGAGCCTAAATG